AGAAGTCTGAGCAGTTAACATTATTGGTGCAAGCGATAGGAAATAGTCACGCTACACTTCAGTCCAGCATTATACGCGCTGCTCCAGTCTGGAAACTGATTTATCGTCTCCATGGCGAGCGTGGAAAATCTTGTGATTGAGTCGATCCAGTTCACTAATAACAGAACACTAAGGAAATGGCAAATAGTCACGGCAATTGCATGCATAGTAGCCATTGTTGTGACAGCGTTGCTCATTTGGCAGGTCTCAAAGGACGACAGACATTGCACTGTCAAGACTCTCAATACAGTCAACCAAAACGGTGGAAAAGAATCCGGGACTAAACAAGAGCAACCGGCCTATTCGCGACCTTGCCCTCGTCTGCCGAGCCTTATTGCTTTGCCAGAAACCATCCCTGAACCGTTATCCAAGGCGCTCTCAAGAATTGGTGAACTTGTCAACAACGCTGTCAATTCAACCGTACAGCTTCCTGCGATATCAGTCAGCGTTTTTTATCAGAACCGCACTCTTTGGACTGGACATTATGGAAGCAAGGAATACAAGAGGGAAAATAAACCAGACGACAGGACCGTCTATCGAATTGGAAGCGTTACCAAGGTCTTCGTGGTCCTGATGGTGTACAAGTTCTACGAGGAAGGTTTAATCGACTCGCTTGACGATCCACTGACCAAATATGTTCCTGAATTTTACATTCAAAATCCATACACCATGAAAAATATCACAATTAGGCAGATCGCGAGCCAGATGTCTGGGCTTCCTCGAGAGGCTCCATGCTTTTATGTTTGTGCTAATGTCACCTCCCAGCAGGTGATAAAACAGCTTGCTAATCGAAGCTTGGTGATGACTCCAGGAGTCATGCCGTCTTATAGTAACCTTGGATACTCTTTGCTTGGAAGGTTGCTGACAGAGAAACTCTTAAAAAACCAAAGTTTCGAAAGCTGGGTGATTGGACGTATCTTAAGGCCCCTTGACATGACCAATACCGGTTTCGACGTCACAGAGCAAGTGCAACAAAACATGGCCTTTCCGCACGACGGTAAAGGGAAAAGGACGCCTTTTATGATAATTGACTGGGTCGCACCTGCCGGGCAGATGTACTCCACCCTCGAGGACTTGACAAAGCTTGGAATGATGTTCAGTCAGCCAAACAAGCAAAACCTTTTCCGACCGTCGAGTCTCCGAGAGATGATGTACCCCATGAACATCGCCCCCGATGGGGTCACCTTATGGGGAGCTCCCTGGGAAATGACCTTCATCGAGCAAAATCTCGTTCGGAAGAAAGGCGGCGCCATTGATTCGTACTCCGTGACAACCTCAGTGGTTCCAGAATTACAGCTAGGCATGAATATTCTTGTCAGTACTTCCTCCTTTATCCCAGGAGGAGCAACAACGGACTTAAATGTTTTTTACAAGATACTTCTCCCGGCGTTAAACCAGACACTTTTTGGCTTACAAGGTTCGTCTAGATTTCCCGTTGACCCAAAGCCTTACGTTGGAAACTACAGTTTGAATGAAACCGATGCGATCACGTTAAAAGTCACCACATCATTGGCTGAAGTTGTAGCCAAAGAGGACGGACTTGTGGTGTTTTACTCTGGTGGACAGTTCGAGGTCCGTTATATTGGCCTGGAGCTTCTGTTTCAAGCACAATTTGCAAAATCATCTGCTAGTTGTACTGGAGAACGATTAGGAACGTATGAGGATTTTTACTTTTCCCCATTCAATAATGAAGGTTATTCGACAGGATTTAAAGTCCCTGGCTACCCGATGATTGCAACACGCATCTCCTGAACATAAAAAGCCATGCGTTTTATTTTTATCAAAACCGCTAAAACTTGCTGGGTTTGCACTGAAACATGTATTATTTTAATTCCTTTTCATTGTCTCAGTATCCAGCAATATAACTGCAATTTAGATTTGCTAACTGAAAAGTGAAGATGTGATATGTTTAATATCCAGCTGAATCATAAATGCCTGGTGTGGTTGCAGCTGCTTTGTGGAAATCTTGGTCAACAAGTTCTGAAAATAAGAAAGATTTATCCTTAATAGTCGTCATCAGCAAGTGTAAATTTTAAAAAGTCGAGGTTACGATTATCAAGTTGAAAATAAATTAAGAATACGATAGTTGTACAAAAAATTTTAAAAAAATTTTTTCACATTCTTAAGTCCTTTCGATCTTTTGTATAAACACAAATGTGTTTTCTTAAAATTCACGCTTGATAATGGTGACTATCGGTTGTAGAAACCCTGTAATTTTATAGTAGAAGTTAATAAACGCACACCGTAATTTTTAGGGAGTTATTATAACTCCAAAAATGGAGTGAAAATTTTAGGTAAAGGATAACCCCATTTTTGGTGTTATTTTAACTCTTAATTTAACTCCGAATTTGGGGTCATTTTTACTCCTGAAAAAGAGTTCTTTTTACTCCCAGTCTGGAGTTAAAATTACTCCGAAATGGGGTTACTTGTACTCCTTACATGGGTTGTTTTTACTCTTTTTGGAGTTAATTTAACTCTGAAAGTGGAGTAAAAATTTTAGGTACAGGATAACTCCTTTTTGGGGGTTATTTTAACTCCTCAATATCTGGGGTCACTTTTACTCCTGAAAAAGAGTTCATTAAACTCCTTTTTGGAGTTAAAATAACTCCACGAAAAATAACTCCACTGTAAGGAGTTAAATTAGCCCCACTAGAGGAGTTATTATAACTCCCTGAAAATTACAGTGCAGTCTAAGAAGAAACGAGGATTCTGCTTTGCCAACCAATCTAAATGCCTTTCTTTATACTCTACTATATACATCACTGACCTTAATCTGATGATTTGGTCATCATGCATCATTATTATCATTTTTATTATAAAATAGTGTGCTTTTAAAATCTAAGTAAACATTACGGACAACAACAAAAAATCAAGCAAATCATAGAACCAACAAAACGAATAAATGTATAACAACTCCAAGCAAATTATCTCCATTGGGTCAATCTGCGCGAAATGCATTAGCCGTACGTATTTTCATGGCTTATCAGTATTCCTCAGATAATGGACTTAAGTCGCTTTGGGGGGATTATAAATACCTAGAGTGACATTATTACCCAGATAAATAAAACTCTAGACATGACATGTCTGTAGTAAAGATATCCTGAAAAAAATAAATATATGAAATTGTCAGTCTACTTTCCGAAGTTTTTTTGTTAAGGTTTTTTTCTCAATCCTTTCTGATGCCGATCTGCTGGCTGCTAGTTCAAGATGGCCTTGTTTGAGGGTTTACTGACTGTATTCTATTGGCCTCAAATCTTTAACACTATACTGATGAGCAGTTTGTAATCATAATCACTTTTATTAGGGATACTTCTAAATAGCGCCTCGGGTAACAGCGATAGCGAAGCAAGAGGGCGGCGGCGATCGACAGAATAAAAATCGAACAGCCCTGTGTTTGGGAGGTTATAGGTTCGAATCCTGTCGGGGACTTAGATTTTTTCTTTGTCCCACGTTCGTGACATGCTGATCATTTTAATTTTCCTCCCTCGCACGCGGTCTAGGGCGCCATTTCCCTTCCGGTATATGCACTTGTGCGAGTTTCGCGAAAAAGTCAGACGGTACTGTATAAATAAATTTGTGCGAACAACTTTACTCAGTAAAAACATTATCTTATTTGAAAATAACAGATATATACTAGTAAAAAAATTTGGGCGAAGAACTCTACGCGAAAGCAATGATTCTGTAAAACAATACATTTTCCCTTCCCCTTCCCTTTCAAACGCCTGCCACGCAGGCTAAACACGTCACTTTTCACTGTTATTAATTGTTCAATTGACGCGTCCCATTTAAACTGATAGGATCACGTGCATTCGGAAGCTTGATAATATAGTACGAAGCGATGCATCATGGGATATATGAAATTCCCCCCTTTGTGCGACATAGACATTGCTGATCCTTGCGGTATGCAGTACGCGTGACAAATATGAACCTGGTACAGTGAAACCTCTATTAAGCGGACCCCCAATTAAGCGGACACCCTCTATTAGGCGGACAATAAGCTGGGTCCCGAAACGAACGTCTGATATTTCCCTTTACTAGAAATACGTAAATCGCAGGACCTCGCGAAGGACTTCGGGGGAACGGCAAGTAAAGCCGAGAAGAAAATTTGTAAATCTGAAAATTGGAAGCTATATATAGAAACATAACAAAACTGTTATACCTAAAATGGAAACTAAACGAATAGAAAAAGAAAAAGAAGAAGAAAAGAAAAGAAAAGAAGGAAAGAGAAAAAGGTTATACCCGGATAAACACCTCTATTAAGCGGACACCGGACTGAATTGACAATAGTAGTATTGGATTACGTCCTTACCCCTGCAAGCAGAGTCTCCTCCCATCTTCCTAGAAAATAGGAGACTCTGCTCGCAGGGTATGAAATACGGACTGTAGTAGGTTAATGTTTTTGCATTTACAAACAAATGAAAGTTGGTAATGGAAGGCAAGCTCTCCGATACGTTTTGTCGCCCCTTTTTATTACTGTATTAGAAATGCGAGGGAGGGGGTTCGGTGTTGTTGTTTAATTTGTACAAAAGTGGGATGTAAATTCTGCCTTCTTCCTCTCTCTTTGGAGGAGAGGAGAAACGGAGGGGAGCGAGAGCGACGAAGCGGCGAGGAGAATTGGCTGGAAATAACGAGACATGCGTGGATTCGTCGCTCATTTTTGTAGCTTCGCTGCTTGTTCGTGATCCTCTCCCCAATAAAACCGCCAGCCACCCAGGGTTATTTAAGACAATCCTATTCCGCAATAAAAAGGCCGTAACTACAGGCTTCGGAAAGGGTGTGTCACATGGGAGTCTCACATGAGTCGAAACGCGGGTCAGTGAGGAATCTGTATCGAACAAAGGCCTTCACAAAAAATAACAAATTAAACAAAACAAACAGCAACAATAACAACAAAACCAAGTAAACAAACAAACAAACAGAAGCAGGGAATTTCATGATCAAACGAATTTTATTTCTATCAACGTTAGCTACAAGACCAAAGTTATGTGAGTGTAGAAATAATATATGTTGAGCATATATGAAACCCTAAAAGCCACTATTAGCATATGCTTTATGTGGCCATGCGTCAAATGGCTGCATCGTTCTTAGCGTGCTTTTATCTTGACGTAGATAGTCTTCTTGGAAGTCAAAATTAACACAGCGCTATGCTCCAGTGTGGTGACGGTTTCGGGAGCCCGTTCAAACTTGAATCGCTGCAAGATCTTGAATAACCCTTGCTTTATTTCCAACAAGGCAAGGCGCATTCCCATGCATTGACGGGGGCCAGCTCCAAACGGGAGGTAAGAGTACGGGCTTCGGTTTTGCTTTGCCTCTGGCGAAAAATTGTCGGGGTTGAACTCCTCGGGGTTTTCCCAGACCTCCGGGTCTCGATGCAAAACGTACGTGGGTATAGCAACGTCAACACCCTTAGGAAACTTCACTCCTTTTATGGTTGTGTCTTCGGTACATTGTCGATTAAGGAAGAACGCAGGGCCACTGATGCGAAGGACCTCTGAGATGACTTGATCTAAGTACTTGGCATGCTGCACCACGTCATAAAGGGACCTGTCCCCACGTGAATCCATTATTTCGTCAATCTCTTTGATAAGTCGATCTTGAATCTCTGGGTGAGTGGCCAAGTGATAGGCGGTCATAGTTAGGGTGGTACCTAAAAGCATAGTCAAGACCATCACCTATCACATCGATGTAGAGTAGCCTGTAAACCCGGGGGGGAGGGGGTACTTGGGTTTGTGTTTGCTGGGTATGTGCCGCTGGCCTCTCAGAGCCCCTACCCCATTATAGTCTATTTTTTGGCCAATTTTAGACACTATCTTGGTCGCGATCCCAACTTTCTATTTATGCATCTACCTTATCAACGTGGTTTCAAGCATCGGAATGTAATTCGGTCAATGCGAGCTTACTGTTTTTAATAAACAACAAGTTTCTGATTTTTTAACCGAGAATCTTCCCATTTTGAATCTCCTACTTACTCAAAAAATCCAAAAAATTTGCGACCCCATTCTAGTAAATCTATTGAAAATGCGACCCCATTATAGTCACTCCAAACGTGAAAATGCGACCCCATCCAGCGGCACATCCCCATTAGCCTCTTGTAAGGGAGTACCCCCCCCCCCTCGGGATCTAAGGCCTCCCTTGGACCACTTATGCACATGATATTATTGGTCATCTTTAATCATAGGCTCCTCAAATATCGAAAATTTTGAAGAGTGCACTGCCTCTAAATTCGTGGCTACAATCAGGCACAAAAGTAGTTGACTCACTTGTCTAAACCGGGTGCTTTTTTATCAACAATTTCATTTATTTATCATTTCATTCTATTTAAACGCCGTAAATCCCCGCACCCCTGAATCAATGTTGTTTGAAGTCGAAAAAGAAAGACCTGAGGGTCTAAAATACAACATTGATTTTTGGGGGAGGAGTGTGGGTAGACAGGGGGAGGGGATAGGCATGTCCACTTTGAAGTGTCTCAACACTTTTGTCCCTCATTGTAGCAAAATTGTATTTATTACCGGTGGTTTCGAAGCCAGCAAAAAGGAAAGTCACAGACTGGGCGGTGACCTCATCATCGCTAAGTTTGCTAACTCCATCGACATCAGTCTCTTCATGCGCCTCCAACATTAACTGGACAAGGTCTCTAGTGCCGGTAAATCCCTGCTTCTGTCTTTGTTCGAGGACTTGTTTTTGAATGCCTATGAAGTAGTCAACGTTCTGTAGGGGGCTGTAGTACTTGCTGAAGTATTCCCAGAAGGGAAGGACGGAAAAAAATCGAGTCCAGAGAGGTGACTGAAAGACACGTCTAGCCTTCTCGACAAAAACTGGATCTGGCTTCACCTGGACGTTGCTCTCAATTCCGAAGGCGGCTTTCATGATGACGTCCAACGCAAACAAGCTGAAGATTTGGACAACATCCACGCTTTCACCTAAATGAAGCAAATATTACTGTTCAATAGTTTCTGATTCTATGTTGAGAAATCAACGACAAAGCGCTCGAGGCAATAGCGCGGAGCGGGCAAGTAAAAAAAAACTAACAACAAAAAAACTCTCTTCTGCGCAGTTAATTGATCAATTCTAATTAGGTAATCGCCGTTATTGAATTAAAATTGCTGTCTGAAGTTACTGGCTTTTAACGCCCCGGGGAAAGTTGCTGAAGCTTAAAATTAAATCCTCGAACGTTACCAGCTTTTTACGTAACGTTACATAAAAGAGATTAACATAAACGCTATTTTTGCTTGAACGTGAAATTTAAAAGTTTACTTAAAATATATTTTTTAAATGTTTATTCATTGCTGACATTTCAAAGAGTGGTTAATTTGACGTGAATTATCACGCAACCTAGCCTGTGTACACAGACGTTGTTTTATTTTTCTTTTCGTTCTTTTCGAAAACATTGGCGAGCTTGGGCGAGCTTGCGCGCGATGCAAGCGCGAGAACGAGCGCAGAGCGCGTAAATTCCACCACCAGTACCCTCTTGCGCTGACAGTCAATAATTCCCCTGCGGTTTATATCACCCGCGCTCGACGGACTTTGAAGAGAAAATAGAGAGTCTGTGAACAGGCTACACGTAACCCGAGGGGGGGGGGGCACTTGGGTATTTTTTGGGTGGGTATGTGCCGCCCAGGACTCCAAATTGGCACCCCGTTGTAAAAAAAAATTTCCCCTAAAATTGATACCCCGTTCTAGAAATGGGCCAATTTTTTATACCCCGTTCTAGAATTCGCCCTAAAACTAATACCCCGTTCTAGAAATGGGCCAATTTTTTATACTCCGTTCTAGAAAGTTTGTAAATTGAAATAGTCCTGTTTTTTTAGAAAGATATTTCTTTATTTGTTCGACCTATACATCAAATAAATGCTTCTTCATAATCAGCAACAATTTTAAGCAGAAGATAAAGCCGTGATCCACAATTTTTCATACCCCGTTCTAGAAAACGCGTCTGAAATGGATACCCCGTTCTAAATCAGGGGCTTCAAAATCACGACCCCGTTGGGCGGCACATACCCGTATAGGTAATGTATGGGAGTACCCCCCCCCCCGGGCAGGAACCCAGTAGCTATTACGTAACCTCTGAGTAAGTAGATTGGCGAAGTACGAACACAGATCATGATTTGAAACATTTTTCGTTGCCTTAAATTTACCATAAAGCGTATTTTTTCTAACGTATCGTTTTTGTGCAAAACAGCGAGACAGTCAACGGTAGACGACAACTGTCAGGTTGAATCGAGCCACGCGAAACCGTTCCATGCAAAACGTATTTGTCACGCAACCCATAACATGTAGGCATTACGTAACCTCGACCTTTAGTTAAAGTTTGACGAGCTACGTTCAACAATCTATACTCACTTTTTCTAAAATAAAAATAATGTAAAATTATGTTGATAATATTGTTTGCCTATATTAATTTTAAAAAAATATATAGTGGTAAAAATCAACACGACAGTCGACCAGTCGACTGTACTGAGGTTCCATGTCACGCGAAAGACCTACCTGTCTCTGAAAATCTTTGCATCTTATTCAACAGCAGATCGGACTTTTCCTCGATGATGGGCACGATCTGCTTTAACTTGGACGCGGTAAACGTTGGGGTAAGAGTCGTCCTCACACGTTTCCACGATTCTCCGCGCGAGACGAACAAGCCAGAGTCGAGGGGGGGCCTAGGTGTGAAGCCAAGCCGATTTGGAAAACTCGAAAACTCCTTCACCAAGATTTCCCTGATCATTTCAGGATCGGAGACCACGATTGCGGGTGACCTACCCAAACATAACTTGTGAGCTCGGCCGTACTTGTAGAAGAAACTCAGAAACATTTTGTGCATTCCGCCATATCTGAAGACATCGAGGAGGTTTCCTATCCAAGGCAATGGTTTGGGTCCTGGGAGAGGAGAGCTTCCGAGAAGAGAGTTGTATTTTTGGATCCCTCACCAATAGAAAAGTACTAATAATCCAAGGATCACTGCCAGCCAGGTCGTGAAGCCAACGTCCTGTAAGGTTTCTAACACACTCGCCATGTTTACATGTGACAGTGTTCTCTCAGCGGTGACCGTGCTGCTGCTGTTTGCCCCACCTGCGGATAGGCTGTACCTATCTGTTTGCTATGCAAATTTTTAATGCTGGATTATGGTAACGCAATGCGATGTTTACTTTGATATTAATCCTTCAAGCCCTATTTCAGTTGTTAACTCATTTCTGCTTGAAATAAGAAAGGGAAAAAAGGTTTTCTCATGTCTGGATTGTAATTCGCTAGCTTTAAATATTCGCCGCTATTGCAGCACGTTGCTGTGGTCATTAGTTGCTAATAAAACCACTGTAAATGGTTCAGTATTCAACTAATTAATTCTTAAATTTCATGTTGTTTCGTTTTAACCAATGACAACACAGGGCTTTATGAAAATATATGCTGGAAAGTCCAGCCTGAAACATGACATTGTTATACCGCGTGTTGTCATACTTAACGCGTGACGTGTGCGGTCGGCCATGTCACGTTAAGGCCAAGTCTCACGCGATCGATAAGAAAGCCGTTCAACATATCTCGCGCGAAAAGGACGTGGTGTATTTCAATAAACAACAGTGCAACACAAAGGGTTATGTCTTAAATGATTTACTCAACAACTGAGAAATATAAAGATTTACATTCAATTCAACGAGTAAATTCTGTTAAAATTTTAGTTAGTACAGCGCGGCTTGAAGTCATCATTGGAAAAAAAAAGGCTTGACCCGGCCCGATGGATACTGTCCGAAAATTTGCTAGGCTAATTTTGCAAAATTTTATGAATGTATTTATTACTGAACTTTTTTTATTTCTTATTATTGTTTTCTCAAATGAAGAATACGTGTCTTTCAGAAGGACGGGTTGTCTTATTTTCCTTTCTTGTTTAATTGGGGGGACATTCACTGTTATTTTCTTAGTTTTCTTTTTCTTAGTTTAAGGTCTATTAAACACGCCACGAAAAATAATTCTCCTTTATCTGTGCAATAAACTAAAATCAAAACAGAATCAGTACATTTACATTAAGCCCTTGACTGACCTTAAATCATTTCCACACTAATTTTAGTATAAATTCTAGAATTTATTCTAGAACTAAACTGCCGAACAAATTCTAGAATCAGAAATCCAGATAACCTCATCGTTTCCTCTCTTCCGGGTGCAGTTTGCATTCTTTGCCAAGCTTCAGTCCTGGCAAGCAGCAATAGTTTTACATTTTTAGGGAGTTCTGAATACTAGCATTTAAGCAAATATTGGCAAGGCTCGTTACTATCTTCAAGGTGGCTTTGAAGTTCTGTACAAGAGAATGTATAGGCTAACGGGATCGATGTCCAACCATCGCAACAGAAGACATGAAAGCCAGCAAACCTCCCCAGAAATGGAAAGCGCCATCGGTTATCACCATGTACAACAGCCATCGATTTATGCAGTACAATCTGATGGGCTTTTTGATCTGTTTGTTGCTAAGCACACGGTGGACTTCTCTTTGAAACGCCAGTTACTCTCAAGAAGTGGTTTTACGATTCCTTGGGAGAAATTCTCTCACTTGTCTTCCTCAGTTGTTAGCCAGAAAAAGGTGCGCAATTATCATTGTTTCAGACATGATTTTAGAGTCAGAGATGGCTGGTTTGTGCCTATTAGACTGTTATAATCTGGAACTTATCATAGAATAGCCTTTGTATATGATCATTGGCCATGAAGCGCTCTGCTGATGATAGAGTCTCTCTGACTCTGTCTGTATCTGTGCCCCCATTCCTTAAACCCCATTATTAGAAAAAAACAGTAAAATTTTATGATTTTCACGTTTAACAAAACGAGATCGCGTCTTAATTTTGGTGCCCTATGATTTCTGCAGACAGACAAAATTCAGATGGGGGGGGGGGGAATGCCAACAGCTCCCTCCCCACTCCTAAAATTTTTTCAGGGAACCTTTGCTGGCGGGAAAGCCAAAGAGTTAATACTGGGTCGAACCGAGTCCCTTGGTCGCGCCTCCCCCATCTGCAAATGCCACAAGTGATTAAATCATACTAAGCGACTCCAAGAATAAAGATTAATTGTGACCTGATAGTTTGATCTATAATTTATGAAACCTCAAGAAAGTAATCATTGGTTTTCGCTTTGTACACCTACAGAATTTCAGTCCACAAGGGAAGTGCCCACAGAAAGAGAAATTTTCTATGAATGGCCACACAAAGAAGTGAGTGTACCACCAGTTGACTTGTTTTTTCCTAATGAGGGCACCAACACAAGTTTCCTTTGCATATACTAGAAGAAATCCAAACTGACTATAAATCTTTTTTTTGTCTTTCAGACTCATCTGCCCACTTTGTGGTCACATCCTACATGTAAGCCAGACTCCTGAACTGTAACATCCTAGCAGTTGGAGGTTTCACAGTTTCCACGAGACCATGACATACATATATGTACTGTACATTTTAACATTAATGTAACCACTTTTAGTACTGACCCGATATACAGTAGCTGGAAAAAAAAACTCTAATAATGTAATATGAACCCTAATTAGTGACAGCAAGTTCAGAGACATTTGTAAGGTTTAGTGGGAGATACGATTAGAAATACAGCACTGTGGATTGAGCTGATTCATGAAGCATTATTCGAATAAAAAATAATATTTAATCCAGAATTAAAAACAGCACAAATGAATACTATAGTAAACATTTTAACACTTTAAAGTGTCATCTTTGGTAAATAAATTTGAGGTCCCACATTCAAGACAAATCCAGTTCTGGTCAACTCACAGGGCCACAAATTATTTCTGTAACAGAACTCTTTTCCTCAAACTTATTATGAGTTCGACTAGAGCCAGTTGTGGAATCACTGCATGTTATTCCATCTCTTTTTACTGTTGTATCCACATTTTTGGAAAGATCCTTTGCATCCCTTGATTCATACTGAGTATAGATTTTATCAGAGTCAAGTCGTCCCTCTGGTGAAAATGTTTCTAGTTTTTGCCATCTCCCTGGTGGCCATACAATGTGAGTAGCTTTTCCCTGAACAAGACCCAGTGACACCTACAGAAATAAAATGAAATGAAATCCACGTAAAATAAACAGATAAATTTCAATCAATCAATCAATCAATCAATCAACTTTATTTAAACACGGTAAATGGAGGATAGACAAATTTAGATCAGCTTCCCAGAAAATTGTGTAACTCAAGGACACAACTCCCACTTTTCAAGAACCTGTGCACCATTTTAAAACAAAGAGCTTACTTTCACACTAAGTGAACCACTGCCATTTGACATAAGGACAGAATTCAGTTTATATGACAACTCACCGGGCCAAAGGAGTTGCTGTCATGACTGTGTGAATGATTATCTCCTTCAACCCAGCAATGACCTGCTGGAATATGTACAATCTTCTTCTTGTAGCTTATAGTTCTGTAAAATGTGACAAAAGTAAGCAAACAAATAAATAAATAAATTGTAACTTGTTTTATTTTTTAATCTAGAGCTTTGAAAAAGCAATACTTGAGAGTTTTATTTTACAGATTCTAGTTTACAGCCACTCCAGTGACAGTTTTAAAAAATCACAAAAAATAATCAACATAACCTTTAATCAACGTCAGACATTCATGCAACATGATAACAAAAAAAGCCTGGACTGGCTTGGAAAAACAAGCTGGCTATTGGGTATTTGTTAGTCTATATAGTGTGATATAAGAATTCAACTTTCCCAGGTGAACTTTGGGACTATCTGAGAAACAAATTAAGCTAGTGGTCAGGGCAAGAATTGTGCCTGTGGACCTTCTCATTGTGGGCAGGAAGCACTGACCACACTCAACACTCCTTCCTTAGAAAAAGAGAAGAAGGTAGCATAAGACAAGGATATAAAGGCAAGAAACTCTATTTAACTTTAAAGAAAGTGACTCGACTCCACACCCTATATACTGTAGGAGAATGACTTTGTCTACTTAGATGAGTGTCAAAGTAGACACCATGAGTTGCAGATTACAAGTGAATGAATGTGGTTTGATCATAACAAAGAGTGTTTTTGTATGCTGTTACTGAAAGTTTGCTGCTGCTCCAAGACACAAATTGGGACTTCTCTTTGTTTCATTCTAGTGCCAGATTGGCATAGCTTTCTGAAGACAAGATATTTATTTATTTATTTATTATTTATTCATTTATTTTCCTAGCTTTGCCTAACTAGAAAAAAATTCTTACAGGCATAAAATTATTAGGCAGGGAGATCATTACAGCTTAGCCAATTACAGTGGATCCCACAATAAGCCCTAAGCTGGTTTTGTAGCAATAGAGAGACTATTTTGACCTAAAGGCATACGCATATTTCTTTGGTAGATTAGAAGGCTTCATGCCTCCACTGTTTAATAATACATCTTAGAAGTGGTTAAAGGCTACTGAACTGTTTGATTTACTTACTTTACATGATCTCCTTCCACAGCTATCACTCTCTTTATAAGAACAGCATCCGGGTCTGAAGGATCACTTTTAAAAGAGTAAAAAAGGAGATAGTTTTTTTGTGAAATGGTATTCAGCACTCAACCAGGGCTGTCATTAGGGGGCGGGGGCAGGAGTGGGGGCGGGGCAGGGGCCGAGGATTTTCCCCAGCTAAAATGAATGTGGCCTGCAACTACTTTCAAAGGAAAATTATAAGAAAAATAGAATCAAAAGATACTTGTAGCTGTTTGATTTCACACCTACTTTTTGTATTTACCCAAGTGACTTGAAATCTTAGTGACAACCCTGCTCAACAATGTTAGTGTCTTACAGTCTTTAAACTGTTCACATGTATCTCACATTATCCAGTACTAATAAAAAAATAGCAGCTGAAAGTTCCTCTGTGGAAATCACCATTTCTTTCATACACCTGTACATGTATGTATGATTTCCAACCTTTTGTTTATCAAGATGACCAGAACAGCATGTATCATTTTTTTCTGTTATCATACATACATAAGACCCTTTTCACCAGTATTACCACTGTTTTATTACTGGTAGTTCTTGGGAATACTATGAAAGTCAAATTGTACGTATATTAGAGTACCACAAATCCAAATTTTGTCCATTTTGACTAATTGTTTGCTCTTAGGAGTGAAAAGGCACCTGGAACTGTAAAACAAGGTCAAGGTTTTTTGAAGTTAGGCCCTGATTTGCCATGCTCAAACAAAACACTGCAAATAGAGGAATGGGGAAATGCCTTATTGTCTCAAACTGACACCTTAATGTACCTCAGTAGCTCTCACAGCTTCTTCAAAAAGTAAGAAACCTCCAAAAGGTAGGGAAAGATCAAGCAAACTCTAACAGTACTCAGAATTCACTCACATGAGAGTTACAATATCTCCTCTGCTAATTCCTTCAAATCGTCTCACAGCCCAGCTGTTCACAAGCACTACATCACCTTTAAAGTGAGGTTTTGGATTTAGCGTTGGCTGTAGATAAAAGTGAAAGAAAAATTAACTTTTATGGTTACATTGCCATGTAATGTGACAGGTGTTGTCCCTCTGATGAGAGATGTCCATGAAACTATACACTGTGTGGAGAAACAGTGACTGCATAGGTCTTCCAGGTGACCAAGCCGCCAAATCCACCAATCAGTGCATTGCGACTGTTGTCAGTTCAAAACCCAACCCTGCCCTGCAGATTGGTGGATTTGGATTGATGTGCACACCTCAAATGCGTTTGGTTGAGAATTTTGCTCTGATCATGTTGAGAAAGCTGGTCTTACAACTTCAAGATCGCTTTTGTTGAGAATTTTTGGAGGGATTGAGCTCTCACTTGGGGCATGGAGACATATCTAGTGGATCAGAAGCCAGCATTTTCGAAGTAAGAAATTTAACAGTTTGGTGTCAGTTCCAGCTTAGAGTGGACCAGGTCATGTGCCAGCAGCTGATTGCTGCATGCCTTTAATAGTCTCCTTCTTTATGACACACGGCACATTTTCTTCAAGCTTTTCTTGAAACATTTGCATTAAAATCTGCACTTTGGAGCAAATTATAGCCATCCTATTTTTCATCTGTTTTTCTTCTATAAATAACAAGAGATTGATGCTCAGATTTCAATCAACAGTGGCCCCACTAACAGAGGGTGGTCTGCCTGTGATTTCAGGCTAAAACAGACTGAACGATTTGTGACGCTAGACTCTCGCCAAATCTTTAGCTATCGTTGATCGAAAAATAAAAGAATGTAAGCTTGGGGCTAATGGGACCATCATTTGACTTTTGAGGGGAGGAGAGGGGGGGTATGGGTGATTTGAGAAAAAAAATTCTGCATACTGATTTCGAGGGAAAAGATTCTTGCACGGAAATACCTGGCGAAGAAAATATCTTTCATGTCGTACGCTGGAAAAAAATTCTCACACCGTTGTATGTCTAGAAAAAAAATTATATCACCAGGGGTTTGGGAAAAATGAAATTCTTACCCAAACCAAATCACCCATAAAAAAGTCAAATGGTCAGCCCCTAAGCTAAATCAAAAATACTTAAGCTTGATATATATACCCACTTACTTGCATTGAGATACCATGGACTCCCTTTAAACTCCCAACGTTCTCTACAAATGTCACAGCTACTGGAAGTCCTAAAGCAAACCCTAAGGCAAAACGACTGAGATACGGACGGACTGTTTGAAAACCCATATCACCGCAATCAAAGGCTGCAGTTTCAACTCATCTGCGCTGTACTGCGTCAGCCAGCAGGCCAGATCCGTCCGCCATGTTGAATACAAGTGAGTAAGTCCCAGTCCTCACCGTGAAACAAATTACCTTGTACGTTCGCAATGCGTGCATATAGCCCTATATAGCGTTAACCGTCAAAATTTTTAAGGTATTTCAAATCTGTCTTCTTTAGCTAATCTTCACTGACTTCCAGTGGCTCCTTAATAATCTCTAAACTGGAAAAAAAATAGTTGCTATGTTCTCAAAAACACTCCCTCAAGACACAAGTACAAGACCTTAGAACTTGCTTACATCTGAAACTTTCGAAATTCTATAAGCGTAAGGCCAAGACAACCCCCAAAACACAACATTTAGTGGAAAGCCCTGTCCCCAAGGGTCTAGCACTTGGGACCTTTAATTCGTAGCTGGTATTTGATCTTAAATTGTAGGAACTACTCTCCTTGAAACTTAGAAGCTTCTTTCGGGCAGACAGGGGCCAAAACAGAGAGAGCTCGGACTTGGTGGACGAGTAGCAATTGGCTACAGCGGAATCTCTTCTTTGGGACACTTCTGTTAAAGGGACACCACATTTCAGGGGACACAAAATTTGGTACCAGAAAAAATGTTCACATATAAATCTTTGTATCTGTTACCTCTATCCAAGGGACAGCTCTATTAGTGGGAAAGGGGCACTCTTTCAGGTTGCCGTATCCGGGGTTTAACCTCTCTTCAGGGGACACCTTAGCACTCAAAAGAGTGACTAATTGCAAAAAAAAGGTTGATACGTTTATGTGTACACTAGTCAAAATGACGACAACTTTCACAACGTTAACTATCTCACTTAAATCGATGTACTTCACTTGTGGTATTTCAAAGCAGAATTTTACAGAGATTAGTTAATCATGATCTTTTATGCATTACATAGCTGCTTGAAATATTGATTGTAGCAGTTTCCGAGGCAGAGTAAAAGAAAAATATTTTATTTGTATGCTAATTATTACAGGTAACAAATCCGAGTGTAGCTAAATGTCGTGGGTCGTGGTTTGTGGGTGTGGGTGTGGGCAAATGTCGTGGGTAAAAAATAAGTCTTCCAAAAAAAGGTTAAAATTAAAAAAATAAATAGCAAAAAGTTGTAAAATTCATGAAACGAAAATCTCCCCGTACATACCTGTCCTATTCCCCTTCCCCGCGGTCAGCAAAGGACATAACTGAATCCTCTAGTACAAACGGACACTAAAACGACATTTAGGTAAAAAATAAAAGAAACTCTGTGCACTATGTAAACCTGAAGCAGGCTATAGAAAAACTGAAGGCTGAACTGCTTTTTCTCAAAGATGTCAACTTTCGTGACTGAAACGTCCTTCAGTTTAAGGAGTGATATTTCGAATCGTTACAGCAAAGATTTTGTACACTAAACAACAACAAAAAAAAAGAATCAAGAAAGCTGTGTTTCGGTACGGCAATAAAATTTACATACAGTCTCGCCTTAACTTGAAAGGTTGGGAATGAAGGTGGTTCCTTCGTAAGGTAATTGAGACCTAAAACTTCTATCCAAAAATATGAAATACCTAAAAATTGTCTTTTTCCCCTCCCCTTTCTCACGGTGATCGAATTGCATCGTGTTAAAAAGTCTCCACTGATCACTGGAATTGTAGATCGAATAAAGATAAATAGTGAGCACCTATTTCCATTCAGCGAGTCAGAGCTGTCCCATGCTTTCTGCAAATTGCAGGTATAATTTACGTTTCTTTCGTTTATTTCGCGGTGATAGCTCAGGTATGGATAAATCTTCATCGGCAAAATGTTTTTTTTTATACAGAGATGTCGTGAAAGGGGAGCCAAGTCCCTCAGGAACTGGGAGGACGAAGAAGAAGCCATGACGAAAAAGTTTGAAAGCGCATCGGCTTGTTAAAGAAAGTTATGAATTATCTGCCCCTTAAACAAAGATTACTTTACTACAATGCTTTGATCAGGCCAGTTATTAATTATGCAAGTGTCCTCTGGACTAATTGTGATAAGGAAAGCCTTGGGTGGGTCATGAAGCTCCAAAAACGAGCAGCTAGAGTAATGCTGAATGCCCCCCCTCTAGCACCATCAGTTCCCTTGTTTAATCGGCTGAAATGGTTGCCTTTTTATAAAGACGCTTTAATATCTAAATGTATCATTGCCTACAAGCGATTACAAGGTGACGTCCCTGTTTATCTAAACGATCTACTTAAATTAAACAGTAACATCCACAGTAGACAAACCAGGTACTGTAATTTTATAACCTAACCTCTTCGGGGTATAATCGCGAAACAGAAGGAGGCAGAACTTTTACCGTCACAACTTGCAAAGCATGGAACAGCTTATCTTTGCCCGTAAGGCAAAGAGACTCAGTTGAGTCTTTAAAAAAAGAATTGTGGAATGAGTTTTTTAAGCAACAGCAGAATCTTGATCACTTTTCTATTTAAGTTACTTGATGAATTGTGACATGATTATAGTGCTATATTTTATCTGTTAAATAATTTAGTAGATTCTATAGTATCTGTATTCTTTGGTTTTTACCTTGTATTTTTTTTATAGCTTACTATACTCATTTATTTTTTTATTACTTATTTATTTATTATTTAGAGGGCGACAAGTTTATTAGTCCAGGCTAAAATAAAGTCTTTACTTACTTACTTACTTACTTACTTACTCTTTACTTACTGTGGGTCGTACGCGTAGCAGTACGCGTGTGGAAGCTACTTGTCAACCACCTTAAATAGCTCGGATGCATACATAATGAAAAACGGAGCCCAGGCATGACCCTTGTGGGACACCACAGTCTAAACTAAAGTGCTCTAAGAGAGATCCATCGATGGAGACTCGCCGACCGCCGTTAAGATGATATAACTTGAACCATTCCGTATAACACTTTAGTCTGATCAGAGCACGGTCAATTCAAATGTTGATTCTTCTAAATATTAAGACAAAACAAATTTCTGTTGAGTTTTTAACTTTTAATAGAAGTCTAGGTTTCCAGAAACTACAAAAAACTGACGACAACGAGTCAATCACATGGCGAAAAAGGGGCGCGAGTTCAACACTAGATCGAGGTGATGACGTATCTGCCATAACACTGGCACATTATGACATCAGAATAAATCAACATCAGTGCATAAATAAACGGTTCAATAACAATGTCTTTTTCAACAATTTCTTTTACTGAATGTCTTTATTTAAATATCTGCTTGGGTCTTTTAAGCCGAAATATCCAGGCCTAGGAACAAAATCTGGCACTGTACGTTTTCATTACCCCTCTCAACTCCCACTCAAACTTTTCAGAATGGAGTTCAAGACGAGTTCCTTGTTCCAATCCAACAATGAGTATTTTTAAGTATTTATACTGATGGTAGAGACCTAAGGAAAACTTAAAAAGGAAGTCTAATGGCCAGGTGTTAGTATGATCAGCAGTCCAACCCATTCGATTTCTCATGAAGTGTGAATACCGATTATGTAATATATAACTTGATTCAAGGATGCCACTGTTGCACAAATCACTTACTCTATAAGTGTCAAACACAAATTTAATTAATGTGCAAATCACTTCCAAAACCCAGTCAAGACTACTTCTTGTAAACTCTGTAATGAGTTGAGTTAATTTCTTCTCGTCCAACAGAATCGGTCGATATTTGTCAAGCACACTCATAAGACAACCATTCTCTTGGAACATTCTCAGGTGCCACCACCTCATCAGGTAGAACAACATCTCCCGAGAGATCCTCAAAAGTTTTTTGTACCTCGCTTTAAATTTAGAAACACCATACCTAGTTTTTATAATAAGAAAACCTGTGTTGAGTATTCTTTTTAAGTACATGGTAGAATACCCTTGTTTAATTTGACTGAAACACTTTTGTATGTCCTTGAAAAACGACACATAGGCTTCTCTCTCAGACCGAAGGGGTTTTACAAAAAGGATTTTTCGGGTTAATAATCGTATCTGAAGTGTTATCTCACCAATCACCGCATCAAACGACGAGGATAAAACGCTGACATTATCCAACCAGGCCTCCCAGCTACATTTACACGGCCTTAGACTATTCTGCCTGTCCTGGAATTCAGACCGAAACCCAAGTACGAAACCACGGACGTCAGGCCTTAAACTGAATTCCAGACCGTTGGGAATCCAACCGTACAACCTCTCATAGATGATTGTATATTCAGCATCCTTTGCTAGAAACACCATTTTACCGCCATGTTCCTTAATTATCGTCGCGACCTCTCTCCATGGATTATAACTGCTATCACTTATTTCAAAGCTAAAAACTTCCGCTAAGTAAAGTGGCGTGACCCCGTCTTTGTTAGGACAATTCACGTCTAACTGATGGCGTTCCTTTTCTTTTAATATTTCTTGTATGAACTTAACCAGCCCTCGAGAAGCTGCCAAATGGTACAAAGTCATTTCGGATTTGCTCGAGTCACATACAATCTGGAAACTACGAGTTTTCATGGCATGATGAAGGAGCTCGAGAGCCACAAGAGATGCGTTATCGTTCCTAGCTATCAGTTCCTTTTTGTCATGAAAGTGCCAAATGCCTCCTCCTGAGTGCAGTATTGCAAGGGTAATCGCGTCATATCCTTGTGGAGACAATAAGGACGAGTTTGCACCAAGCTCTAGAAGGCTGAGAACACCTATTAAGTTGGCTCCCTGTGCAGCTCTGTGAAGGGGCGTAAAACCCTCTGCGTCTAGACAAGAATCAATTATTTTGTTCTTCAATCGATGCCTTTTCATAGCTCTTTTAAGGGGACTTTTCCTCGATAAACAAACATGGTTTTTACATCTTATTTGTTGAAAGAAATTATTATCTTGACGCTTTGGGGGGAAAAAACAAAACAAATGAAAGACTGATGAGATAAAAGGCTCTCCACATTTAATTGTGGTGGAATCATGTAAGTGTTTCAAAAGGATATCTGTCCAACCTCCACCATTAGCAATGAAAGCTAAAGCGGGTGTCTTTCCAGAACTATCTTTGCAATGAACTCTAGCTCCCTTAAACAACAAGAGTTGAGCTATATAAGGCTGTTTTTTCGCAAGAGCATGGTGTAACAAACTCGTACTATTACTCTCGCATTTCTTGAATTGGGCTCCATGTGAAAAAAGTACATAAACAACCATCCCATTGTCTCGTAAATGCTGTGGCAAGTCGAGGAAACGTTTGCCGATAACAAACGGAGTATTAGTTGGTTCTTCAGTGCAATTTTCCACCGCCACATCCATTGGCGTTTTGCCAAACTTATCACGGATTTCAAGCTTAGCCCCCCAACTCAAAAGAAAAATGACGGCATCAGCCAAACCATTCGCTGATGCTAAATGCAGAGGCGTTCGTCCATATAAGTCGACTGCATTTATGATTGAACCATGCTCGATTAAGTGAATAAATGAAATGAACCATCGATTATTGTTATTGACGTAGATAAGATTAGCGTCCACACAAAGATGATGATCTCTGCGGTCAAATACTGTTACGTGAAATGTCACACCACACGAATCGGTTCTATGCAGTTGTCCTTCAAGATTAAGTGGTCGTATATGGAGAATTGAATAATGTAATGGTGAGAGGTTACCATCGTCAACCGCAGTAACGTCGACTCCAAGGTAAAGCAAGTAGTCAATAACCTCCACTGCACCACATGCTGCCGCGCTATGAAGGGGTGTTGATCCATTGAAACTCTTGCCGTTTACATTAGCGCCAATGTTTGTATGGGCTAAGGCACGGACAAAAGCTATGTGATTATGACAAGCAGCTACATGAAGAGGAGTCGCGCCTTGGCAGTCTGGAGCATCCACTTTTGCGCCAGCACTGATTAGGTGTAACCCGATTTCAGTATGCCCGTATCGAGCTGCTACATGAAGAGGGGTATATCCGCAGTGACATATATCTTTTTCATACTCAGCAACTTCTTCAAAACGCAGTTGCGGTGAATTCCGTGCCTTTGGAGAAATATGATCATGGAAACTTTGTAAATGTTTGCAAGTTTCATATACCAGTTTTGGATCTTTCAAAAGCAACAAGTCTACTATTCGGCTGTTACGTCTTCGGACTGCTTCGTGGAACGGAGTCCTTCCTGAATAATCCCGGCAGCCTAACGCTGTAGTTGGGTTGGAAGCTAGCTCCCTGACTACCGCTTCATGGCCAGCTGAGACCGCTGCATGAAGCGCAGTTTCACAGAATATAAGATGTTTGTCGTCATAAAGTTCTCCTTCTTTATCCTTAGTGCTTCCATTCGCTAACAGGAACTCATAATGTATTATCTTCGAGTTTGAGTGAATGCATTCTTTATATTGAACAAAAGGTGGAGGAGAAAAATTATCCCTTTGCAAGCGTTGTTTCCCTTTTAGCCAGTAGAAAGACCCATCGCATCTCATGCATTTATCTGTAACACCAGTTTGTAAAAGGTACTTGACAACTTCTAACTTATTGTTTGCTGCCGCATGATGGAGGGCAGTTTGATCAGGAACGGCGCCTGCTTCGTATAATGTCTTAACAACCTCCACATGTCCTCTCTCGGCAGCTATCTGTAATGCAGTCAGTTGGACACCATTGACCGTCGAAATGTTCGCTCCATTGTCAATGAGAAAGTTAATTACTTCTAAGTGACCTCCATGAGCTGCTACATGAAGCAATGTAGAGGAAAATAACTTTGATTTACATTGAAACACTGGATTACACCTAACACTAATATTGTAAGATTCTACAGACTCGTTTCCTTGTAGTGTGTAGGTAGACGAGAGAGACTTTGTTTTATGATGAATATTGGCTCCTTTCTTTACCATTAAGGCCAAGTTATGCACAAGACCATGCTCTGCCGCCAAAAACGCAGGGGTTATTCCACGATTGTCAAGGTAATCATCGTACCCAACATGACGCAACAATAGATCCAATGCATCTGTGCTGTTTATCGTAGCAGCAAGGTGCAACAAAGTCCTATTAATTGTAGGATCTGATGAATCAAAAACCTTTGAAGGGACACTGAGAATTTTTTTGCTGAAATCTTTTTTCCAACTGCCATGAGCAATGTGTTGTGCCAAGTTGAAAATGTATTCTGGCAATGAGGACTTGGGTCCATCGGTAATTAAGCAAAAATAATAGTCACAAAACATTTCGTGTCCCTTCTTCTCGTTGACATAAAATGGGCCATTTGCATTGCTTTCACTTGTGAGCCATTCTGTTAACGATGGATGATAAATTGTCACTCTGTCGTTTTCTTCGTATCTCAAAAGATGCCCCAGCTCATTCATTCTATATTTCAACCTACTAGCTTCTTTAAGATTCTCTTTCCTTCTGAGAATATCGAAAATCTCTTTTTCAGAGATTGGTTCCAAAGTTGCCACAAGTAATTCAAGCACTCGGCGTATAGGTTCAAACTTTTCCGGTCGACTGTACAATCCTTCAAATTGTCTTTTGTACAATTCTCTTAATGTTTCAGGCAGTGAGTAAGGATGAATTATTTCAGCTCTGGAGGTTTCCCAAAGATGAAGCGTCCCCTTAGCGAGCAGGAAATTACCTTGACTTTTGCTCAACAGGGCAGATATCAATCGTGAGGTGTTTCTTGTGCTATTATCTCCGAACCACAATTTTATTCGACGAATTAAAGGATCATCTTCGAAAAGCTTTCCCACCAAAAAAGTTTCAATGTCCTGTATATTTCGATTATCGTCAGGGTTAATTTTTAGCTTAATGAAGTCGTTCGAACTCATGGAAAAGCTAGTTTCATTGCGAGAAGTCATCACAAGTTTTAGCCATGATGGAAATCGAAGCTTCTTATCAAGCAAATGAACAATACTGCGAGCTGTTTCACTCTGGGTGACGCATTCATCTAAGGCATCAATGACAATATACCAGTTCTCTTTCGGTTTATTCTTCAAAAGTTCTAAAGGTTTCAATATTGCCTCTTGGAAACAACGAACAAAATCTTTATTGGTGACACAGTCATTGTTTAGTGATTGCTGAACTTGGGAATTGTCGACAACCATGTACCCATATTCCGGAAGTCTGCGAGCTATCATATCGGCTAAGTTTCGAACAAACTTGCCTCCGTTCTGTGTATTTCTCTCAGACCGTCTACAGAGGTGGTACCCAAGAATGTGATCGTAGAAGGTCCGACCAGACTTTCGGGAGCAGATTAATTGTGCAGTCAGAGCAGACTTTCCAAGTCCAGGCTCTCCAGTAATCAAGACTCCAGACACATCCTGGCGTGAAGGGTAGAAGGAATTCTCCATCAATTGAAATAACCATTGACGACCAATAAAATTATCTCGAGAATCATCAAGGTAATGGGTAAAGTTAAACTCTTTGGTGTCAAAAAGAACTCCAACCGCCTCTGTGGGACAGCCTGTGGAATAAAATCGTATAGTATGATTACAAACTCTATTGAAATTAGAGTAGGGTTGCGGACAGAGGCCTCGCATTTCCGCAGAGGTTCAACATGGCGTTTTTGGATCTCTGCTGCGCAAGGAGAGTGCAGGAGCGAAATCCGAAAGATTCTTCAGCGCGGGAACCTCTGCCCGAAGTCTGTCCTTTTCTCGTACAGCAACGGATTTCTGGGCCTTTACTAATGTTTATAGCTTCAAGTTCATTGCTTGCCATTTTACCGTTGTAGACGCTACACGAATTCTAGCCAATCCGCGGCCGGGTAATATGTCCACGAGATGTAACAAAAACTTACATTGTCTTGGTCAAGAAGCAAGTTACACTTCGCTAGTACACTCGAACCTCCCGTTAGCGGACACCTTTTAGCCTTATCGACTGCCAGAGAGTAGAGAAAATACCACATTTTCCTTTTTCGACCAGTTTTCTGTCCGTTAGCGCTGGGACGGCTAAAAAGACATTTACACTGCTTAAGGCATATCATGTAAGTTAACAGCATGTGCGCTTGTGAATATTTTTTTGATCTTTGTTTCTCGCTCTCTTTTTCCCCTTTGCATGCCTTTCTTTTTTATATCTAGTTTTGTTGGCCACTTTATCGTCTTTTTTCGCACGGAATTTTGACCGGCTAACTTTCCACGAAAGCGCTTCGGCTTTTGCGTGTAATTCTGTCAGAACTGCCCGAAGTTTGCCTTACCTCTGCAAAGATTGATCCTTGCTGATTCATTGATTTTACCATTCTATTCAACTGAAAGCTAGTTAAATAGGTCCATGAACGAACACTTTCGTTCCATATGGAACAAAAACGAACAAAGCGGTCGTCAAAGGGTTAATACGAGGAAAAGAGAGTCTGCATGAAAATGTCAGTGGGACACAAAAAACAAACAAACAAACAAATGAAAAACGAATTTTACCCCAACTTACCGTCCTTATATGGGCTTTCATCTAGAATTCCAATGCAACAAAACAGGATTAATAAGTATAGGCAATCTTTGAAAGATTTTTGTTGGATGCTTCCCACAGCTCTCGAAAGGAAAATGGTGATGGTCATTAGTAGTTTCGGAATTGGCTGGACAAGACTTGAGAAAGTAGTTGTTTCATTTTTTTGCTCCACCTTCTTGAAAGACGTTTTTAAGTTACGTAGTTGACCTTCCACGCGTGCCCGCTGTTTTTCGTTTTTCTTGGCTTCCTTTCTTAACGACTTCATCTCACTTTTAAGGTTTAACATGTCGCTTCGAATTGCCTCCTTGAATTGAGATAGGACCTCGGCTTTGAATATTTGCACATCTGAAGTGCATTTCAAGGCTAAAATGTCCTGAAGAGCGTTCTGAACATCTACATCCCCAACAAACACTGGATCTTGAAGAAGTTTCTCGATTGTTTGAAAGGCAGCACGTTTTTCCTTGTCGTTCAACTCTAACTTCGGAACATGTACCCATTTTGTGTTTCTGGTTTCTCGGACATCTTCAATCAGTGGTCGCTGAACAAGAAAATGATTGCACCAGTACAACAGATTCAGAATTCCAGTGATGTCCAGGTCTTCGACGCTCTCGATCACGATATGTAACCCAATATCAGGAAGAAAAAGTTTAGCTATTTCCCATTTACCTTTACTGGGGTCAATCCAATTGGAGGAGTCACTTTGCTTCCAGTTCGGCTTGTTCACAATGTGAACCCCCTGTAAAATTTGTGCCCATGCACACGTGCTCATATCGTGGTAATGGTTCTTTTTTCTACTCTGATCATAGACACAGGTGCACGGTCCAGCGCGTAGTGCCGTCATTGCGGCTATTACATTGCTATAGAAAAGATCCATCTCTCGTTGAATATAGGGACGAAGACCTTGACAAAGAACTGATGTCAAAGCGCGTCCGAGGGAAAGCCAGTTTCCTTCTTCTGGAGAGGTCAGTTGAACGAAAGCCTTAGAGGGTCCTGCTGCTGCCATACTAAAGTATAACACTTGCTAGTAGAAAAACAAGAAAGGGGAAGAATTCGATAGTTTGTATATATATAATCAGAGGTTGTTTTCATCCAGAAAGCTCGGAGGATATATAAGCTAGTCAGATTTAAAACAAAGTAAACCAGCGCATATATATCCTCTATGAATGGCAAAGCGCGACTGGTCCGTACGATGATCTAAGATTAGTGACCCATTAGCCGGTCTAAGGCCCGGTTCAGAAGCCGCACTTTTGATGAGCCGAACCTAATTCGAATCAAGGCCGACCCAAATTATTTAGACCGAGTGAATTGATTCAGACGCCGATCTTAATTTCAGCCGAACTAAATTCTAAGGGAGAAAAATGCTCATTTCGATCAAACTCCTTACAAAATACGTTATAATAATTTATGCATTAGGTTCGGTACATGAAAAGTTCGGCGCCACAATCAAAGCCGTTCCAAAGTCGCTCCAAAGGCGAAATTCCCAGCCGGGCCAGGCGAAAATTTAAACAGGCGTTCCTCATTGATTCAGACGCCGAACTTATCATGTACTTAATTCAATGTATTAGGTTCGGGTCATGAAAAGTTTGGCGTCTGGACCGGACCCAATTATATAACTTCACGGGTAAACTGACTGAAATCAACTGTTAGTTAGAAGCGCAGGCGAAGGACAGCATATTGGATTTGCCCCGATTACGGAAAATTCCTATTAGACACGAGTGGAACGGTCAGTGCGCTTCGGCCTTTTTCTTCTAGGATCAGAGAGTATGAATGCAAAGCACGCATTCCGGCGCGTATGAAAAGACATTTCTGGAGAGAGTTGTTTCTACGGTTTCCTCCTAAATAAATTGAAAACACTTTTTAGGCTATCCAGAGTACTTTGAGATCTCTAGAATGAATTCTAAGGGGGCGCGGTCATCCTAGGGCAACTTAAGTCTCAGTATTACTTTCCAGAAAATTTTAGATACAATTTAATTTTTACGAGAGTGAGAATGTTTCTAATTCCTCTCTCCATCGGTATTTTTGGGGAGTGAAATGTGAAAAATTAAACTTCAGAAAATTGTAGGGAATTTATTAGATAAGCTTCACTAATTTGTATATGAACGGAACAGTCATCCGAAAATTTTTAGCCGTCCTCGAGTAATACAAAATTCTATAATAGCAATCAGTTTGCTTCTCCGAACAGACATTTTATAAAATCAGTCGTTTTCGTGAGTTCCCTCTGTCAACTGAACGTTAGGCGAATTTCATTTTTAGTAATAAACGAGTCTAGCATTTCTTGATTGGGGGTTTAGCCAAAGTTTGCTTTGTTTGGTTTTTCTGAGGTGAAAGATGACCCCGAAATGCTTGAGTAATGCAACACGACCGTGACCCTCGATGGGCCTGTATATTTTAAGAGTGTCACGATCTTAAGAGTGTCACGATCTTATGTAAATATTATACTTTTCTAGTATCCATCTGTTTCTCAAAACGGTTAAAATGAAAAAAAACTTTCTGTAAAAGAATAGTCCGCAGTTCAGGTTCCGTGTTTATGACCATAACCGGGTAAATATGGTTTAGCTCCCTATGATGCACTGTTCGACTGCGATGTTTGTTGCATCTGCCATTATGGCTAGCGATTATAGCCATTCCATACCACTGCCGTATAAAAAGTCAATAAAAAACCGGCTCATAGTTTTTGATGAGTGTCAACGTGTGCTGATAATGAAGACATCGATGTACTATTAGAGGTTTCAAAGCCGTTCATTGACAAGGAGCTAGAAGGACGGCCTGCAGGGATGTAGTGATGCACTGAATGCATAATGCATGGTGGAGGAGCTTTTTATCTCAGCTCAATATCAGCGTTGACTTTCGGCTATCAGTTAACTCTTTAATTGAATGTTAAAACTTCGCAACTCCAGTTAAAAACCCTTGCACTTCCCAGCTGGCACTCAGTTCAAATGGTGAAGCCCATCGAGCTAAGAGCTTCATGTGATCGTGATCAAATTTAACGTGCACGCTAGTTCTGTTTATCTGAAAGCGTGTTTCCTAAGCTACCCTAGCCTGGGTTGCGTGAGGGGCTATTCATAACGATCCAACGTCACTGCTTCCCAAACGAACACTAACAGTTTTTGAGCGACTTACCTTTCAATTAACATCGATCGTCAAGAAGGCAAGATGCGGAAGTGAACAACCTCGCTCCCAGGTTTCTCTCCGTGGGAACGAGGTTGAGAAGTGAAATGCACAGCAGCATTCTTCAGAGAGGCAGCTGTCATCTTTGTAGCGCAGCTCTTTTCTGTGGAAGGATCATTGATATCATTTAAATTAACGCCGGAAAATAGCCAAAAATAGCCGAAAATAGCCCGAGCTTCTGGAGTGGTACAGTACCGCCCCAAAAAATAGTTGCGGTTTTGTGGAGACAGATAGCCTGGGCAGCGAGCGTTTCCAATCGAGTTATTGCGCGAGCGTTAGAGCGAGAGCAAAAAAAAAAAGGTGGAAGGAGGAGGGGGAGAGGAGAAGAGGAGAGAAGAGGAGAAGAGGAAAAGCGTATAGCTGTCGCATTTGCCCGCTAAAATTTATTGTTGTTTTTAGGCTTAAAAGCAATAAAAAATCCCACCGGGCAAATTTCCGACGGTAGTTCATGACATTTCTAAACAAACTGAACTGCGAGCGCGTTTAGGTAAAATCTTTGCTCGTTGGCACTTAGGGATAGCTATAACTAGTTAATAAATGATAATAGGTGTGTTCACACCAAGCCCCTAAGTGCACGTGGGTTCAACTGTACTTGAAAAGCGCGTATAGGGTTTTTGGTACGACATGGCTTTCACACTGAAGTCAAAGTTAACAGTTTTGGCCGGAACTAATCTTGCTCTGGGAGTCCAATTACACGGGAAAACGCTGCTGTTTATGTGTTTAATCAAAACGTTTGCGAAGACAAGAGCCATATAACTATTGCCAGGAGACTTATTCTCCGTTTATTGACAACAGTCTTCTTAAACAGTAAAAATGTGGCCGAAGGTTTCATCTTTGATCTTCTTAAAGCTGTCCTCGGCAGTCTTTTGACCTCGTTGCTTCATGTTTTTGAAATCGTCTTCCAGATGTTGTATTCTTTTCTTAAACGGCTTGGGTCAGGTTCTAACGCTTTCAACAAACCTTAGTACTGCTGATGGACACGAAAACTGGGTTGAACGGGTTGGAAAAAAATACAAAACAATAAACTGCATTCTGATTCAACGAATCGCAAAATGGAGGAAAATCGCTATTCGTGGAACATATGTCATTTCGTTTCCACGGCCAAGTTATGCACTGACGGTGTGTGTGTCAAATAAAAAGGGAAAGCATGAAATTTCCGAGCCAGTTCATGAATCAGAACTGAAAAACCCTCCCAATATTTCGTTGAGATCACTGAGAATCCTCATTCATCCTTTCTCTCTCGATATTGATCGCGTGCGAGAGTGAACGTTGTGGCTTGAGATGAATGACACTTTGATAATAAGCTTCCAAGGCTTTGATTCGATAAGTGCAGTCTCAAGGAAGGTTTTGACCTTACTTGAGAGCGCATTACGGCACTTTGAGGTTTTGAGGTTTCTGTGGCAACTAAGTACGACTAACTAAATGAAGGAAGATCCTGTGTCAAGTGAAACAGGACCCGTTCACCCACAAGTTAGCCTCAAGTGCACTTCAAATGTACTTCAAACAAGCAAACTGTCTTTCTTAACTACTGTTACATCAATAACAGGTGACCCTGGCCATTTCCATAACTTTTAACGTAAATTAATTTTCGTTTAAAATTAAACTTGGGCTTTAGCGTCGTTCTTTTTTAAGACTATTCAAAAACGTATCATTTGCCTTAGGGTAACTTAATCCAAGAAATATATTACATCTATCATGACTAAAGGCTTGGTTACCAATGGTGGCATCGACCATTAAAAATGGCAAAGACCGTTTACGAAAGGGAAATAGTTGTGACTTCGATTTGTATCGATTTCTGATTAATGATTGATTTATTGATTGATATGGATTGTTATCCGAAACTAATTTGCTTCACTAAGTATTTAGTGGACGTGACCTCCAAGTGCAAATTCGACTAAATGCCATTTAAACCGGCTCGAAACAGCAAGGAGACGGTTAATTTAGAAGAATATAGAAGAGCTTTGTCTTTTTTCTGTGACTTCTATTGTTAGGATTTCCATATCAATCGATAACAATCAGCAAATGATATCGACAATATCGATTTCTATCAATTAACTACGCCTGCATGGCTGATTGAATTAACGCTTTTTTTCATGTAAATACTTTATGTTCGAAGAAATTTGCATAAGCTGCTGACCACCTGAGTGAAAATGATATATACTGCGTAACGTAGCAAGTTATAGGGTTTAGAAGGGAAAGTAAAAATTCGAAAAACTCGTCTTCTTTATTGTGAAGAAACGAAATAAATAGAGAATATTACACGGTGGCGAGAAGATATGAATTATTTTATGTTCGAGTGGCAAGAACAATATCTCACGAGTGAGCGCAGCGAACGAGTGAGATATTGCTCTTGCCACGAGAACATAAAATTCATATCTTCGAGCTAACATGTAATAATCTTTTTATTATATAAACATACTGATGACGGCGTTTTTGATGATTTTCCGAAGATTTCCGATCACTTTCCGAAGATTTCCGAAGATTTTTCAAATTGTCCCGAAGACCAGACGAACGTTCCCGAATATTTCCGAGAATTTCCGAAAATTTCCGAAGATGTCCGAAGATTTCCGAAGATTGCCGAGCACTTTAGAGGAAGACCCGAAGATGTTTCGATGATACACCAACGAATTTAAGTACAATTTAAGAGAGACAGTGTCTGCCTAGCACGTGACGAGTTTCTGGTTGTAAGGGAAAGGTATCATTTTATTGTTGGGCACTGTACTGCAATGGGCTATTTCCACTCGTGAATTTATTAGAATAAACTTCCGCCTAACTTTCTAGAATTATCTCCGCTCGTAGAACAGTGTATGGCAGATAGCATCAACAATGGGTCTTAAAGTGAAGAAGTGGCTGACTAATTCTCAGTTTGAATTGCGAGAAGAATCTTGATTTTTTTAATAAGTCTATCGAGCGGTTTAAAGATTATTCAATAATTTGTTAAAGTAGACTGAAATGTTTACAAAACCGCTAACAAGAGCGCCATGATACATACTAATCAAATCCTTCTTTGTAGCAATTGGCCGGAGCTATCTCCATGATCTATCACCCACGTTTTGAAAAGATTGAAACTACTATGAGGTGAAATTGCATGTCAAAAGTGCATCGTTTTCTACACATAATGGCCAAACATCAAGATTTTCCTTTTTTACCGTATTTCCAACGATAAAAACTTTATCCAAAATATCTCGATGACGCTCTTACAGATTCCGTTTTAACGTCACGAACATCGAGGCGACTATTGGAGGAAAAAGCTCCTGTGATCGATTTTAGAAGAACAGTTCCCAGAGAGAAATATTGCTGCAAGTATAATAGGCAATGGCTTCATTTCGTTGCTATAACAACTCCGATGTCATTGCAACCCTGATCACAACAAATTTTCATCTTTATCTAATACACCTGTGGTGGCAACTTTTCCAAATGTTTGTTTATGGCGACGTAGTTTATGCTCAAACTTGGCAGGTATTGACCATGAAAAACTGTATGGAGCCATTTTCATATGCCATTACGGCCTATCTTGTTGCATCGGCCCTCGTTTCTGTTCGACTGTTCTGTAAAAATTTGGGCGACTTACAAACATTTTTTGGGCAAATGGTTTACCGCCCCTCCTGGCAAAAAATAGCCCGTACGCCTATGGTACTTGTAGAAGAAACTCAGAAACATTTTGTGCATTCCGCCATATCTGAAGACATCGAGGAGGTTACCTATCCAAGGCAATGGTTAGGGTCCTGGGAGCGGAGAGCCTCCGAGAATAGAGTTGTATTTTTGGATCCCTCGCCAGTAGAAAAATACTAATAATCCAAGGATCACCGCCAGCTGGTCGTGAAGCTAACGTCCTGTAAGGTTTCTAACACAGTCGCCATGTTTGCATGTGACATGTGTGCTCTACTGACTCAGTGTGACCTTGCATGCCCCACCTGCGAATAAGCTACAGCTATCTGTTTGGTGTGCAAATTTTCAATGCTGGATTATAGTAACGTAATGCGATGTTTACTTTGACAGATATTAATCCTTCAAGCCCTGTTTCAGTTGTTAACTCATTTCTGCTGGAAATAAGAAAGGTAAAAAAGGTCGACCTGTCAGCATTTTCTTCTCATGGCTAGATTGCAATTCGCTAACTTTGAATATTCGCCGCTGTTGCAGCACGTTGCCGTGGTCCTTGGTTGCTAATAAAACAACCGTAAATGGTTTTATTCAACTAATTAATTCTCAAATTTCATGTTGTTTCGTTTTAACCAATGACAACCCAGGGTTTTATGAAAAACAAATATTGTTACATCGCGTGTTGTCATACTTATCGCGTGACATTTGCGCTTGGCTTTGTCACTTTAAGGCCAAGTCTCACGCGATCGATAAGGAAGCTTCAACATATCTCGCGCGAAAAGGACATGGTGCATTTCAATAAACAACAGTGCAACACGAGGGATTATGTCTTAAATGGTTTATTCAACAACTTGGAAATATAAAGATTTACATTCAATTCAACGTGTAAAGTCTGTTAAAATTCATGTTAGTGGAAGTACAGCGCGGCTTGAAGTCATCATTGAAAAAACAAAAGCCTTGACCCGGCACGATGGATACTGTCCGCAAATTTGCTAGGCTAATTTTGCTAAATCTTATGAATGTATTTATTACTGAACTTTTTTATTTCTTATTATTGTTTTCTTTAATGAAGAATACGTGTCCTTCAGAAGGACGGGTTGTCTTACTTTCCTTTCTTGTTTAATTGGGGAACATAACTATTGTTTTCTTTCTTTTCTTTTTCTTAGTTTAAGGTCTATAAAACATGCCATGAAAAATAATTCTCCTTTATCTGTGCAATAAACTAAAATCAAAACAGAGTCAGTACATTTACGTTAAGCCCTTGACTGACCTTTAATTATTTCCACACTAATTTTAGTATAAATTCTAGAATTTATTCTAGAACTAAAGCGCCGAACAAATTCTAGAATCACAAAACCAGATAACCTCATCGTTTCCTCTAGATCTTCCGGGTGCAGTTTGTATTCTTTGCCAAGCTTCAGTCCTAGCAAGCTGCAATAGTTTTACATTTTTAGGGAGTTCTGAATACTAACATTTAAACAAATATTGGCAAGGCTCGTTAACTTTAATTTGAAGCTCCCTACAGGAGAATGTATAGGCCAACGGGGTCGATGTCTAACATGTCCAACAGAAGACATGAAAGCCAACAAACCTCCCCAGAAATGGAAAGCGCCATCGGTTATCACCATGTGCAACAGCCATCGATTTATGCAGTACAATCTGATGGGCTTTTTGATCTGTTCGTAGCTAAGCACACGGTGGATTTCTCTTTGAAACGTCAGTTACTCTCAAGAAATGGTTTTATGATTCCTTGGAAGAACATCTCTCATTTGTCTTTCTCAGTTGTTGGCCAGAAAAAGGTGCGTAAAACGGTAATTATCATTGTTTCAGACATGAGTTTAGAGTCAGAGACGGCTGCTCTGTGCCTATTAGACTGTTATAATCTGGAACTTATCATAGTCTGGAATAGCCAAGGACTAAAAAAGTCCTTTTTGTAATCTTTATTATCTTTGTATATGATCATCGGCTATGAAGCGCTATGCTGATGATAAAGTCTCTGTGACTTTGTCTGTATCTGTGCCCCCTCTCCTTAAACCCCATTATTAGGAAAAAAAACAGTAAAATTTTATAATTTTCATGTTTGAAAAAAGGAGATCGAGTCTTAATTTTGGTGCCCTATGATTTCTGCATACAGAAAAAACTCAGATGGGGAGGGGGGGGGGACTGCCAACACCCCCCTCCCTATTCCTAAACTTTTTTTTTGCTGGCGGGAAAGCCAAAGAGTTAATACTGGGTAGAACCGAGTCCCTTGGTCGCGCCTCCCCCATCTGCAAATGCCATAAGTGATTAAATCATTAATTGTGACCTGATAGTTTGATCTATAATTTATGAAACCTCAAGAAAGTAATCATTGGTTTTCGTTTTGTACACCTACAGAATTTCAATCCACAAGGGAAGTGTCCACAGAAAGAGAAATTTTCTATGAATGGCCACCCACAGAAGTGAGTGTACCAGTGACCAGTTGACTTCTTTTTTCCTAATGAGAGCACCAACACAAGTTTCCTTTGCATATACTTAGAAGAAATACAAACTGACTATAAATCTTTTGTTTGTCTTTCAGACTCATCTGCCCACTTTGTGGTCACATCCTACACATAGGCCTGACTCCTGAACTGTAGCATCCTAGCAGTGAAAGGTTTCACAGTTTCCATGAGACCATGCCATGCATATATGTAGTGTACGTTTTACCATTGTTGTAGGCACGTTTAGTACTGACCCGATATACAGTAGCTGGGCACAAAAAATAAAACTCTGATAATGTAATATAAACCCTAGTTAGTGAAAACCAATTCAGAGAGACAATTGTAAGATTTAGTGGGAGATATGATTAGAAATACAGCACTGTGGATTGAGCTGATTCATGAAGCATTATTTGAATAAAAAATAATATTTAATCCTGAATTAAAAACAGCACAAATGAATACTACAGTAAACATTTTAACACTCTAAAGTGCCATCTTTGGTGAATAAATTTGAGGTCCCTCATTCAACACAAATCCAGTTCCCATCATCTAACAGGTCCACAAATTATTTCTGTAACAGAACTTTTTTCCTCAAACTTATTATGAGTTCGACTAGAGCCAGCTGTAGAACCACTGCATGTTATTCCATCTCTTTTCACTGTTGTATCCACATTATTGGGAAGATCTTTTGCATTCCTTGATTCATAGTAAGTAGAGATTTTATCAGAGTCTAGCCGTCCCTCTGGTGAAAATGTTCCTAGTTTTTGCCATCTCCCTGGTGGCCATACAATGTGAGTAGCTTTTACCTGAACAAGACCCAGTGACACCTACAGAAATAAAATGAAATGGAATACATGTAACATAAATAGGTAAATTTATGGAACAGACAAATTTAGATCAACTTCCCAGAAAATTGTGGAATTCAAGGATACAACTCCAACTTTCCGAGAACCTGTACACCATTTTGAAATAAAGAGCTTACTTTCACACTAAGTGGACCACTGCCATTTGACATTAGGACAGATTTCAGTTTATATGACAACTCACCGGGCCAAAGGAGTTGCTGTCATGACTGTGTGAATGATTATCTCCTTCAACCCAGCAATGACCTGCTGGGATATGTACAACCTTCTTCTTGTAGTTTATAGTTCTACAGAATGGAAATAAGGAAAGAAAATAAGAAATATAAATAAATAGGTACAAATAAGTAAATAAACAGTAGTGTTTTGTTTAGAGTGCAAGTGCAATACTTGTCTGTTTTATTGTACAGTGGCTAGTTAACAACCAGACACTCTCTTGACACTTGTAAAATAACAATAAAGATAAAAAAAAATCAAAGTCAAACATTCATGCAACATGATAAAAAAAAAGCCTGGACTAGCTTAAGAAACCAGCTGGCTACTGGTTATTTGCAAGTGTGATATAGGAATTAAACTTTGGGACAACTGAGAAAAAAAGGCTAGCAGTCAAGGCCACAAAAAGGCCTGAACGAGGCCACTCATACACCTGAACACACTTCCTCCTTAGAAAAAGAAGAAAAGGTAGCATTAAAGTTTGGTTTAAGAGAGACTTTGTCTTAAATTCTTAGATGAGACAAAGAAGACACTGGGTGTGGTAGACTATTATGAACTACATGTGGTTTCAACATAAAACGATTTTTTGTATGCTTCAACTCCAAGACACAACTTAAGTGATCTCTTTGTTCCATCAGGGGGCCAGATTTGCATAGCCTTCTGAAGAGAAGACACATACATATCCTAAGCCAAAATGAAGTTTTTTAGCTGTACATTGTAGACTACTGGCATGAGAAAGAATGCTAAAAATAAATTAGCCTCAGCCTAGGCTTTGGGTGAGTGTACAGACATCTGAACCCTGGGTAGAATAAAATACACATTAGGTAAAAAACCAAATGGTTCCAAGGGAACACTACTGGACAACACCAGCAAATTTTGATCATTTACTTCGGCAACATTTCCATGATAATATTTAACAATACATGTTAGCGGTTAAAGGAACCCTACTGGATTGACTGATTGATTTACAGCTGTACTTACTTTACATGATCTCCTGCCACACCTATGATTCTCTTTATAAGAACAGCATCAGGGTCTGAAGGATCACTTTTAACAGAGATAAAACAGAAGATAATTCCTCACGAATCATTTCAACAGTCAACGATTGTCTTACAGTTTTACTACATTTGTCCATAGGAAATGCAGGAAAGGTTTTTAAATGTCTCCAATTTTCAAATGTCAACTTCAAGCATCTCATTAGCTGTCACTGCTTCTTTGTAAGTTGTTAAAAAACCGCCAAAAGGTAGTGACAGATTATGCACACTCATGCAACAGGAATTTACTCACATGAGAGTTACAATGTCTCCTCTGCTGATTTCTTCAAACCGTCTAACAGCCCAACTGTTTACAAGCACTACATCACCTTTTAAGTGTGGCTTTGGATTTAATGTTGGCTGTAAAAAAAAAAAAAAACGAGAGACAATTGACTTTCACTTTTGTACTATATTCCTGACCAGATATGTGTTGTGGTTCAATTTTAACCTTGGTTAAATTTTATTTTCCATTGTTTTGGGTAATATGGTTATGTATTTGTAATGAGTTTGAAACAAACACAAATTATTTAAAGCAAGGATAAAATTGAACCACAGCATATGCAACAGAGTGTGTAATAGGGTACTGGTCAAGTTGCACAAAAGTCACTTTGCCCAAACCCCAGAGTTAATAGGGAGCTTGAGCAACAACGACGCCGACAGTGACCGCAACAGGAATGGCAAAAAGGCAATAGGTTAGATCAGCAAAACAACAACTTTGCATGCACTTGCATCATGCTTTTTAGTACATTTCTTAGCTGTCATTACACGACTACAACATGAAAGTGCCCAATTTCAAATTTTGCCGAGGACGGGAACACAAGACAACAACTTTTTTTTTCCTGAACTTTGATACAGTCCTTCAGAATTCAACTGCAAAAAATTTGCCAACATACGACAAATTAAACAAGATGGAATGAGTGTGATAAGTTACTCCCTTATATACAACATGTAAGCCATATAGGTATGTGCCAACCTGAAAGGGTAGGGTTTTCGGGCCTTTTTGGTCTGAAAACGGGTATACACTTTGCCCATTTTAGTCTGGAATTGGGTAAGGATTTCAAGGGAACTACGGGAGCATATGGACGTGGTTATCGTTTCAATTCCAAATAAATAAGGATGAAGTAGAAATATGTAAATTCACAATGCTTTGGAAGGATTTTTTTGTTTGCGCTTTAATCTAAGTAATGATGACATAATTCCTGCCTAATGGCCAGGTCTGAAAACAGGTGTGGAAAATGACATTTTTTGGTCTGAAATAGTGTGAGGATAAGGGGAACCGGGATGCACACCCCCACCAAGAATTCCCAGGAGTACCCCCCCTCCCCCAGTACTGTACATGTAGGGGCTATGCGGAAATGTTGAGTTTACATGAAGAAATTCCTGTCTGTGTGAGTACCAAATAAAGAAGGATTTAAAGATGGCAAACAACAATAACAAGCAAACAATTTGGGAACCTCTGTTCTCTTCACTAGCAGTAATAACTACCTTTCAGCAGCTGCTGACATTTGATCGCTTGTGGTATAATTGCCAAACGAAATTGCAGGCCCTACCCTAGGTAATTACCATGATTACCAACTGAACACCCCGCCTCTATTTTTGCGTGGTTTGTCCCTAGTACTAGGATCTTCTTCACGCTAGGATATTTCTACCACCCTGCTAGGAAGATCCTAGTGCTAGGGAAAAGTGCACCCCTTTGCATGCAAACTAAGTACCGAAAAAAAGCGCTACGATGATCGACAAATCGAGAGAGATTGCCAGTGGACTTTTGCGTTTTAAAGGGTGTATCTTTGTAGTACTAGTAACCAACGATAGTAGTGATATTTTTTCGCCAAACTGAATAAATGATGTATGAGGATTAAGCTTAATTCCCGTTAAAAGTACCGTACATGTAGGCTTACTTACCTGCATTGAGATGCCGTGGACTCCTTTTAAACTTCCAACATTTTCTACAAATGTCACAGCTACCGGAAGTCCTAATGCAAACCCCAGGGCAAAACGACTCAGGTATGGTCGGACTGTTTGAAAACCCATACCTCATTCATTAAAGCCCGTACGTTACACAAACAACTCATCTGCACCGCCTAGTTCATGGTGATCATGTCCGCCATGTTGAATGCATGTAAGTTGAGCCCAGTCTTTGACCGTGAAATAAAAGCACGCTCGCAATGCGTGCAAAGGAGAAAAGGAGGAACGAGAAGTCAGCTGGAGAAGACTGGCCTTGCGCGTGGCAGGCGTTCGAAAGGGAAGGGAAAGGGAATTTTTTTGCGCTCACATTCCCCTTCACTTCTCTGTAGAACGCCTGTCACGCAGGCTAGGAGAAGTCCAAAAGACTAACGGGACTACCATATTTTTGAGTTCGCCTTTTACTATTCCTCTTATAATAGAAAGGTAAGGAACAGTAATAAGCGAACTCAAAATCCCTCAAAATCACTTTTTAACATTGATCCATATACATATTTAGCGATACAAATGATGTTAGCGGTAAATCCAGTACATTTACTATAAAATTACACTAACAGATTGTGTACACTTCCTCTTACTACTGAAAAAAGAATCACAATAATATAAAATTATGTCGCAAAACAAATTGCACAATTAAGAGGGGGAAATGACTCTTACTGCATAGACTAATCCATGTAAGCGCACTCTATGACATAGATAAATTTTTTATTACGAAAAAAGCATTCTGATGTATGCAATTATGTTCCCTTGCGCCTTTTGGATTGAATAACGCCCAAGAATGTCATTCAAACAAGCATTTGACACAGTCCCGCCCTGCTGGTAACCGGTCAAGTCGCCCGACGTCATACCATCCGAAATCAGAATCATGTCGCCCGAAATTTACGCTGACTAAATTGTAACCCAATGCAAGCGGAATCCTGATTCCGGAATGCAGGAAAATTTATCTTGTGGGATCCGGAATCTGGAACAAATTGCTGGTGGAATCCAGAATCCTGGGCTTTGAAATTCAGAATAAAACTTTGGGAATCGGGAATCCCACTAGTCTTCGGAATGCAGAAACCAAGATCTGGTATCCAGTACCTGAAATCCGGACTCCATGGCTTGGAATCCAGAATCCAATTTTGTCTTGGATTCCCTTGCATGGGGCGAAAATTGGTTCACTGTGTATGGCATCAAAGCCGGGGACGGTTAACATCTTGGTTAACACATAGACGTCAGGAAGTTATCGTCAATGGTCAAAAATCAAAAAGTGTAGAAGTCCTATCTTTGTTCGCAGTCAATCGATTCAGAAAGAAAACACTTCGTTTTATCGTTGGGTCCCGGCAGCCCAAGCTCAGTGTAAGAGTTTAATCATTAATGCGTGTGGTATCAAATTGCGTAATCCTTGTATTGTGATTATGATGATTAAGATGATGATGATGTATGGGGATTCAGGCAATAGATTTAAGAAGATAAATAGTCGCTTGAATTTTCAATGATAGTCGAACCTCACTAACGGCCACTGTTTTTGGCGGACAGTCCATACAATGAACGTTGTCAGTGTCTTGTTTAAACCTCTCTACAACGGCTAACTCTCCACAACGGCCACTATCTTCTGTCCCGAAGGTCACCGTTGTGGAGAGGTTCAACTGCTAAAAAAAACAAACACCCACACAGACACACACTCTGCCACTGATTTAATCGGTTTGTTATTGCTTGCTGTTTGCTTGGCCGGGGGGGGTACTCTCTTATGTAAGCTATATAGGTATGTGCAGCCCCATCGGCTAGAGTTTTTGCGCCGTTTTGGTCTGAAAACAGGTATGCACTTTGTCCATTTTGGGCTGGAATCGGGTATGGTTTTCGAAATGGACTTGAAATTTTTTGGCTTGCACTCTAATCTTAGTAATGATAACATAATTTGTGCCTAAAGGCCAGGTCTGAAAACGGGTATGGATTTTAGAGGCCAGGGGCCCGTTTCTCGAAAGTCCCGGTAACTTTTCGGGCCCAAAATCAAATCGAGATATAAAGAATGAGAGCGCCGGTCGTGGCTAGCAAACTACTCCATTTTGTTTCATTAACTAATAGTTTTATCATGTTAGATGCAAAACTATTGAAACCTCAATCTTTAATGTAAACGGAGACAGCTTACCGGGCCCGTTAATTATCCGGACTTTCGAGAAACGGGCCCCTGGTCCGGAAAACGGGTGTGGAAAATGACAGTTTTTGATCTGAAATAGGGTCATGATTTGGAGAACCGGGCGAAACACCCCCAGCGGGAATTCCCAGGAGTATCCCCCCTCCCGGGGAGCTTGGGCTGCCGGTGATTTAAAAACAGCCAGTCATTCCATCACTCATGCTCTAAACGTTATTAATTGTGGACATGTTTCAGACAAATAGTACTCTTATTTATTCTCACTTACTTATTTGATATATACACTTTTAAAAATGATTGCGAAAGGTTTGCCTTAAGCAATGCAAAACAAATAAGTTCATTTGATATCTTGGCTGAAAGTTCAAATTTCATTAATCACCAATATGTCTTGCTGCGTTACATGTATATTCTGTTACAAATAATCAGAATTAGATATTCGAAATAAACTGCAACTAATTCAAAGTATATAAAATGTAATATAATTTTCTGCATAAGCTTTGCTCGCATTACTTCACTTCCCAATACCTAAGACTATGAAGGAGGAAGGCTCTGTTCAGATTCTCGAAGATTCGGAGGATATGATCACTCTTTCTGCTCTAGCTCTTCTTTTCTTTCTGGATTCTTTTGGGACAAGAAACGTTAACCGAAGTGGTGTATTTCTTTCAGTAGATCTAATATTAAATCCCATGTGTGTTGTGCTTTTTCCCATACTATCGCTTGCTTTATCCTTTTAGAAGGTAGTTCAACGTGAGTTCCTGGTTCTAATCCAACATTGAGTATTTTTAAGTATTCATACTGACGGTATAGCCCTAAAGTAAACTTAACAAGAAAATCAAATGGCCATGAGTTATTGATGTCACCGAACTGTTGAACAGTCCATCCCATCCGTTTTTTTATGAAGTCTGGATACTCATGATATAATGTAGTAAATTCAGTGTAATTAATTTTCGATAAATATCTTAACAAATAAGTCATAAACGTATTCTGTAGTGAAAAGCAGACGGTAGTCAACATCCAAGTTGGAGTACTTTCTTCGTACTTTGCAATAAGTTGTTTCAGGTGGTTGTCGTCGAACAAGAATCGTCCATACCGATCAACTACTATCTTAATACAAGCGAAATGCTGAAATACTTCATGATGCCATAGCCTCATCAAGTAGAAAAAATGCACTGGTGTTGCTTCCAAGACTATTTCGTGTATTGATTCAGAAATAACTGCCAAACGATGACGAAAACCAGTGGCTGTGTTGTTTAATTTTGACGCATGAATTACTGATCGATAGATGGACGTTAATAAACTTAACTTCTTCGTATAAAATTCAGAACGGTCAAATTGCAACTTACACACCTTTAGGTCATCTAGAGCTAGCGAAACTAGCTTAGTGAAACCAAACAGGGAATATTTTACGCCTCTAAGGTTAAGTATATTTAATTGTCGAAGTAACTCGTTCCAGACTGGTTTTAGCGATGAAGGATTACCAATCTCCATACTCTTCCCGTTTAAGCCTTCCAGTTTACAGTGAGACGTGTTTTTCTGCCTATTTTGAAATGTAGACACAAGCTCTAGAACAAAACCTCGGACATCCCCTCTTAGATTAATTTTCAGATCATCAGGAATCCAACCAAATAATCTTTTGTAAATGATATTCAATTCAACATCTTTGGATGGTAAAATCATTATACCTCCATGGTCTTTTATTATTCTTATGACCTCTTTCCATGGATTATAACTTTCACCTTTAACAGCTTCAAAGCTGAATACGTTCGCCAAGTAAAGTGGTGTGACCCCGTCTTTGTTTGGGCAATTCACATCTAATTTATGCTGCTCTTTTTCCTTAAACATCTCCTGTATAAATTTTACTAATCCGCGAGAAGCTGCCAAATGGTATAGAGTCAGTTCGGGTTTACTAGGGTCACATACAATCTGGAAACCACGAGTTTTCATCGCTTGGTGAAGAAGCTGGAGAGCCACAAGAGATGCGTTATCTTTTCTAGCTAACAGTTCTTCGTTTCCAAGAAGATTGTTCCCGATGGTTCCCCCCGAGTGCAGTATCGCAAGGGTAATCGCGTCTTGTCCTTGTGGAGACAGTAAAGTCAGATTCGCGCCGGTTTTTAGGAGACTACGAACACCTACTAAATTAGCTCCCTGTGCCGCTCTATGAAGGGTCGTAAATCCCTCAGCGTCTAAGCAATTGTCAATGACTCTGTGCTTTAATTTGTGACGTTCAATTGCTCTTTGAAAAGGGGGCTTCCTAGAGGAACATGTTTGATCATCACATGTAATGAGTTGAAAGAAATTATTCTCTTCCAGCTTTGGAGGAAAATAACACAACAAATGGATGGTCGACAATTGAAAAGGCTTCCCACACTCAATGTTGAATGAAACATTAAATGGGAAGTCTGCCCAGTCTCCACCATTTTGAATGAAAGCCATCAGTGGTGTTCTCCCCAGGGAGTCTTTGCAGCTAAGGCGGGCTCCCTTCAATAGCAAAAGTCGAGCGATGTAAAGTTTTCTTTTCGCAATGGCATTGTGTAGCAAGCTCGTACCATTACGACTGCATTTTCTGAAGGACGCCCCAGACGAGAGAAGAAGATAAACAACCATTTCGTGATCACGCAAATGCTGCTGCAGGTCGTGGAAGTGTTCACCCTCATTGAAATGTGAAGTAGTCAAACTTACCGTGCAGTTTTCAACTGCAACTTCCAACGGTGTTTTACCAAGATTATCACGTAGTTCGAGCTTTGACTTTCTTTGCAGCAGAACATTGACGGCATCGGCCAAACCGTTTGCTGATGCTATATGCAGCGGTGTATGGCCGTTTACGTCAGCAGCATGTATATCAGAACCACGTAAAATCAAATTGATAAATGCATCTAACCATCGATACTGGTCGGTGTTTCTAATAATATTGTTTTCGTTTTCATAAAACATAGCAAGGTGACCCCTACGGTCAATTGTCACAAGGTGAAGAGCCCCACCTAAATCTGTCCTATTTATAATAAAATCACCATCCAGTTGGTCCGGACGTATGTGGAGAATTGCATAATGCAATGTTGAAAGACCGTCCTTATCAACTGCGCTAAGATTTGCCCCAAAGTACAGTAGTAGGTCAATAATTTCAACGGCTCCGCATGCTGCGGCGCTGTGAAGAGGTGTCGAACCATTAGCTGTCATGCTGTTAATGTTAGCACTGCTTTCTGAACGCATCAGCATATTTACAAATAACTTGTGGTTATGGCAAGCGGCAACATGAAGAGGGGTCGCTCCAAAGCAGTCAGAAGCGTTAACGCGTGCTCCACCAATTTCAATAAGATACATCCCAATTTCCCAGTGTCCATAACGAGCAGCCACGTGAAGGGGTGTGTATCCACAGTGACAGGTATCACCGTGGTATTCTATAGATTCTTTAAAACTTAATTTCAAAGATGTATGCGTTTCATTTTGCTGTTCCATCCTTTGCCAGTGATTGCAAGTTTCATGTATCAAAGCGTGGTCTTTTTGGAGTATTATTTTCACAATTTCACTACTATTTTTACGAACAGCCTCGTGTAAGACAGTTCTCCCTGTATAATCCCGACATGTTAATGCTGTTGGTGGCGAAGAAATTAGTTCCCTGACTACTTCCACATGGCCTGCTGAAACTGCCACATGAAGGGCGGTTTCGCAAAATATTAAATGTTTGTCGTCATAAAGCTCGCCAAAGTTGGTGGTGTTTTCAGTTTTCTTTTCGATGCAATGATCCTTTTCCATCTGCTTTTTATCCTCAAAACACTGTTCGTTTATATGAAATGACATAACATTTTCCGTCTTCACGTTGCTTTGCAAACGATGTTTTAGCGTTTTCAGCCAGTAAAAGGACCCGTCGCATCTGATGCACCTATCCCTCACACCAATTTTCAAAAGGTACTTTACCACCTCCAACCTACCATTGGCGGCGGCATGGTGAAGAGAGGTTTGATCTGCAACTGCACCGGCATTATATAACGCTTTAACAACCTCTGAATGCCCATTCTCAGCGGCTATCTGTAGTGCAGTTAAATTGACACCATCGACGGTTGAAATAAAAGCACCGTTGTCGAGAAGAAAGGCAACAACTTCCATGTGCCCTCGGTGAGCTGCAGCGTGAAGCATTGTGGAACCCCAGTACTTTGACTTTGATTGAAGAACTGGAGTCCAAAGGCAATTTTTAGTGACAAATTCATCATACTCGTTTCCTTTTGATTCCAAAATGAATAACAAAGACTTCGTCTTGCGATTTACCTTGGCTCCCTTGCTCACCATCAGCGCCAGATTATTAACGAGTCCATGCTCCGCGGCCAAAAATGCAGGTGTTATCCCGCGATTATCAATACAGTCAATGCAACTGAAATGTCTCAGCAGTAGCTCCATTACGTCTGTGCTGTTTATCGTGGCTGCAAGGTGCAACAAAGTCCTATTACTTGTAGGATCCGAGGAATTGACAACTTGTGAAGGAAACTTCAGAAACTGTTTAACGTAAGACGCCTTCCAACCACCATAGGTAATGTGTTGCGCCAGAGTCAGAATGTATCTCAACAACGAGGACTTATCTCCGTCAGCAATTAAGATTAAGTAGTAATCGCAAAACATTTCATGTCCCTTTTTCTTACTGACGTAAAATGGACTATTCTTGTTGCTTTCACTGGTGAGCCATTCTGTTAAAGAGAGGTGATATAATGTCACCGTGTCATTTTCTCCGTATCTTAAAAAATGTCCCAGTCCGTTAATTCTATCTTTAAATTCGTATTCTTCTTCGAGATTTTCTTCCTTTGTTTTAAGAACTTCATAAATTTCTTTAAGTGACAGTGGCTGAAATGTTGCCACAAGTAATTCTAGCACTCGCCGAATCGGCCGGAATTGTTCCTTTCGACTATACAGGCGTTCGAAGTAGCTGTGGTATAAATCGCCAAGCGTCTCAGGTAGTGCATAGGGATCTCTCTTTTCAGCTCTGGAAGTTTCCCAATGATGAAGCATCTCCTTAACGAACAGGAAATTTCCTTGACTTTTGCTCAGCAAAGCGGAGATTAGTCTGGCTGTGCTTTTAATGCTGTTATCTCCAAACCAAAACTTAATTCGGTTTATTAAGGGACCATCTTGAAGAAGTTTCGTAGACAGAAAAAGTTCAATGTCTTCTATATTTCGGATATCATCAGGATCAATGATGAGCTTTGTTACGCTGTTCGAGTTGATGGAAACGCTAGATTCATTGCGAGAGGTCATCACAAGTTTCAGCCATGACGGAAAACGGGGAAGCTTATTGTTAAGCAAATAGACGATACTATGACCTGTTTCACTTTGAGCAAGACATTCATCTAAGGCATCAATGACAATGTACCAGTTCTCTTTTGGTTTATTTTTTAAAAGTCTTAGGGGCGACAGAATTGCTTGTTCAAAACAACCCACGGGATCTTGGAGTGTCACGCAGTCGGTGGATAAAGATCGCTGAATGTAGGAATTATTGGTGACAATGTACCCATATTCTGGAAGTCTGCGAGCTATCATATCGGCTAAGTTACGAACAAACTTGCCTCCATTCTGTGTATTTCTGTCAGAATGTTTACAGAGGTGGAACCCTAATATATGATCATGGATGGTTCGGCTGGACGTCCGGGAGCAGACCAACTGTGCAGCTAATGCGGACTTTCCAGCTCCAGGGTCTCCGATAATCAACACACCAGATACTTTATCGCGTGAAGAGAAGAAGGCACCCTCTATTTCTTCATATAGCCACCGACGACCTATGAAATTTTCCCGAGCAATGGTTAGATAATCAGTCAAGTTAAACTCTTTGGTGTCAAAAGGAACATCAACTTCCTCTGCAGGACAACCTAAAAATAAAATTGGACATTCTTCTGTGAGAAACTGCAAGTTACTTTTAAAGCTAAAACAAGTCCGAACTATTTGAAGAGGAAGGGATATTAGAAGCTAGGGTACAAAAAGGCTGAACGTAAGTAGGGGTTAGAGTATATTTTATTCCTGTCACTAAGTTTACTCCTGAGAACCTCATACGCCGTGACAGAGATACAACACTCGTTGAGAATACGGGATATGGTTGATGTAAAAATAAATTTAAAGGATTGTGACATACCATCGTTAAATGAGCTGTGATCCAGAGTGCCAATGCAACACCATAAACATAAGAGGAGCAACTTTAGCCAATCTTTGGACGACTTTCCATTTGTGCAGCCCACAATTTTGAACAAGGAAACGATAATGACCATTAGTAGCTCCAAAATGTGGGCAAGAATTGACGAAAGCGTGGCAGACTTTTTCTCCGCTTTCTCTAGGCCTTGTCTTAAATTGCGTAGTTGTCTTTCCACGCGAGCTCGTTGCTTTCCATTTTTCTTTGATTCCTTTCTTAACGAGTTCAATTCACTTTTAAGGCTTGAAATATCTTTGTGAATTGCTTCCTTGAAATGAGATAAGACTTCTGCTTTGAAGATGTGCACATCTGAGCTACATTTTAGGGCTAAAATATCTCGTAAAGCGTTCTGAGCATCTGAATCTCCAGTAAATACTGGATCTTGCAGAAGCTTCTCGATTGCTTCAAAGGAAGCTCGTTTCTCTGTGTCGGACAGCTCCAGTTTTGGGACATGCACCCACTTTGAGTTTCGGGTTTCTCGGACATCTTTTATCAGAGATCGCTGAGCAGTAAAGTGATTGCACCAGAACATCAGATTCAAAATAGCAGTGACATCCATGTCCTCGGCACTCTCTATAACAGTATGTCCTCCAATATCCGGAAGAAAAAGCTTTGCTATCTCCCACTGACCATTATTGACGTCCATCCATTTGGAGGAATCACTTTGCTTCCAGTTTAGTTTGTTTCCCAGGTGTGCGTTTTGGAGAAGTATTGCCCATGCACACTTGCTCACATCGTGGTATTGGTTCTTCTTTCTGCTCGGATCATAGACACAGGTGCACGGTCCAGCGCGAGATCTTGTGATTGCGGCTGTTACGTTGCTGTAGAAAATGGCCATCTCTCGTTTAATATAGGGACGAAGACCTTGACAAAGTACTGATGTCAAAGCGCGTCCGAGAGAAAGCCAATTTCCTTCCTCTGGAGAGGTCAGTTGAACGAAAGCCTGGGACGGTCCTGATGCTGCCATAGTAAAGTTTAAAACTAGTAGAAAAACAAGAAAGGGGAAAAATTCGAAAGTTTGTATAATATATAATCAGAGGTTGTTTTCATAAAGTTAAAGCGACAAGAAAGTTCGGAGGATAAGCCAGTTAGATGTAAAACAACTAAACTAGCCCATTTAATTAATTTGTCTATGAAATATAAAGCTGTCAATATGCCCTACTTAAGATCATTCTAAGTTCACGGGTCAAACTGAAATCACCTGTTATTAAGAAGCGCAGACGAGAGACAGCATTTTGGAATTTTGCCCGGTTATGGAAAATTCCACTGAGCAATTGGAAGACACTCGAGTGGAGCGAATATAAATTTATACATGTATAAAGATTCTTGCACCGGTCTCAGTGCTATAGTCAGTGTGGGATTAGCCCTTAATCCTCTTACTTAGCAGCCGCGCTCGACTTATATATCCTGATATGATTGTACAATAGTTCAGTGGACCTTAGGCCTTGCATGTAATCTCCTTTAACCATTAAATTGTATAGCCTTGAATATATACTTGGCCTCCACTCCACTTGTGTCTTCCAGGCCCCAGTTGTTCAAAAGGTGGATAACGCTATACAACGGATAAATCACTATCCACTGGATAGCGCAATTGGTTTTCCTAATACTTATTCATCGGATAGTGATTTATCCGGTGGATAGCGCTATCCAACTTTTGAACAACTGGTTGCAGGAGACCATGAGTGCAAAGCACGCATTCTGGCGTTCCTTCAAGTATGAAAAGACATTTCTGAAAAGACCTGCGTTAGCCGGACGGTTACCTTAAACTATAGGCGAATTTCTTTCCTTGTGATAAGAGTCTTGCGTGAAAGTTCGGATTAAACATCACCTTGTAATATAAGCACGCTGCGAAAGTGACCTCGAAATGCATGTGTAATGCAACACTGTGACTCCTTGACGATATTTTCAGATTTTGTAATCTCCAGAGTATTCCCAACTTGTGTAAACATTTACTTTTTGAGCATCCATCTGTTTCTCAAAACGGTTAAATAAAATAAATCTTTCTGTTAAAGAAAAGTCACAGTCAAACCGGGTAAATATGGTTCAGATGGTTTAGCTCCAGCTAATAATTTTATGCACTGATGATGCCTCCGATGTTTGTTGTGTCTGTCACTGATGGTTACCGATTATAGCCATTCCATATACCACTGCCGTTTAAAAAGTTATTTTTAAAAAAACCGGCGCATAATTATTGATAAATGTCAGCGTGTGCTGATAATGAAGACATCGATGTGCAACTAGAGGTTTTGAAGCCGTTGAGTGAGTAGGAGCTAGAAGAACGGCACGGATGCATGAATGCTTGGTGAGCTTTAATCTCAGCTCATTTCGGCTATGAATTAACTCTTTGAATGCGAAAACATAGCAATCAGTTAAAAACCCTTGCACTTCTCAGCTGACACTTAAAATGGTGAAGTCCGTCGAGCTGAGAGCTTGATCATGATCAAATTCAGTTTGCCAACATGTACAGTAGTTCTGTTTTACACAAAGCGTATTTCTGTATAAGCTACCCTTGGGCTGCCGTGAGAGGTTATTTTTAACGACCCAACGTAATACTACTCCCCAAACGAACACTAACAGTTTCTGAGCGATAATACCTGTCAACTTACCTTGCGATTAACAGTCGTAACTTCACTACGCTAAATTCAATTCGATCGAGTGAAGAAAGCAAAATGCGGAAGTGAGGAACCTCCTTCCCACGGTTCTCTGCCTGGGAACGAGGTTGAGAATTGAAATACATAACACCAGTCTTCAGAGAGGCAGCTGTCATCTTTTCTGTGGAGGGATTGATATCATTCAAATTAACGCCTGGGCCCAGTTGCTCGAAGCATGGTTAGCGTTAACCAGCGTTTTATACCTTGACAACGTATTGGTTTTGATACTGCTTAACCAATGGTTAAAGCTAACCATGCTTTGAGCAACTCAGCCCTGATCACGAAAATAGCCTGAACCTATCGAGTGGCACAGTGCCGCCCAAATAAATAGTTGCATGCTCTTTTGAGGAGATAGAAGGAACCTAGTACGTACAGTATATGGGACCCGGTTCTCGGCAACAAAAACTTAAACTTGTATTTCTTACCTTGGAATAGCCATTAGGACTTGGAATTTCACTCACAACTAGCTTCATCATTCAGTTTACACATGTAAAGCTATCGACTGCTCAACGCTGTTTTCTCCCAAGTAACAACGAAATGGAGGCTTCGTTCGTGGGACCAATTATCGGCCAGAGAGCCAAGTTCTCGGCCACAAAAGAGTGTGCTCGATTCCTCAAAATATAAATAAACATTGCTTGATTACCATTTTTTGTCGTTAAATCACTTATAAGGCTTTTTGATATTTCGATCACGAATTATCCTTAAAGAGCTTTGTTTCATGTTAGAAAAGGAAGTTTTTTGCACTCCTAGTTTTTCTCTAAAGTGCAGTCAAGCGAGGCTAAAAAAGAGTTGGGTATTTTAAACACGGTTTAAGTCAGAACTCATACTTTTAATTCATATCTACTGCCAGAACACTTCGTTCTTTCATCCTTGCCACGGCGGATGAAATTGTATTTAAAATTTCGGTTCCTCTGCCATCAAAAAACTCCATTCAAAACTATGAGCGCTTTTTAGTGTTGACGGCGAGCAGAATGGCCGAGAATAGGCAAATACGCAAAAGTACTAAGGAAACATTGAGGAGTGAATTTAGGTCAAAGAATAAAACAGGCCAGCAAAAGTTTATATTTAACCGACAGCTTTATCACTCTACGTTCTTTATGCCAAGAATTGGCTCATTTGGGCCCCATACGGATAAAATATAAACTTGAATTAAACCATGTAATTCGAGTAACCGTAAAAAAAACACGTTTTCGGGGAAACCAAATTCACCTACCTTCGCGTCACCTCGACGTGCTCACAGTATATAGTAGCTGTAAACTCAAAACTCGGCAGGACGAAAGACAAGGAATCAAGCTACCTTTGTGGCTCGAAAAATAATAACGTTGAACAAAAAGTGGCCAAGAACCCCGGGGGTACTGCCATATTTGGGCTATATAGGTATGTGCCGCTGTGAAGGGTATGGTTTTCAAGCAGTTTACTCTAGAACAGGGTTATAAATCAGAACATTTCGGTCTAGAAAAGGGTATCATTTTTCAAGAAACTGATCAGTTGGTTGAAGATTTTATCTAGACTAGGGAAACAGCTACTCTAGGATAGGGGGATTTGGGGAGTTTACTCTAGTATAGGGTAGCAAACTTTAGCTGAACTAGCTCTGGTATAGGTTAAGGGTTCCAGGGTCCCAGCGGCACACCCCCACCCAGAAATTCCTAAAGTACCCCCCCGGGCCAAGAACTGGGCCCGGCCTAGAACTGGGCCCATACTGTACGTTTTGTCGGGCGTTTTGTCATGGTCTCTCTTTTTTGGGGGGTTTTCTTACAATAAAATATAATGAAATATGGCAAAATATAATAAACTAAACTAAACTATACTTTAATAATAATGACTTCCGCGTGTCTTTGGATCCGGGGCAATCCAACTCCATGATTAGAACCCAGTCCCTCACTACGCGTCCAACATGGCGATACAGTAGGTAATGCGCGTTTTGTTTGATGGTACAAGAGGGTTGCACGGCCTAAGAATGGAGGCCGAAGGTGAAAAAGCGAAAGCAGTTGGGTGCCCTTCGGAAACGGTGAGTTTGGTGTAAATATCATTGTAGTTTGGAGACACGTGAATGCAACCGTGCGGTCATTGACATTCACATCAGACAGTACAGATTTCAGACTCGCATATCATTCTCAGTGAATACACATTCAAGTTAACTATTTAGCCTACGGCACATCGTTGACCAAATATGGAAGACTTTTGCAATTTAGGCTGTTCACAGCCTATTTTTCCGTGAGATCGACGAGATCAAGGGCTTATTGTTACGGGCGGCCATCTTTGTTTCAAATGAGATTATAGCGGTGGGAAAGCGGGGCGGGGTGTGGTGGTGGCAGTGGGGGGGGGGGGGGGTGGTGGTAGTAGGGGTGAGAAAAAGGGAGGGACTGGCTACTGTCGCAACATCATTGACAGTCGAATTCAAGGCCATTGTTGTTGACTATGGGTTTAATTCCAGATTGCGGACATGGACAAGTTGTTCACTAGTAGTTATTTCTATAAAACACTCTCATAAAACTTATTTTCCTACATTTGTTTTAATTATAGCTCTAATTATCCATGAATTAGGGCTAGGAGACAAAAGAAATTGTGAATCAAACTAGGTTTAACCTCCTGTGACACATATTATAAGTCTTAGATAATTTTGGCTTAATTGTTTACCTTTAACCACAGACCACAAGTTTGGAGACAAAGGAGTTTATTGTCAGACTGCAAAGCTGAGATGCAAAACCATGAGTTGACAATATAACTCCAAAACTGTAAGGGTGGGAGGGAATTAGGGTAGTGAAATGAGCTTGACCGCAGTTCAACTAAAATAAACTGACTAACACTTGATGAACACAGTGAGCGCTCTTATTACAATGCTTGCGTCATTATCAAAATTAATTGTCCTTACTGAAATGATGATTGACACATTTGTTTACCTTTAACCACAGACCACAAATTTGGAGACAAAGGAGTTGTCAGGCTGCAAAGCTGAGATACAAATTAACTATGATTTGACAATATAACTCGAACACCCAAACCGAAAACGAAAGGTGGTCGGTGGTTACATGAGAGTAAAATATTAAATACACTTCAACAACAAAAATAGCTAGTAGTAACAAAATTAAAGAAATGTCAATAAAACGCTAATTGATGAATTTTAGAAGGCACAGAATTAACCTCACTGTGTTTTTGTGTTGGAGACATCTCTAAATAAACTTAGTACACATCGCTGCTCCAATCGCCTTGAAGCTTGATAAGATCTGCTGGAACGTTACATGCAAAGGCAAACAAAGCGCTGCCATGGCAAAAACTATGTGGAGAATAAGCACGTGTGTCTAAACCTAATGCTGTGATGACCTTGGCTAAAAATTTAGAAAAATGATAATAAGAAATAGGTTGCGTTGATTGAACAGATGGTGATCTGACTGAAAAAAGAGAATCTGATGGCCCAACCGAATTGAGACGAAGATGATTAATAACAGCCATTACCGGACAAAGGGGCGAACCCGATATAATGGGGAGAGGAATAGAAAGGGCCCGTTGAAGAAACTGAATCATCTTAGTAGCGCGAATGTGTAAAAACACTCCATTGGGAGAAATGTGTAAGTCTAAATGACGAGGAACCTTTTGTAGCGAAATGAGCTTGACTGCAGTTCACCTAAAATAAACTGACTAATTAATGCTTGACAAACACAATGCTCTTATTACAATGCTTGCATCATTATCACAATGTTATTAATCATCCTCACTGAGGTGATGGTTGACATGTATTAATGGCTTTTTTTTTCAGTCCCTTGCAGGGAAAGCAAGCATTTGTCAAGGATGTCCAGGGCAATATCTTTGCAGTCAGCAAGGTGAAAAGTTAACAATGTATACCCTGTATTTTCTTCATGTATTAATAAACCCTACATGTACAGTGTATTTTGATTAAAGTCGAACCTGTCTAATATAGACACCCAAGGGACAGAGCGAAGTGTCCATGTTAGAGAGGTGTCCGTATAAAAGAGGTCACTATGATGACTTCACTTTTATGACTCCACTTACAGTTTTAAATGCTCAGTAGCCTAAACCAGGTGTACAGTCATTTTTAAACTGCATTTAAAGTTATTAATTCACAGTACAAATACACCGTCTTTTAGTAGCATACAACATTGTACATCTCAGCAACAGACAAATTACTGTTATAAAATGAAGCGAGCTAAAGCGCAATGCTGCATATAAAATGTTGTAACGTAAAGCACAATTCTGAAAATTCTGTCTTTTGCTATTTTGCAAGTGCAGTAAACAGTAACTAGAGTAAAAAATGTAAGAGAAAAGATCTTTATGCTATCTGTAGTCATTGAAGCGTTCAAAAAGTAGGTTATGTTCCTCTGCACACCTTTCGCAAATCGTTGTGTGGTATACTATACAGCGACTGGGCTTTATATCACCTTGCATAGCTCATCAGCCAGACTAGACAGGATTCACCCTGTGCAGATTCACCTGATCGGGATTCGGGATGCGGGATTCGCTTGATCTCCGCAGTTTCCGTAATAAAGAGGTTAAGTTTATATGAATTTACTCTCTGGGACCAGGATTTAGTGTCCGTTGTCCGTATTAGAGAGAGTCCATATTATAGAGGTTTTTTTATAGCAAATATATGAGAATTTTGTCGGGACATTGGAAACCATCCGTGATAAAGAGGTGTCCATATTAGAGAGGTGTCCGTACTGAGAGGTTGGACTGTACTCAAAGCTGACCTCATTTTAATGCATGCTGGATTTTTTGTTTTGTTATTTTTATTTGAAAACTGCACTGCTAGATAATAATTAAGAAGCATGGTTGGCCCCTCTCCTCTATTTTTCTTGTTGATGCCAACAGCCCTCAAATTTTGCTTAAATCAGAGTGTGTAATTACCACACCTGTGAGCAGAGCTTGATTTTGTCTTCCCGAGTAAGGAGGATAAAAAGAGGCTCTACCTGAATCACATCAAAACTTTGAGGTCACCATAGCCCAAACTTGTGGACTAGTCAATCCTTCTCTCTCTCTCTCTCGTCAGACTGTTTTTTTTAGTGCGAGCATCCATTTATTAATAAACCAATGGTCACAACTGAGCCTGCTGTAGCAAGTGCATGGTTATTAGGCCTGAGTTCTAAATTATATGCTAGCAACATGCTGCGCATGCTCAACAAAGATCTTACTTGATTCATGCAGAGTCTTTCTTGAGAATGCAAAAATAGAGCAAGCAAAAGAAAGGGTCACCTCTTCTGGCAGGGCAGTATTAGCACAATAAGGTGGGCAAAAGAGCGTGGGTCAAAAATCCAGTAATCAGTGTCTCCAATAGGGTTCCTCAATCCTGACATCCTGACCCAAATTTTTGCTCAATCCTGTTATTGCAATTACGATTATTTTTGACATATGCATCTCATGCTCGCTTTCAATCCCTAATCTCAGCCTCATCTTAACTTCTTTTTAAAAGATCCCAAATCTTAGCCTTCAATCTCAACCTTCAAATACAGTAAAAATGCACATATAAGAACCTTAAATTTAAGAACCTGTGAGTCTAAAATTTTCATTTTAAACCCCTTTTTCATAAGAACCTGTTTAGCCTGAAATTTTCAATAGGCTTATTTTACAAAAACAAAGGCACAGATGAAAATACAGCCGAAAAAAATTAAGGCTAGGTTTCGGTCAGTATACTGCAGCATGAGAGACATGCATGCTAGTACTTTGGAAAGATAAGATTGTATTCTAGATAATTATTTAAAACAGCAACATATTCCATATCACATATGCCCCGTATTAGTTATCTGTGCTGATCACTGGTGCCCCTATCAAATTGAGAACCTATTTAAGAACCTAAGTAGCCTAAAATCCCACTAAATACATGTACCATTTCTATAAGAACCGCTGTTTAGGCTAAGCTGGAAAAATCTAGGTTCTTATGCTTGGGTTTTATTGTAATTAATACAAGTCTTGGATCCAAAAAATCTTGTGTAACTACCTCTCACAGTAACTAGTATCAGTAACTACCTCTTAACATGTAACAGGTGCTGTAGACCCAGATCAAGAAATGATTGATTTGCGAATGAATGCAGTCAAACACAAGATTCTCATTTTGTCTGGAAAAGGAGGTATGGACAAGAAAAAGTATTAGTGTATGGTTAGAGGTTGTAATGAAGGTAGTACATTTTGTACTGATCTATCAATTTGGTTTTGTTTTAAAAATAATTATTAATAAAACTAGTAATAACCAAAGGTTACAGAATGCAGGTGACAATAGACTGCGAACAGTCTCTCTTTTTCTTCAGATTTAGTATGGGGAGTGCACGCGCTTGCGAGCGTTGAGAGATGCAAGAAACGAGGGCGGCAGCAGTCACGCCGTAGTCCATTGGCGTGTCTCAGACGTTTTGCTCGACGGACCAAGAAAAAAGAGAGACTGCTCGTAGTCTAAGGGAACAATGATTGAAGGTTGAAACGCTTTTGCTCAATCACTGCACTTTGCGTAAGTTTGTACGTGACAGACAGTCAAAGAACGCGTGATCAGATTATGAGTGATAGAGGGTCCAACTCTCTTGATCAAATTGCATTCTGTGCATTCCATTCATTCTTAGTGGAAGTCCAAACAAATGCTGGCTACATACGTGTGATGCATGCATAATAACAGGCTAGAGATTAGGAATGCAGCTCCTCTTATCGCCAGCAATTAATTACCTTTTTGGGGATGGATGGGGTGGTACATGGGGCGCTTATACTATTTACACAAGTCATCCGAATGGACATCTTCTGCATAAACAAAATTATAAAATTGAATGTGGTTAGAGAAGGACTTAGTACAAAGTATACAGTACCCAAATGATGCCTGGACAGACTACTACATCGCCTTGAATCACAGCCCATATTTTCTGAAATATTTGAAATAGAATGGTGCGAACCTTTTGATTTCCAACGGAAATTTCCAGTTTTCCCATGTAAAAACTTAATGGTACATGTCAGTACATGTAGCACTACTGTTCATAGTAAATTTTTTATCATTATTATTATTAATATTATTGTAGCATTATTGTACTCCCTAGCTTGCTTCTTTAGTCTCTCAAGCACCTAGCCCAACAGTAAGAATAGCGACAACAGCAACAACACTGACAACAGCGATAACAGTAGCAACAGCGACAAAAGCTACAACAGTGACAACAGTATCAAGAGTGACAACACTGACAAACTCAACAACAGCGAAACCAGTGAACAAAGTGACAACCATGACAACACTGACAACACTGACCACAGTGACAACAGTGACAACAGTGACAACAACAACAGCAACAACAGCGAAACCAGTAAACACAGTGACAACCATGACAACACTGACAACACTGACTACAGTAACAACAGTGACAACAGTGACAACAATGACAACGGCAACAACAGTGACAAAACTGACAACAGCGACAACAATGATAACACTGACAACAGTGACAACAGCCACAACAGTGACAACACTGACAACACTGACAACACTGATTACAGTGACAACAGTGACAACACTGACAACAGCAACAACAGTGAAACCAGTAAACACAGTGACAACCATGACAACACTGACAACACTGACTACAGTGACAACAGTGACAACAATGACAACGGCAACAACAGTGACAAAACTGACAAAAGCGACACTGATAACACTGACAACACTGACAACAGTGACAACAGCGACAGCGGTGACAACAGTCACAACAGTGACAACACTGATAACACTGACAACACTGACTACAGCGACAACACTGATAACACTGACAACACTGACAACAGTGACAACAGCGACAACGGTGACAACAGTCACAACAGAAAAAATGGTGACAACGGTGACCACACCGGCAAGTGACAACAGTGACAACGGTGACAACGGTGACAATGGTGACGACTGTGACAACGATGACAACAGTGACAACGGTGACAACAGTGACAACAGTGACATCGGTGACATCGGTGACGACTGTGACAACGATGACAACGATGACAACTGTGACAACACTGACAACGGTGACAACTGTGACAACAGTGACAAATTTGACAACGGTGACAACTGTGACAACAGTGAAAAATTTGACAACGGTGACAACAGTGACAACGGTGACAACGGTGACAACTGTGACAACAGTTACAACGGTGACAACAGCAACAACAGTGACAACAGTGACAACGGTGACAACGCTGACAAAGTGACAACGGTGACAACAGTGACAATGGTGACGACTGTGACAACGATGACAACTGTGACAACACTGACAATGGTGACAACTGTGACAACAGCAACAACGATGACAACGATGACAACTTTGACAACACTGACAACGGTGACAACTGTGACAACAGTCAGTGTGACAACGGTGACAACAGTGACAACGGTGACGACTGTGACAACTGTGACAACAGTGACAACGGTGACAACAGTGACAACGGTGACAACCGTGACAATGGTGACAAAAGCAACAATAGTGACAACATTAACAACGGTGACAACAGTGACGTCGGTGACGACTGTGACAATGATGACAATGATGACAACTGTAACAACATTGACAACGGTGACAACAGTGACAACGGTGGCAACAGTGACAACGGTGACAACAGTGACAATGGCGACAAAAGTGACCACTGTGAGAATGGTGACAACAGTGACAACGGTGACATTGGTGACAACAGTGACAACGGTGACGACTGTGACGACTGTGACAAAGATGACAACTGTGACATCAATGACAACAGTGACAACTTTGACAACAACGACAACGGTGACAACAGTTACAAATGTGACAACGGTGACAACGGTGACAACGGTGACAACGGTGACAACTGTCACAACTGTGACAACAGTGAAAACGGTGACAACAGTGACAACAGTGACGACAGTGACAATGGTGACAGTGACAGTGACAACAATGACAATGATGACAACTGTGACAACACTGACAATGGTGACAACTGTGACAACAGCGACAACGATGACAACGATGACAACTTTGACCACACTGACAACGGTGACAACTGTGACAACAGCGACAACTGTGACAACAGTGACAAATGTGACAACGGTGACAACGGTGACGACTGTGACAACTGTGACAACAGTGACAACGGTGACAACAGTAACAACGGTGACAACAGTGACAACGGTGACAACGGTGACGACTGTGACAACTGTGACAACAGTGACAACGGTGACGACTGTGACAACGGTGACAACAGTGACAACGGTGACAACAGTGACAACAGTGACAACAGTGACAACGGTGACAATGGTGACAACGGTGACAACAGTAACAATGGTGAAAACAGTGACAACGGTGACAATGGTGACAACAGTGACAACTGTGAATACGGGGACAACAGTGACAATGGTAATGACTGTGACAACGATGACAACGATGACAACGATGACAAGTTGACAACACTGACAACAGTGACAACAGCGACAACGGTGACAAAAGGGACAAATGTGACAACAGTGACAACAGTGACAGCGGTGACGACTGTGACAACAGTGACAACGGTGACGACTATGACAACAGTGACAACAGTGGCAACGGTGACAACGGTGACAACCCTGACAACGGTGACATAGGGAACAATAGTGACAACATTGACAACAGTGACAACAGTCACAACGGTGACAACGGTGACAACAGTGACAATGGTGACACCAGTGACAACAGTGACAACGGTGACAACGGTGACGACTGTGACAACTCTGACAACAGTGACGACTGTGACAACAGTTACAACAGTGACCACGGTGACAACAGTCACAACGATGACAACTGTGACAACTGTGACAACTGTGACAACTGTTACAACAGTGACAACGGTGACGACTGTGACAACAGAGACAACAGTGACAACGGTGACAACAGTGACAACGGTGACAACTGTGACAGCAGTGACAACGGTGACGACTGTGACAACAGAGACAACAATGACGACTGTGACAACAGAGACAACAGTGACAACGGTGACAACAGTGTACAACGGTGACAACAGTGACAACGGTGACAACAGTGACAACGGTGACAACGGTGACAACTGTGACAACTGTGACAACAGTGACAACGGTGACGACTGTGACAACGGTGACAACAGTGACAACGGTGACAACAGTGACAACGGCGACAACAGTGACAACGGTGACAATGGTGACAACGGTGACAACAGTAACAATGGTGAAAACAGTGACAACGGTGACAATGGTGACAACAGTGACAACGGTGAATACGGGGACAACAGTGACAATGGTAATGACTGTGACAACGATGACAACGATGACAACGATGACAAGTTTGACAACACTGACAACAGTGACAACAGCGACAACGGTGACACCAGGGACAAATGTGACAACAGTGACAACAGTGACAACGGTGACGACTGTGACAACAGTGACAACGGTGACAACTATGACAACAGTGACAACAGTGGCAACGGTGACAACGGTGACAACCCTGACAACGGTGACATAGGGAATAGTGACAACATTGACAACAGTGACAACAGTCACAACGGTGACAACGGTGACAACAGTGACAATGGTGACACCAGTGACAACGTTGACAACGGTGACAACGGTGACGACTGTGACAACTCTGACAACAGTGACGACTGTGACAACAGTTACAACAGTGACCACGGTGACAACAGTGACAACGGTGACAACTGTGACAACTGTGACAACTGTGACAACTTTACAAAGTGACAACGGTGACGACTGTGACAACAGAGACAACAGTGACAACGGTGACAACAGTGACAACGGTGACAACTGTGACAACAGTGACAACGGTGACGACTGTGACAACAGAGACAACAGTGACGACTGTGACATCAGAGACAACAGTGACAACGGTGAAAACAGTGTACAACGGTGACAACCGTGACAACGGTGACAACAGCAACAATAGTGACAACATTGACAATGGTGACAACAGTGACATCGGTGACAACAGTGACAATGGTGACAACAGTGACAACGATGACGACGGTGACGACTGTGACAATGATGACAATGATGACAACTGTAACAACATTGACAACGGTGACAACTGTGACAACAGTGACAACGGTGACAACAGTGACAACGGTGACAACCGTGACAACGTGACAACAGCAACAATAGTGACAACATTGACAATGGTGACAACAGTGACAACGGTGACAACAGTGACAATGGTGACAACAGTGACAACGGTGACGACGGTGACGACTGTGACAATGATGACAATGATGACAACTGTAACAACATTGACAACGGTGACAACTGTGACAACAGTGAGAACGGTGACAACAGTGACAACGTTGACAACAGTGACAACAGTGACATCGGCGACAACAGTGACAACGGTGATGACTGTGACGACTGTAACAACAATGACAACTGTGACAACACTGACAACGGTGACAACAGTGACAAATGTGACAACGGTGACAAGAGTGACAAGAGTGACAAAGGTGACAACGGTGACGACTGTGACAACTGTGACAACAGTGACAACGGTGACAACAGTGACAACGGTGAAAACGGTGACAACAGTGACAAAGGTGACAACTGTGACAACAGTTACAACGGTGACCACAGCAACAGCAGTGACAACGGTGACAACAGTGACAAATGTGACAACGGTGACAACAGTGACAAGAGTGACAAAGGTGACAACGGTGACAACTGTGACAACTGTGACAACAGTGACAACGGTGACAACAGTGACAACGGTGAAAACGGTGACAACAGTGACAACGGTGACAACTGTGACAACAGTTACAACGGTGACAACAGCAACAGCAGTGACAACAGTGACAACGGTGACAACGGTGAAAACAGTGACAACGGTGAGAACGATGACAACGGTGACAACAGTGACAACAGTGACGACAGTGACAATGGTGACGACTGTGACAACAATGACAATGATGACAACTGTGACAACACTGACAATGGTGACAACTGTGAGAACAGCGACAACGATGACAATGATGACAACTTTGACCACACTGACAACGGTGACAACTGTGACAACAGCGACAACTGTGACAACAGTGACAAATGTGACAACGGTGACAACGGTGACAACGGTGACGACTGTGACAACTCTGACAACAGTGATGACTGTGAGAACAGTGAGAACAGTGACAACAGTGACAACGGTGACAACAGTGACAACGGTGACGACTGTGACAACTGTGACAACAGTGACAACGGTGACAACAGTGAAAACGGGGACAACAGTGACAACGGTGACAACGGTGACGACTGTGACAACTCTGACAACAGTGACAACGGTCACGACTGTGACAACGGTGACAACAGTGACAACGGTGACAACAGTGACAACGGTGACAACAGTGACAACGGTGACAATGGTGACAACGGTGACAACAGTAACAATGGTGAAAACAGTGACAACGGTGACAATGGTGACAACAGTGACAACGGTGAATACGGGGACAACGGTGACAATGGTAATGACTGTGACAACGATGACAACGATGACAACGATGACAAGTTTGACAACACTGACAACAGTGACAACAGCGACAACGGTGACAACAGTTACAACAATGACAACAGCAACAGCAGTGACAACAGTGACAACGGTGACAACGGTGACAACAGTGACAACGGTGACAACGGTGACAACGGTGACAACAGTGACAACAGTGACGACAGTGACAATGGTGACATAGGGAACAATAGTGACAACATTGACAACAGTGACAACAGTCACAACGGTGACAACGGTGACAACAGTGACAATGGTGACACCAGTGACAACGGTGACAACGGTGACAACGACTGTAACAACTCTGACAACAATGACGACTGTGACAACAGTTACAACAGTGACCACGGTGACAACAGTGACAACGGTGAGAACTGTGACAACTGTGACAACTGTGACAACAGTGACAACCGTGACGACTGTGACAACAGAGACAACAGTGACAACGGTGACAACAGTGACAACGGTGACAACTGTGACAACTGTGACAACAGTGACAACGGTGACGACTGTGACAACAGAGACAACAGTGACGACTGTGACATCAGAGACAACAGTGACAACGGTGACAACAGTGTACAACGGTGACAACCGTGACAACGGTGACAACAGCAACAATAGTGACAACATTGACAATGGTGACAACAGTGACAACGATGACGACGGTGACGACTGTGACAATGATGACAATGATGAGAACTATAACAACATTGACAACGGTGACAACTGTGACAACAGTGACAACGGTGAGAACAGTGACAACGGTGACAACCGTGACAACGTGACAACAGCAACAATAGTGACAGACGACTGTGACAACAGTGACAACACTGACAACGGTGACAACAGTGACAGCGGTGACAACCGTGACAACGGTAACAACAGCAACAACGACGGTGACGACTGTGACAATGATGACAATGAGGACAACTGTAACAACGGTGACAACAGTGACAATGGTGACGACAGTGACAATGGTGACGACGGTGACGACTGTGACAATGATGACAATGATGACAACTGTAACAACATTGACAACGGTGACAACAGTAACAACGGTGACAAAAGTGACCACTGTGACAATTGTGACAACAGTGACAACAGTGACAACGGTGACAACAGTGACAACAGTGACATCGGTGAAAACAGTGACAACGGTGGCCACTGTGACGACTGTGACAACGATGACAACTGTGACAATACTGACAACGTTGACAACTGTGACAACAGCGACAATGGTGAGAACAGTGACAAATGTGACAACGGTGACAACAGTGGCAATGGTGACAACGGTGACAACGGTGACAACAGTGACAATGGTGACAACAGTGACAACGATGACGACGGTGACGACTGTGACAATGATGACAATGATGACAACGGTGACAACTGTGACAACAGTGACAACTGTGACAACAGTGACAACGGTGACAACCGTGACAACGTGACAACAGCAACAATAGTGACAACATTGACAATGGTGACAACAGTGACAACGGTGACAACGGTGACAACAGTGACAATGGTGACAACAGTGACAACGGTGACAACGGTGACAACGGTGACGACTGTGACAATGATGACAATGATGACAACTGTAACAACATTGACAACGGTGACAACTGTGACAACAGTGACAACGATGACAACAGTGACAACGGTGACAACAGTGACAACGGTGACAACAGTGACATCGGCGACAACAGTGACAACGGTGACGACTGTGACGACTGTAACAACGATGACAACTGTGACAACACTGACAACGGTGACAACTGTGACAACAGCGACAACGGTGACAACAGTGACAACGGTGACAACGGTGACAACAGTGACAACGGTGACAACTGTGACAACAGTTACAACGGTGACAACGTTGACAACAGTGACAACGGTGAGAACAGTGACGACTGTGACAACGATGACAACTGTGACAACACTGACAATGGTGACAACAGTGACAACGGTGACAACAGTGACAATGGTGACAACAGTGACAACGATGACGACGGTGACGACTGTGACAATGATGACAATGATGACAACGGTGACAACTGTGACAACTGTGACAACAGTGACAACGGTGACAACCGTGACAACGTGACAACAGCAACAATAGTGACAACATTGACAATGGTGACAACAGTGACAACGGTGACAACGGTGACAACAGTGACAATGGTGACAACAGTGACAACGGTGACAACGGTGACGACTGTGACAATGATGACAATGATGACAACTGTAACAACATTGACAACGGTGACAACTGTGACAACAGTGACAACGGTGACAACAGTGACAACGGTGACAACAGTGACAACGGTGACAACAGTGACAACGGTGACAAAAGTGACAACGGTGACGACTGTGACGAATGTGACAACGATGACAACTGTGACATCACTGACAACGGTGACAACTTTGACAACAGCGACAACGTTGACAACAGTTACAAATGTGACAACGGTGACAAGAGTGACAACGGTGACAACGGTGACGACTGTGACAACTGTGACAACAGTGACAACGGTGACAACAGTGACAACGGTGACAACGGTGACAACAGTGACAACGGTGACAACTGTGACAACTGTTACAACGGTGACAACAGCAACAACAGTGACAACAGTGACAACGGTGACAACGCCGACAACAGTGACAACGGTGACAACAGTGACAATGGTGATGACTGTGACAACGATGACAACTGTGAGAACACTGACAATGGTGACAACTGTGACAACAGCGATAACGATGACAACGATGACAACTTTGACAACGGTGACAACTGTGACAACAGCGACAACGGTGACAACAGTGACAACGGTGACAACGGTGACGACTGTGACAACTGTGACAACAGTGACAACGGTGACGACTGTGACAACAGTGATAACAGTGACAACGGTGACAACAGTGACAGCGGTGACAACAGTGACAACGGTGACAATGGTGACAACAGTGACAATGGTGACAACAGTGACAACGGTGACGACGGTGACGACTGTGATAATGATGACAATGATGACAACTGTAACAACATTGACAACGGTGACAACTGTGACAACAGTGACAACGGTGACAACAGCAACAATAGTGACAACATTGACATTGGTGACAACAGTGACAACGGTGACAACAGTGACAATGGTGACAACAGTGACAACGGTGACGACGATGACGACTGTGACAATGATGACAATGATGACAACTGTAACAACATTTTCAACGGTGACAACTGTGACAACAGTGACAACGGTGACAACTGTGACAACAGTGACAACGGTGAGGACTGTGACGACTTTAACAACGATGACAACTGTGAGAACACTGACAACGGTGACAACTGTGACAACCGCGACAACGGTGACAACAGTGACAAATGTGACAACGGTGACAACGGTGACAACGGTGACAACGGTGACAACGGTGAGGACTGTGACAACTGTGACAACAGTGACAACGGTGACGACTGTGACAACAGTGATAACAGTGACAACAGTGACAGCGGTGACAACAGTGACAACGGTGACAATGGTGACAACAGTGACAATGGTGACAACAGTGACAACGGTGACGACGGTGACGCCTGTGACAATGATGACAATGATGACAACTGTAACAACATTGACAACGGTGACAACTGTGACAACAGTGACAACGGTGACAACCGTGACAACGGTGACAACAGCAACAATAGTGACAACATTGACATTGGTGACAACAGTGACAACGGTGACAACGGTGACAACGGTGACAATGGTGACAACAGTGACAACGGTGACGACGGTGACGACTGTGACAATGATGACAATGATGACAACTGTAACAACATTGACAACGGTGACAACTGTGACAACAGTGACAACGGTGACAACAGTGACAATGGTGATAACAGTGACAACATTGACAACAGTGACATCGGTGACGGTGACAACAGTGACAAATGTGACAACGGTGAGAAGAGTGACAACTGTGACAACACTGACAATGGTGACAACTGTGACAACAGCGACAACGATGACAACGATGACAACTTTGACAACACTGACAACGGTAACAACAGCAACAATAGTGACAACATTGAACGTGGTGACAACAGTGAGAACGGTGACAACGGTGACAACAGTGACAATGGTGACAACAGTGATGTCGGTGACGACTGTGACAATGATGACAATGATGACAACTGTAACAACATTGACAACTGTGACAACAGTGACAACGGTGACAAAAGTGACCACTGTGACAATGGTGACAACAGTGACAACAGTGACATGTGTGAAAACAGTGACAACGGTGACATTGGTGACAACAGTGACAACGGTGACGACTGTGACGACTGTGACAAAGATGACAACTGTGACATCACTGACAACAGTGACAACTTTGACAACAACGACAACGGTGACAACAGTTACAAATGTGACAACTGTGACAACGGTGAGAACGGTGACAACTGTGACAACTGTGACAACAGTGACAACGGTGACAACAGTGACAACGGTGACAACTGTGACAACAGTTACAGCGGTGACAACAGCAACAGTAGTGACAACGGTGACAACGGTGACAACGGTGACAACGGTGACAACAGTGACAACAGCGACAACAGTGACAATGGTGACGACTGTGACAACAATGACAACGATGACAACTGTGACAACACTGACAATGGTGACAACTGTGACAACAGCGACAACGATGACAACGATGACAACTTTGATCACACTGACAACGGTGACAACTGTGACAATAGTGACAAATGTGACAACGGTGACAACGGTGACGACTGTGACAACTCTGACAACAGTGATGACTGTGAGAACAGTGACAACAGTGACAACGGTGACAACAGTGACAACGGTGACGACTCTGACAACAGTGACAATGGTGACAACAGTGACGTCGTTGACGACTGTGACAATGATGACAATGATGACAACTGTAACAACATTGACAACTGTGACAACAGTGACAACGGTGACAACAGTGATAACGGTGACAACAGTAACAACGGTGACAAAAGTGACCACTGTGACAATGGTGACAACAGTGACAACAGTGACATGTGTGAAAACAGTGACAACGGTTACATTGGTGACAACAGTGAGAACGGTGACGACTGTGACGACTGTGACAAAGATGACAACTGTGACATTACTGACAACAGTGACAACTTTGACAACAACGACAACGGTGACAAGAGTTACAAATGTGACAACGGTGACAACGGTGACAACGGTGACAACGGTGACAACTGTGACAACAGTGACAACGGTGACAACAGTGACAACGGTGACAACTGTGACAACAGTTACAACGGTGACAACAGCAACAGCAGTGACAACAGTGAGAACGGTGACAACAGTGACAACAGTGAGAACGGTGACAACGGTGACAACAGTGACAATTGTGACGACTGTGACAACAATGACAACGATGACAACTGCGACAACACTGACAATGCTGACAACTGTGACAACGATGACAACGATTAAACCTTTGACCACACTGACAACGGTGACAACTGTGACAACAGCGACAACTGTGACAACAGTGACAAATGTGACAACGGTGACAACGGTGACAACGGTGACAACGGTGACGACTGTGACAACTCTGACAACAGTGATGACTGTGAGAACAGTGACAACGGTGAGAAAAGTGACAACGATGACAGCAGTGACAACGGTGACGACTCTGACAACAGTGACAACGGTGACAACAGCAACAATAGTGACAACATTGACAATGGTGACAACGGTGACAACGGTGACGACTGTGACAACTCTGACAACAGTGATGACTGTGAGAACAGTGACAACGGTGAGAAAAGTGACAACGATGACAGCAGTGACAACGGTGACAACGGTGACGACTGTGACAACTGTGACAACAGTGACAACGGTGACGACTCTGACAACAGTGACAACGGTGACAACAGCAACAATAGTGACAACATTGACAATGGTGACAACAGTGACAACGGTGACAATGGTGAGAACGGTGACAACAGTAACAATGGTGAAAACAGTGACAACGGTGACAACAGTGACAACGGTGAATACGGGGACAACAGTGACAATGGTAATGACTGTGACAACGATGACAACGATGACAAGTTTGACAACATTGACAACAGCGACAACAGCGACAATGGTGACAACAGGGACAAATGTGACAACAGTGACAACAGTGACAACGGTGACGACTGTGACAACAGTGACAACGGTGACGACTATGACAACAGTGACAACAGTGGCAACGGTGACAACGGTGACAACCGTGACAACGGTGACATCAGCAACAATAGTGACAACATTGACAACAGTGACAGCCGTCACAACAGTGACAACGGTGACAACAGTGACAATGGTGACGACAGTGACAATGGTGACGACGGTGACGACTGTGACAATGATGACAATGATGACAACTGTAGCAACGGTGACAACAGTGACAACGGTGACAACGGTGACAACGGTGACAACAGTGACAACAGCGACAACAGTGACAACAGTGACATCGGTGAAAACAGTGCCAACGGTGGCCACTGTGACGACTGTGACAACGATGACAACGATGACAACTGTGACAATACTGACAACGTTGACAACTGTGACAACAGCGACAATGGTGAGAACAGTGACAAATGTGACAACGGTGACAACAGTGGCAATGGTGACAACGGTGACGACTGTGACAACTGTGACAACAGTGACAACGGTGACAACGGTGACAACGGTGACAACAGTGACAACGGTGACAACTGTGACAACAGTTACAACGGTGACAACGTTGACAACAGTGACAACGGTGACAACAGTGACGACTGTGACAACGATGACAACTGTGACAACACTGACAATGGTGACAACAGTGACAACGGTGCCAACAGTGACAATGGTGACAACAGTGACAACGATGACGATGGTGACGACTGTGACAATGATGACAATGATGACAACGGTGACAGCTGTGACAACAGTGACAACTGTGACAACAGTGACAACGGTGACAACCGTGACAACGTGACAACAGCAACAATAGTGACAACATTGAGAATGGTAAACAACAGTGACAACGGTGACAACGGTGACAACAGTGACAATGGTGACAACAGTGACAACGGTGACAACGGTGACGACTGTGACAATGATGACAATGATGACAACTGTAACAACATTGACAACGTTGACAACTGTGACAACAGTGACAACGATGACAACAGTGACAACGGTGACAACAGTGACAACGGTGACAACAGTGACAACAGTGACAATGGTGACGACTGTGACAACAATGACAACGATGACAACTGTGACGACTGTAACAACGATGACAACTGTGACAACACTGACAACGGTGACAACTGTGACAACAGCGACAACGGTGACAACAGTGACAAATGTGACAACGGTGACAAGAGTGACAACGGTGACAACGGTGACGACTGTGACAACTGTGACAACAGTGACAACGGTGACAACAGTGACAACGGTGACAACGGTGACAACAGTGACAACGGTGACAACTGTGACAACTGTTACAACGGTGACAACAGCAACAACAGTGACAACAGTGACAACGGTGACAACGCCGACAACGGTGACAACGGTGACAACAGTGACAATGGTGATGACTGTGACAACGATGACAACTGTGAGAACACTGACAATGGTGACAACTGTGACAACAGCGATAACGATGACAACGATGACAACTTTGACAACGGTGACAACTGTGACAACAGCGACAACGGTGACAGCAGTGACAACGGTGACAACGGTGACGACTGTGACAACTGTGACAACAGTGACAACGGTGACGACTGTGACAACAGTGATAACAGTGACAACGGTGACAACAGTGACAGCGGTGACAACAGTGACAACGGTGACAATGGTGACAACAGTGACAATGGTGACAACAGTGACAACGGTGACGACGGTGACGACTGTGACAATGATGACAATGATGACAACTGTAACAACATTGACAACGGTGACAACTGTGACAACAGTGACAACGGTGACAACCGTGACAACGGTGACAACAGCAACAATAGTGACAACATTGACATTGGTGACAACAGTGACAACGGTGACAACGGTGACAACAGTGACAATGGTGACAACAGTGACAACGTTGATGACGGTGACGACTGTGACAATGATGACAATGATGACAACTGTAACAACATTGACAACGGTGACAACTGTGACAACAGTGACAACTGTGACAACTGTGACAACGGTGATAACAGTGACAACATTGACAACAGTGACATCGGTGACAACAGTGACAACGGTGACGACTGTGACGACTCTAACAACGATGACAACTGTGAGAACACTGACAACGGTGACAATTGTGACAACCGCGACAACGGTGACAACAGTGACAAATGTGACAACGGTGACAAGAGTGACAACGGTGACAACGGTGACGACTGTGACAACTGTGACAACCGTGACAACGGTGACAACAGTGACAACGGTGACAACGGTGACAACAGTGACAACGGTGACAACTGTGACAACTGTGACAACGGTGACAACAGCGACAACAGTGACAACAGTGACAACGGTGACAACGCTGACAACAGTGACAACGGTGACAACAGTGACAATGGTGACGACTGTGACAACGATGACAACTGTGAGAACACTGACAATGGTGACAACTGTGACAACAGCGATAACGATGACAACGATGACAACTTTGACAACGGTGACAACTGTGACAACAGCGACAACGGTGAAAACAGTGACAACGGTGACAACGGTGACGACTGTGACAACTGTGACAACAGTGACAACGGTGACGACTGTGACAACAGTGATAACAGTGACAACGGTGACAACAGTGACAGCGGTGAGAACAGTGACAACGGTGACAATGGTGACAACAGTGACAACGGTGACGACGGTGACGCCTGTGACAATGATGACAATGATGACAACTGTAACGGTGACAACTGTGACAACAGTGACAACGGTGACAACCGTGACAACGGTGACAACAGCAACAATAGTGACAACATTGACATTGGTGACAACAGTGACAACGGTGACAACGGTGACAATGGTGACAACAGTGACAACGGTGACGACGGTGACGACTGTGACAATGATGACAATGATGACAACTGTAACAACATTGACAACGGTGACAACTGTGACAACAGTGACAACGGTGACAACAGTGACAACGGTGATAACAGTGACAACATTGACAACAGTGACATCGGTGACAACAGTGACAACGGTGACGACTGTGACGACTGTAACAACGATGACAACTGTGAAAACACTGACAACGGTGACAACTGTGACAACAGCGACAACGGTGACAACAGTGACAACAGTGACAAATGTGACAACGGTGAGAAGAGTGACAACTGTGACAACACTGACAATGGTGACAACTGTGACAACAGCGACAACGATGACAACGATGACAACTTTGACAACACTGACAACGGTAACAACAGCAACAATAGTGACAACATTGACAGTGGTGACAACAGTGAGAACGGTGACAACGGTGACAACAGTGACAATGGTGACAACAGTGATGTCGGTGACGACTGTGACAATGATGACAATGATGACAAATGTAACAACATTGACAACTGTGACAACAGTGACAACGGTGACAAAAGTGACCACTGTGACAATGGTGACAACAGTGACAACAGTGACATGTGTGAAAACAGTGACAACGGTGACATTGGGGACAACAGTGACAACGGTGACGACTGTGACAAAGATGACAACTGTGACATCACTGACAACAGTGACAACTTTGACAACAACGACAACGGTGACAACAGTTAAAAATTTGACAACTGTGACAACGGTGACAACGGTGACAACGGTGACAACTGTGAGAACAGTGACAACGGTGACAACAGTGACAACGGTGACAACTGTGACAACAGTTACAGCGGTGACAACAGCAACAGTAGTGACAACGGTGACAACGGTGACAACGGTGACAACGGTGACAACAGTGACAACAGCGACAACAGTGACAATGGTGACGACTGTGACAACAATGACAACGATGACAACTGTGACAACACTGACAATGGTGACAACTGTGACAACAGCGACAACGATGACAACGATGACAACTTTGATTACACTGACAACGGTGACAACTGTGACAATAGTGACAAATGTGACAACGGTGACAACGGTGACGACTGTGACAACTCTGACAACAGTGATGACTGTGAGAACAGTGACAACAGTGACAACGGTGACGACTCTGACAACAGTGACAATGGTGACAACAGTGACGTCGTTGACGACTGTGACAATGATGACAATGATGACAACTGTAACAACATTGACAACTGTGACAACAGTGACAACGGTGACAACAGTGATAACGGTGACAACAGTAACAACGGTGACAAAAGTGACCACTGTGACAATGGTGACAACAGTGACAACAGTGACATGTGTGAAAACAGTGACAACGGTTACATTGGTGACAACAGTGAGAACGGTGACGACTGTGATGACTGTGACAAAGATGACAAGTGTGACATCACTGACATTAGTGACAACTTTGACAACAACGACAACTGTGACAACAGTTAAAAATGTGACAACGGTGACAACGGTGACAACTGTGACAACTGTGACAACAGTGACAACGGTGACAACAGTGACAACGGTGACAACTGTGACAACAGTTACAACGGTGACAACAGCAACAGCAGTGACAACAGTGACAACGGTGACAACAGTGACAACAGTGAGAACGGTGACAACGGTGACAACAGTGACAATGGTGACGACTGTGACAACAATGACAACGATGACAACTGTGACAACAGTGACAATGCTGACAACTGTGACAACGATGACAACGATTAAACATTTGACCACACTGACAACGGTGACAACTGTGACAACAGCGACAACTGTGACAACAGTGACAAATGTGACAACGGTGACAACGGTGACAGCGGTGACAACTGTGACAACTCTGACAACAGTGATGACTGTGAGAACAGTGACAACGGTGAGAAAAGTGACAACGATGACAGCAGTGACAACGGTGACAACGGTGACGACTGTGACAACTGTGACAACAGTGACAACGGTGACGACTCTGACAACAGTGACAACGGTGACAACAGTGACAACGGTGACAACGGTGACAACAGCAACAATAGTGACAACATTGACAATGGTGACAACAGTGACAACGGTGACAATGGTGACAACGGTGACAACAGTATCAATGGTGAAAACAGTGACAACGGTGACAACAGTGACAACGGTGAATACGGGGACAACAGTGACAATGGTAATGACTGTGAGAACGATGACAACGATGACAAGTTTGACAACATTGACAACAGTGACAACAGCGACAATGGTGACAACAGGGACAAATGTGAGAACCGTGACAACAGTGACAACGGTGACGACTGTGACAACAGTGACAACGGTGACGACTATGACAACAGTGACAACAGTGGCAATGGTGAAAACGGTGACAACCGTGACAACGGTGACATCAGCAACAATAGTGACAACATTGACAACAGTGACAACCGTCACAACGGTGACAACGGTGACAACAGTGACAATGGTGACGACAGTCACAATGGTGACGACGGTGACGACTGTGACAATGATGACAATGATGACAACTGTAGCAACGGTGACAACAGTGACAATGGTGACGACAGTGACAATGGTGACGACGGTGACGACTGTGACAATGATGACAATGATGACAACAGTAACAACGGTGACAAAAGTGACCACTGTGACAATTGTGACAACAGTGACAACAGTGACAACGGTGACAACAGTGACAACAGTGACAACAGTGACATCGGTGACAACAGTGACAACGGTGGCCACTGTGACGACTGTGACAACGATGACAACGATGACAACTGTGACAATACTGACAACGTTGACAACTGTGACAACAGCGACAACGGTGAGAACAGTGACAAATGTGACAACGGTGACAACGGTGACAACGGTGACAACAGTGACAACAGTTACAACGGTGACAACGTTGACAACAGTGACAATGGTGACAACAGTGACGACTGTGACAACGATGACAACTGTGACAACACTGACAATGGTGACAACAGTGACAACCGTGACAACAGTGACAATGGTGACAACAGTGACAACGATGACGACGGTGACGAGTGTGACAATGATGACAATGATGACAACGGTGACAACTGTGACAACAGTGAAAACTGTGACAACAGTGACAACGGTGACAACCGTGACAACGTGACAACAGCAACAATAGTGACAACATTGACAATGGTGACAACAGTGACAACGGTGACAACGGTGACAACAGTGACAATGGTGACAACAGTGACAATGGTGACAACGGTGACGACTGTGACAATGATGACAATGATGACAACTGTAGCAACATTGACAACGGTGACAACTGTGACAACAGTGACAACGATGACAACAGTGACAACGGTGACAACAGTGACAACGGTGACAACAGCAACAATAGTGACAACATTGACAATGGTGACAACAGTGACAACGGTGACAATGGTGACAACGGTGACAACAGTAACAATGGTGAAACAGTGATAACGGTGACAACAGTGACAACGGTGAATACGGGGACAACAGTGACAATGGTAATGACTGTGAGAACGATGACAACGATGACAAGTTTGACAACATTGACAACAGTGACAACAGCGACAATGGTGACAACAGGGACAAATGCGACAACAGTGACAACAGTGACAACGGTGACGACTGTGACAACAGTGACAACGGTGACGACTATGACAACAGTGACAACAGTGGCAACGGTGACAACGGTGACAACCGTGACAACGGTGACATCAGCAACAATAGTGACAACATTGACAACAGTGACAACCGTCACAACGGTGACAACGGTGACAACAGTGACAATGGTGACGACAGTGACAATGGTGACGACGGTGACGACTCTGACAATGATGACAATGATGACAACTGTAGCAACGGTGACAACAGTGACAATGGTGACGACAGTGACAATGGTGACGACGGTGACGACTGTGACAATGATGACAATGATGACAACTGTAACAACATTGACAACGGTGACAACAGTAACAACGGTGACAAAAGTGACCACTGTGACAACTGTGACAACAGTTACAGCGGTGACAACAGCAACAGTAGTGACAACAGTGACAACGGTGACAACGGTGACAACAGTGACAACAGTGACAACAGCGACAACAGTGACAATGGTGACGACTGTGACAACAATGACAACGATGACAACTGTGACAACACTGACAATGGTGACAACTGTGACAACAGCGACAACGATGACAACGATGACAACTTTGATCACACTGACAACAGTGACAACTGTGACAATAGTGACAAATGTGACAACGGTGACAACGGTGAGGACTGTGACAACTTTGACAACAGTGATGACTGTCAGAACAGTGACAACAGTGACAACGGTGACAACAGTGACAACGGTGACGACTCTGACAACAGTGACAATGGTGACAACAGTGACGTCGTTGACGACTGTGACAATGATGACAATGATGACAACTGTAACAACATTGACAACTGTGACAACAGTGACAACGGTGACAACAGTGAGAACGGTGACAACAGTAACAACGGTGAGAAAAGTGACCACTGTGACAATGGTGACAACCGTGACAACAGTGACATGTGTGAAAACAGTGACAACGGTTACATTGGTGACAACAGTGAGAACGGTGACGACTGTGACGACTGTGACAAAGATGACAACTGTGACATTACTGACAACAGTGACAACTTTGACAACAACGACAATGGTGACAAGAGTTACAAATGTGACAACGGTGACAACGGTGACAACTGTGACAACTGTGACAACAGTGACAACGGTGACAACAGTGACACCGGTGACAACTGTGAGAACAGTTACAACGGTGACAACAGCAACAGCAGTGACAACAGTGACAACGGTGACAACAGTGACAACAGTGAGAACGGTGACAACGGTGACAACAGTGACAATGGTGACGACTGTGACAACAATGACAACGATGACAACTGTGACAACACTGACAATGCTGACAACTGTGACAACGATGACAACGATTAAACCTTTGACCACACTGACAACGGTGACAACTGTGACAACAGCGACAACTGTGACAACAGTGACAAATGTGACAACGGTGACAACGGTGACAACGGTGACAACGGTGACGACTGTGACAACTCTGACAACAGTGATGACTGTGAGAACAGTGACAACGGTGAGAACAGTGACAACGATGACAGCAGTGACAACGGTGACAACGGTGACGACTGCGACAACTGTGACAACAGTGACAACGGTGACGACTCTGACAACAGTGACAACGGTGACAACAGTGACAACGGTGACAACAGCAACAATAGTGACAACATTGACAATGGTGACAACAGTGACAACGGTGACAATGGTGACAACGGTGACAACAGTAACAATGGTGAAAACAGTGACAACGGTGGCAACAGTGACAACGGTGAATACGGGGACAACAGTGACAATGGTAATGACTGTGACAACGATGACAACGATGACAAGTTTGACGACATTGACAACAGTGACAACAGCGACAATGGTGACAACAGGGACAAATGTGACGACAGTGACAACAGTGACAACGATGACGACTGTGACAACAGTGACAACGGTGACGACTATGACAACAGTGACAACAGTGGCAACAGTGACAACGGTGACAACCGTGACAACGGTGACATCAGCAATAATAGTGACAACATTGACAACAGTGACAACCGTCACAACGGTGACAACGGTGACAACAGTGACAATGGTGACGACAGTGACAATGGTGACGACGGTGACGACTGTGACAATGATGACAATGATGACAACTGTAACAACGGTGACAACAGTGACAATGGTGACGACAGTGACAATGGTGACGACGGTGACGACTGTGACAATGATGACAATGATGACAACTGTAACAACATTGACAACGGTGACAACAGTAACAACGGTGACAAAAGTGACCACTGTGACAATTGTGACAACAGTGACAACAGTGACAACGGTGACAACGGTGACAACAGTGACAACGGTGACAACAGTGACAACGGTGACAACAGTGACAACAGTGACATCGGTGACAACAATGACAACGGTGACGACTGTGATGACTGTAACAACGAAGACAACTGTGACAACACTGACAACGGTGACAACTGTGACAACAGCGACAACGGTGACAACAGTGACAAATGTGACAACGGTGACAAGAGTGACAACGGTGACAACGGTGACGACTGTGACAACTGTGACAACAGTGACAACGGTGACAACAGTGACAACGGTGACAACAGTGACAACGGTGACAACGGTGACAACTGTTACAACGGTGACAACAGCAACAACAGTGACAACAGTGACAACGGTGACAATGCCGACAACAGTGACAACGGTGACAACAGTGACAATGGTGACGACTGTGACAACGATGACAACTGTGAGAAAACTGACAATGGTGACAACTGTGACAACAGCGATAACGATGACAACGATGACAACTTTGACAACGGGGACAACTGTGACAACAGCGACAACGGTGACAACGGTGACGACTGTGACATCTGTGACAACAGTGACAACGGTGACGATTGTGACAACAGTGATAACAGTGACAACGGTGACAACAGTGACAGCGGTGACAACAGTGACAACGGTGACAATGGTGACAACAGTGACAATGGTGACAACAGTGACAACGGTGACGACGGTGACGACTGTGACAATGATGACAATGATGACAACTGTAACAACATTGACAACGGTGACAACTGTGACAACAGTGACAACGGTGACAACCGTGACAACGGTGACAACAGCAACAATAGTGACAACATTGACATTGGTGACAACAGTGACAACGGTGACAACGGTGACAACAGTGACAATGGTGACAACAGTGACAACGGTGACGACGGTGACGACTGTGACAATGATGACAATGATGACAACTGTAACAACATTGACAACGGTGACAACTGTGACAACAGTGACAACGGTGACAACTGTGACAACGGTGATAACAGTGACAACATTGACAACAGTGACATCGGTGACAACAGTGACAACCGTGACGACTGTGACGACTGTAACAACGATGACAACTGTGACAACACTGACAACGGTGACAACTGTGACAACAGCGACAACGGTGACAACAGTGACAAATGTGACAACGGTGACAAGAGTGACAACGGTGACAACGGTGACGACTGTGACAACGGTGACAACAGTGACAACAGTGACAACAGTGACAACGGTGACAACGGTGACAACAGTGACAACGGTGACAACTGTGACAACTGTTATAACGGTGACAACAGCAACAACAGTGACAACAGTGACAACGGTGACAACGCCGACAACAGTGACAACGGTGACAACAGTGACAATGGTGACGACTGTGACAACGATGACAACTGTGAGAACACTGACAATGGTGACAACTGTGACAACAGCGATAACGATGACAACTATGACAATTTTGACAACGGTGACAACTGTGACAACAGCGACAACGGTGAAAACAGTGACAACGGTGACGACTGTGACAACTGTGACAACAGTGACAACGGTGACGACTGTGACAACAGTGATAACAGTGACAACGGTGACAACAGTGACAGCGGTGACAACAGTGACAACGGTGACAATGGTGACAACAGTGACAATGGTGACAACAGTGACAACGGTGACGACGGTGACGACTGTGACAATGATGACAATGATGACAACTGTAACAACATTGACAACGGTGACAACTGTGACAACAGTGACAATGGTGACAACCGTGACAACGGTGACAACAGCAACAATAGTGACAACATTGACATTGGTGACAACAGTGACAACGGTGACAACGGTCACAACAGTGACAATGGTGACAACAGTGACAACGGTGACGACGGTGACGACTGTGACAATGATGACAATGATGACAACTGTAACAACATTGACAATGGTGACAACTGTGACAACAGTGACAACGGTGACACCAGTGACAACGGTGATAACAGTGACAACATTGACAACAGTGACATCGGTGACAACAGTGACAACGGTGACGACTGTGACGACTGTAAGAACGATGACAACTGTGACAACACTGACAACGGTGAGAAGAGTGACAACTGTGACAATGGTGACAACTGTGACAACAGCGACAACGATGACAACGATGACAACTTTGACAACACTGACAACGGTAACAACAGCAACAATAGTGACAACATTGACAGTGGTGACAACAGTGACAACGGTGACAACGGTGACAACAGTGACAATGGTGACAATAGTGACGTCGGTGACGACTGTGACAATGATGACAACTGTAACAACATTGACAACTGTGACAACAGTGACAACGGTGACAAAAGTGACCACTGTGACAATGGTGACAACAGTGACAACAGTGACATGTGTGAAAACAGTGACAACGGTGACATTGGTGACAACAGTTACAACGGTGACGACTGTGACGACTGTGACAAAGATGACAACTGTGACATCACTGACAACAGTGACAACTTTGACAACAACGACAACGGTGACAATAGTTACAAATGTGACAACTGTTACAACGGTGACAACGGTGACAACTGTGACAACGGTGACAACTGTGACAACAGTTACAGCGGTGACAACAGCAACAGTAGTGACAACAGTGACAACGGTGATAACGGTGACAACAGTGACAACGGTGACAACGGTGACAACGGTGACAACAGTGACAACAGCGACAACAGTGACAATGGTGACGACTGTGACAACAATGACAACGATGACAACTGTGACAACACTGACAATGGTGACAAGTGTGACAACAGCGACAACGATGACAACGATGACAACTTTGATCACACTGACAACGGTGACAACTGTGACAATAGTGACAAATGTGACAACGGTGACAACGGTGACGACTGTGACAACTCTGACAACAGTGATGACTGTGAGAACAGTGACAACAGTGACAACGGTGACAACAGTGACAACGGTGACGACTCTGACAACTGTGACAACAGTGACAACGGTGACAAAAGTGACCACTGCGAGAATGGTGACAACATTGACAACAGTGACAACAGTGACAACGGTGACAACGGTGACAATGGTGACAACGGTGACAACGGTGACAACGGTGACAACAGTGACAATGGTGACGACTGTGACAACGATGACTACGATGACAACGATGACAACTTTGACAACACTGACAACGGTGACAACTCTGACAACAGCGCGACGGTGACAACAGGGACAATTGTGACAACAGTGACAACAGTGACAACGGTGACGAGTGTGACAATAGTGACTACAGTGACAACGGTGACGACTGTGACAACAGTGACAACAGTGACAACGGTGACAACAGTGACAACGGTGACAACCGTGAAAGCGGTGACATCAGCAACAATAGTGACAACATTTACAACAGTGACAACCGTGACAACAGCGACAATGGTGACGACAGTGACAACGGTGACAACAGTAACAACGGTTTCAAAAGTGACCACCGTGACAATTGTGACAACAGTGACAACAGTGACAACGGTGACAACAGTGACAACTGTGACAACAGTGACAACGGTGACGACTGTGACAACAGTGACAAAAGTGACAACGGTGACAACAGTGACAACGGTGACAACGGTGACAACAGTGATAATGGTGACAACAGTGACAACAGTGACGTCGGTGACGACTGTGTCAATGATGACAATGAAGACAACTGTAACAACATTGACAACGGTGACAACTGTGACAACAGTGACAACGGTGACAACAATGACAACGGTGACAACCGTGACAACGGTGACAACAGCAACAATAGTGACAACATTGACAACGGTGACAACAGTGACAACGGTGACAACGGTGACAACAGTGACAACGGTGACAACCGTGACAACGGTGACAACAGCAACAATAGTGACAACATTGACAACGGTGACAACAGTGACAACGGTGACAACGGTGACAACAGTGAGAATGGTGACAACAGTGACAACGGTGACAACGGTGACGACTGTGACAATGATGACAACTGTGACAACATTGACAAAGGTGACAACTGTGACAACAGTGACAACGGTGATAACAGTGAGAACGGTGACAAAAGTGACCACTGTGACAATGGTGACAACAGTGACAACAGTGACAACGGTGACAACAGTGACAACAGTGATAATAGTGACAGCGGTGACAACAGTGACAACGGTGACGACTGTGACGACTGTGACAACGATGATGACGATGACAACTGTGACAACACTGACAACGGTTACAACTGTGACAACAGCGACAACGGTGACAATAGTGACAAATGTGACAACGGTGACAACAGTGACAACGGTGACGACTGTGACAACTGTGACAACATTGACAACGGTGATAACAGTGACAACGGTGACAAAGGTGACAACAGTGACAACGGTGACAACTGTGACAACAGTTACAACGGTGACAACAGCAACAACAGTGACGACAGTGACAAAAGTGACCACTGTGACAATGTTGACAACAGTGACAACAGTGAGAACGGTGACAACAGCAACAACAGTGACAACAGGGACAACGGCGATAATGGCGACAACAGTGACAACGGTGACAACAGTGACAACGGTTACGACGGTGACAACGGTGACGACTGTGACAATGGTGACAACGGTGACAATGGTGAGAACAGTGAGAACAGGGACAACACTGACGACTGTGACAACGATGAGAACGGTGACAACACTGATAATGGTGACAAATGTGACAACAGCGACAACGGTGACAACAGCGACAACGGTGACAACTGTGACAACAGTGACAAAAGTGACAAAAGTGACCACTGTGACAACGGTGACAACAGTGACAACGGTGACAACGGTGATAACGTTGAGGACTCTGACAACAGCGACAACGGCGACAACAGTGACAACGGTGACAACATCGACAACTGTGACAACGGTTACAACACTGACAAAAGTGACCACGGTGACGACTGTGACAATGGTGACAACAGTAACAACGGTGACAACAGCGACAACGGTGACAACAGTGACAACGGTGAGAACAGTGACAACAGCGAGAACGACGACAACAGTGACAACAGTGGCAATGGTGACAACAGTGACAACAGTGACAACTTTGAGAACAGCGATAACGGTGACAACAGTGACAGCAGTGACAACAGCGACAACCGTGACGACAGCGACAGCAGTGACAACAGCGACAATGGTGACAACAGCGACAACAGCAGCCACGGTGACATCAGGAACAACAGTGACAACAGCGAAAACAGCGACAACAACGACAACGGTGACAACTGTGACAACAGTGACAATGGTGACAACAGCGACAACGGTGACAACAATGACAACGGTGACAACTGTGACAACAGCGACAACGTTGACAACAGCGACAATGCTGACAACGGTGAGAACGGTGACAACAGCGACAGCGGTTGCAAAAGCTACAACACTGACAACACTGACAACGGCGATCACAGAGACAACAGTGACAACAGCGACAACAAAGACAATTGTGACAAAAGCGACAACAGTGACAACAGAGACAACGGCGACCACAGAGACAACAGTGACAACATGCATGTGTCACATGTCTTTAGCCAGGATTCCTTTTTACTTGTATTAACAGTAACAATCACGTATGGAATGTACAAAACGAACTTTTATTACGCTTGTTTGGACCCACCATCACTCGTAATCTGGTCACGCGTGTTTTGAACATTTGTTACGTGAAACCTACGCAAAGTACAGTGCAGGAGCAAAAGTGCTTTGAGCTTTGACCGTTTTCTTCTGCACTTCGTAACCTTATTATTATTATTGTTATTATTATTATTAGTATAGGTAATAGCATGATTTGTAGTGATATTTGGCATAAATACCAGTAGTGTTATACAAAATTTCACGAGCCGTTAGGCGAGTGAAATTTGAGACAATTTTGAAAGATCATAAGTGGTATTTATGCTAAATATCACGTACAAATCATGCTGTTACAACTACTACCCACAAAAAGTTTGTAATTTTCACATGTAGGTATTTCAAATTAAGCTGAAATACCACTGCTCTAAGCCAATCAAATTGCAGAAATTTCTCATGTAGTAGTATCACTATTATTAATATTATTTTATTATTATTATTATTATTATTATTGTCTACTTCTTACTTTAGGATTACGTGTAGGCTTGTAGATGGTGGAGAAACTTTGTTGGAGGCTTTATGTCCTATCACTTCTCTACCTAACCTTGCATGATGATAGTTAGGCTACTTTCTCACCTGTTTGAATACCGTTTCTGTTACTAAGTGAAGAAATAAACATTAGGAACTGTTGCTGCTTAATTCTAGTGGTGTAACGGTTAATCGAATTCTCGATTAATCGCGATTCACGATTCTTTGCCTCCACGTTTCGACTTTGCTTCGATTTTTGCATACCTTTTCCAGGGTGCCCTCAGTGAGTTATTATATTGTAAAATCAGAATCCAGAACTCTTTAAAATGTGCGTTTTTGATTGACGAGCAAAGACGATAGCAGTTCGTGCGCCATTTTGTGTGGCCTGGTAAAAATGCTGTCCTTCAACCACCTCCTGAGAATTTACAAATAAGGCAAACCATCTTTGTCATGTTCTAAAACATGGCGACGAACCAAGCGACTGTGAATCCTCCTGTCCCTGTCACTATTCTCAAGTTGAGGGTTTAGGGTTGCATGTTGTTAACACTACACGTTATGTTATAATAATTAAGAAACACGTACATAATCGAATCGAAATAATCGAAATCGAAAGACAATAATCGAAATCGAATTGAATCGCAAGGAATATGAATCGTTACACCCCTTCTAAATTCATGGCGGAATAAAATAGATCCTTTCCAGCTGGTTATCAGTTACGTGGTACAAAAACACTCTTCTGTAGGGGAAGAAATTAACCTACTGGGACAAGATAGGTAAAGGAAGTTAGTTAACATTTTAAACGATGCAAACTCATTGGCTGTCTTGTCCTAGTAGCTTCTTGCTCTCCAGTAAGGTGTTTTTTTTTTACCATTTGACTGGTCAGCTGTACAGGCCCATAAGGCCAAGATTGACTTTGACTACATCATTTTTTTCGTAGGTGTCGGTAAATCAAGCTTGGCAGCAACTCTTAGTATGGCCCTTGCTAAATTGGATAAAAAGGTACCAGTAGTTTTGACTTTGATAGCACCCACTCTTAACCCTTTAAGCCCCAAGATCCACATACAAATTCTCCAGACTGATCTCCATACATTTCTTTTAAGAATAGTTGAGAGCATTTGGTTTAAGATCAAAGCATTCTTCCTTTGGTAATCAGTTTAGTAATTCTCATAACCTTTACTCTTGATGATCCGCTGATGTTGTTAGGAGAAAATTGATGTTGGTCACTCTTGGGACCTAAGGGGTTAAGAGGGAAAAATTCCTACTTTATAAAATTTTTCAGTTAATGAGTTGCAAGTGGTGGACGTACGGGTTAATGGCAAGACCCTTAAGCGACCAATAACTAGAATCACTCCGCTGGAGACTCCGGTCACCGAAGCGTTATCAGATTAATGTGTAACAAGAAAAGTTCAAAGAACTATGATATTTCAACTAAGGTTATATTTCAGTTATTATACTACTACATGAGAAATTTCTGCAATTTGATTGGCTTAGAGCAGTAGTATCTCAGCTTAATTTGAAATACCTACATGTGAAAATTACAAACCTCTTGCGGGTAGTAGTATAAACAAATAATAGCCTGATTTGTACGTGATATTTGGCATAAATATCCCTAGTGATATTTCAAAATTGTCTCAAATTTCACTCGCCTAACGGCTCGTGAATTTACGTATAACAATTTCGAAATATCACTCGTGGTATTTTATGCCAAATATCACTACAAATCATGCTATTACCTATGCAAATGTATTCGAATTTCAGATCCTCTGTAATTCGGGAGGGGAAGACATGTAATAGACATTTTGCGTTGCGTTACACATTACGTCATGGTGTCATGTGACTCTTTGGAGTTTTGACTCGGAACTTGGACTCGAGAAGCGTTGAGTTAGATTAAGGAATTTAGTTTGGATTTATTTGTTACTGTTTACGGAACAGACACAACAAGTACTCTTGTACTGAAAATGCAAGGTACTGTCACCCTACTTTCCACGAAGCTAAAAGATTGGTATCTATCGATTGCATTTCTTTGTTAGGTAGGGCTTGTAGACCTGGATATTTGTGGTCCAAGTGTACCCAAGTTAATGGCTGTGGAAGGCAAGCAGGTCATTAACTCACCTTATGGATGGACTCCTTTGAAGTAAGTCATCAGAGGAGTGATTCTAAACTAACTTATATGTAACTAATTCGTCCGGCTCATGTAAGGGAATCCACGACAGTCTCGGATTCTGGATCCCATGTTGCGGATCCCAGATTCCGGGTCCTTCTCAGGGAATTTAGATTGGGGATTCGCCATTTTCACATAGACCAATTTCTCCTGGGTATTATAGTCGTCCCAAGAGAAATCGAAAACAATGGTTATGCAAAATCTTGGGGGGTAAACAAGATGTACTATGGTCTATGAGAAAATGGTGAATTCCACAAGCAAAATGTTCCAGGATTTCGGAATCCTGATTATCAGACATGATGCGAACTAATGTTCAGTCATTGAGTTAGCGTTCGTAGAGGTTATTCTCATGCAATCAGAGCATAAAGGTTGTCTTGCTCAAAGGTGAAAGCAAAAAAGGAAAGGCTTGTTCTATAGCTTGTTTGAAGCAAACTTGGAAACCCACAGACGGACTTTCAATTGCTAGTTTGTTCCTTCCCTCACCCTCTCATGGGAGCGTTTGTCAGACATTTATCATACAATTAACTGTTTTTTTTTCTGGTAGTTTAATGTACTTTTTAAGTTATTTATTTGAATGCAATCTTTATTCTCAGATCTCCTCACTTTGATGTGAAGGTCATGTCAGTAGGCTCCTTGTTGGAGAAAACGGATAATGCGTAAGCTTATTATCAAAACTACTTTTTTAATGACAGAAAGGAAGTAAAATATATAATGTTTCTTCATTCTAATCACTGTTAATGTGCCATTACTTCTAGTGGAGGGCTCTGAGTGTATTCTAAAAGCAATTCAACTATTCGTCCAAAATATATATCCGTTTCTTATTGGCTTAACCCCCCCCCCAGCCAATTCATGACCAGCTAGTATTGACCAAAACAATTTGGAAGATGCACGCCGATGGTAGCCCGCGAGCAAGCTCTCCTGGGGTCTTGGGGGTACTGTTGTGGGGCAGAGGACAAGAGCACCGGAGCTCCCCGGGAGAGTTTGCTCGCAGGCTACGCCAATGTCAAATCTTTCCCACATTCCGCTCTAGTGAACAACATACAATGAAACGAGGTCAAAGCTTGCGTTGACAGTTTATTTAAGATCAGGTGTTTTTTTCTCACCAAAAGCCTCGTTCATAAAATGCAGGACGAAACCAGCCTCCTTTAAATTTTCTAGCAACATGCACTGCTAAGATGCGCAAGCTCTTTTTCTAAAAAGCAATAAGGATTTTGTCCTTGTAAATCAATCTTTCTGTTTTATCTTCAGGATTATATGGCGTGGACCTAGAAAAACTGGTATGTAGTGTATGTATTGTAATAGTACGAGTTTTTTTTAGGATATTTATATATTTGAGGCCTACTGCGTCTCAAATTATATCAATTAAACAGTGAACTAATGCGTGAAAATTCATTTACCAATTTCTCTATGAAGGCTATTTTGCCACAGTAATGTTATGTAAAACTTAAATCACTACGAGAAAAATGCCGTACTGAAAAGTAATCGTATCACTTTATAGTGAAGAACATAAATAGATGCAGGCAAAGTCCCAGGGTTTTATTAGGTTTTTCGAGAAGAATTTACAATACAACTTTTTGTTTTTTTTTTCTTTCAGGTTTAATTAAGCAGTTTCTCAAGGACACCTTCTGGGGAAGACTCGATTTTCTCATATTTGGTGAGTAACAGAACTGCCCTTGCTGTATAAAGTCATTTTGCGCGGTCAAGTACATCGCAAAGACTCATTCCCCCATTCTTGAGTTTGAAATCAAAGATGTGACAACTCAAGTAAAAGCTATTCCCACTGTACCGTTTCTTGTTCCAAATTCTTATGTATTTACTTCAGAAAACGAGATCGTTATATCGAACAGTACTTTGTTAAGTTTTGTCCTGTCTTAGAGCGCGAACATGATGTCACGTGTCATGCGCCGTGAGGATGCGCACAAACCGTTAGCGTTTCGTGGGGTGCTAATTTCAAAAAGTCAGTTTTAGCGAAGACAAGGTGATGGACTGCGCAGATCTAAAAATAGACTTGACTAATAGGCCATTTGCATGATGGCGTCATTTTGCTACTACGACCAGAATCCTCTTCGTTTTTTCTTTCATATTCTAATTTGGTATTCCCAGTGAGGTTTCAAAAACAAAAGCCCTAATTTACACAAGAAAGCAAAATCCTGAAGGATTCTGGTCGTCGTGGTAAAATGACGTCATCGTGCAAATGGCCTATTGCAGAACAGCAATTTGAACACCGGAAATCGAGGTCATCGGTTTTAGCATGCGTCCTCGTTTTACGTTGCGGTTTCTTTGCTAAATCCGCGTAATATATGCCCAAAATTATTGACTCGGGCATCTGCTCTGTTACTAGACACTCCCCCAGGGACATCAGACGAGCATCTTACAGTAGTTAAAGCACTCAAGAATGCCCGACCAGATGGTGCAGTTGTTGTGACAACGCCCCAAGAAGTGGCGCTAGCTACCATTCGTAAAGAACTCAACTTTTGTCGCAAAGTGGATGTCAAAGTTCTAGGCATCGTGGAGAATATGAGTGGTTTTGTTTGTCCTCACTGTCAGGTTGGTACGCACAAGTAATAAACATGTAGAAAGGTTCCTGTTGGACAATGTAGGTCAAGATTGAGCCTTGGGGTACTCTCTTATATAAGCTATATTGGTATGTGCCACCCCAAAGGGTATGGTTTCTGGGCCTTTTTGGTCTGAAAACGGGTATACACTTTGCCCATTTTGGTCTGGAATCGGGTATGGTTTTCGAGGGAAGTACGGGAGCTTATGAACGTAGTTATCGTTTCAATTCCAAATTAATTAGAACGAAATAGAAATATGCGAATTCGAAATGCACTTGAAAAATGTTTTTCTTTACGCTCTAATCTAAGCAATTTCTGCCTAAAGGCCAGGTTTGAAAACGGGTTTGGTTTTTAGAGTTAATGAAAAAAATGACATTTTTTGGTTTGAAAGAGGGTCAGGATTTGGAGTACTGGGCGGCACACCCCCACCAAGAATTTCCAGGAGTACCCCCTCCCCTCCCTTCGGGAGGAATTCTCAATGGAAGGATTGTCTTATCAGAGGTGATCGCATATAGAGGTTTGTCTGTACTTAAAGTCAGGATATGCTTAGAAGAATGTGAGGATCTTAACCTGCAAATAGAGGCTACCTTTTCGCGATATGATCGCTTACTGGCTCTATGTGTACAGTTCATTACATACTTCTTATTCATTAATGCCTCTATGAAAGACATCGCTTTTGGTTAATGTATAGTTTTTGTGATTCCTATAATGGCAGACACTTTGTTTGCTTTTGTCAGGAATGCTCCAATATATTTTCAACTGGTGGCGCTGGCAAACTTGCTGATGAATTTGGTGTCAATTTTCTCGGCAGCATTCCACTTGATCAGGTAACAAACACTGATTCATATAACACAGGTAGGCCAGCCTACACCACGGGGTATATAAGGGCCTAAGTTTACCCAAACTGCTTTGCGCCCCACACTAGTGTTCGACCGCACTGAATCGCACTAAGCTCACTGAAGTCAAACCAGTATTTTTATACAGGTTATTTCGCGCTCAATGCACGTTCGCGTAAATGCGAATGTTTAATAAGCGTGGTCACTCTCCATTAAGCGGTCTTTCATCAAAGAACCGAAAATTTTTACGGCGTTCCTAAATTGCTGGAAAACTGAGCATTAATCCGTTGCGGCCAGCGGGTATTGCGTAGACCTGGATCAGAAAAAATGTTGAACAGTAAGGTGAATAGCAGTAAGCTGATCTGCATCGCAAGAAGACTGAATAGATGAATGAATGAATAAACAAATTAGCAAGTAAATCAATCAATCAATCAATCAATCAATGATAAATAAATACGGACAGTTCTCTTGGGCCCAAAAGAAACTCCTTTGTAATCAGTGTAGACGCATTTCTTGGTCCTTTTTTATGTTCGTATGAAGGAAATTTATATCCCTGCGGAAATCCACTCACGCGTTTTGTTCTCAGTTATTCTTTTCATACCTTCGCTTTCCACAGAATCTTTGTGTTTGCTGCGAACAAGGTTCAAACATTTTTGAATCCTTCCCGGAATCACTTGCCGGGCAAGCTCTTCAAAGTGTAGCTTCAGAATTAATCAGAGTATTGGGAGAGAAGTGACGTCATAATGACAGTGCAGCCGTCAACCAGAAGTCGATCACGATCAAATGGCACCTTACGGGCATGTGCAGTTCCATGCACTTTTTAAAAGGTTACTCCATGGTTACGAAACTCCCCCTTTTGTCGATTTATTTGCACATGGATTGAGATAAAAAAACAGCCAGGTGCGATAAGCGATCTATGCAACTTCCTAGTGGTGATCCCGTAGCAACCACCCTGCAACGGTTGAGAAACCATGCACTTGCTGTTTGCAGGGTAATAGCAACGAAGCTTCTCATTATGAAGCGTTGGAGTGGAACAAAAAGCAACCACTCAGACACCCGACGGCCAGGTTGACGAAATTTCCAAAAGGTGATATTGAGAGAATCTAAGAAAGGGTGTTTGTGTCTCAAATTACCGAAGCAGGATTGAATAAATCATATGAGAATCAAGTTTTATTAAAAGTGTTGTTCTGATATTGATTAACGACTCATGCGCACGTTTTCTTGCTATCAAATACCGTGTCAACGAAGGCTGAGCGCTTGCGGGTGTCCCTTGTTACTTCCATCATTACTGCTGAGCTGCTCAAACGTGACTAACATGTCAGGGGCACAGGAGACCAGCATTGCGCAAGAAACGAAAGAAATGTTAGATAATCCTGTGGAACTCATTCAAAGTATTCCAACATCATCTTACACAGCACGACCAGGTGTTCACATCAAACGAAGCCAACATGTTGCTGCACAGGTGGGCCAAGCTCACAAGCGAGAATCGCTGTTGCCGAATAAAGTTATACAGTCGAACCTGTATTAAGCGGCATTGCATTAAGCGGTCACTCTCTTGTAAGCGGTTAGTTTCCAAAGTCCCGAAAATTACTTCTTTTGATGTACTGTAATCTCGACCTCTGTTAAGTGGTCACGGTCACCAATTGCGAAGTCCCAAGGAGACTTTTTTTCCTATTGTCTTAACCTGTATTAAACGGTCACACACGAGCTTCAACAATTGATTTCCTTGTTTATTTTTGCAAATCATTAAAACGCCGGAAATGAATGTTTCTATTTAAGGTCAACCGTCTGATCTGATCATCACTGGAGATCTAATTCTTTGAAGTCCCTTTAAGCCCTAAGAGTGATCAGCATCAAATTTCTCCTTGTAATATCAATTCTTTGTAAAACAGAGTGGTCATGAGAATTACGGACATTATCACACAAGATGAATTTGTTTGATATTTTATCAACTCCTCCCAACTACTTCTGTGGGAAATGAATAGGGGGCAACAAATGAGAATTCAAATTTTGATCCTAGGGTTTAAAGGGTTATTACAGGTTCGACTGTATGCAAGGGTTTGTTGCCACATGTAAAGTAATCCGGATTCCGTCCTGGAGTCCGTGAATTTTCTTTCCTTTTGAAATCCTGAATCCTGGTCTTTGGAATCGGGAATTCAGCGCAAGGAATCATGAATCTCGCTAACGACTGGGATGCGGAATCCAGTACCGGGAATCCGGAATCCACAACTTAAAGTCCACAATCCAAGACTCTCTTGGATAACCTCGATTGAGGCGAAGTTTGTTTGGACATTTTAGCGTCATTTATATAGAGGTCAAACAGAGCCAAATTTTTGTACGTTGTGTCTTCTTGGCTAGGCTCTCTAAGGCTCGATTTGCGGCTGTTTTGGTTGCCTGCTTTCCTTCTGAGGAGAATGCAAACCGAACTCCCACAAACGGCTTGTAATCGAACCTAGTTGTCGATAATCCCTATTACAATTACGGTATATTTCAAGGTAACTATTATTACTCATAGGGTTACACAACCTGTGGTAGCATTCATCAATGTTTGTTGATTATAGACCGACTCCTTCAAACAAAGGCTTTTTTTAACCTGTATCCTGCGCACAGTAAAGCCAGGCTTGTCATTCTAAACCAGCGATATATGCTAGCTATCATTAACCCAATATTTGTCTGTTTTTGTGGAAACTTAATATAAGGGTCTTTAATCCTCTCTTTGATTTGACCTTCCGTGGTATTGTTTACATTTCCCTAATTTTTGACTAAATGGAAAATTTCATCCCAATTTAGATTTTACAGCTAACGCATAATTTTCACATTGCACAAGATACCACCAGGAGATAATTATAAGATTTGTGTGGAAATTCTATGCAGCTGCACAGAGGTGCAAGTGCCTAACGTGAAATCTCCACCAATCCACACCCCTTTATTTACCTCTACCCTTAAAAAAAGTGTACCTCTTCCCCCTGCGGTCACTGCCACGCCCTTTGTGTATCCCTCCTCAATCAGCTCGCTTTGCGTGTCAAGCTTGACGTGTCGATTGATGTGTCGATCAACTTTAGCTTTCAAAAACTGATCCCTACATTCCCAAACATGATGAGGTCAAGTTGACCTTAAGAGATATTTTTGATGCTCGTGCCTCATGAACAAGATGACTCGGCGCGCAATTTTTCTGATCGCCTCGTTCACACTCGTTGTCGAGCTCGGAAAAGCCCTCGACTGCTCCAGTAATTCCCAGGATGGAAACTACGAACCGTTTCCACGGGATGAAAGCGTTAGCCCACCGGAATTTCATACCCGCATGGAGATTAGCTTGAGCCATCGGAACGAAACCTACTTCGTGGACGAGCGATTCGACGCGAAGAAACAGAGAGGGGCGTTCACCCTGATTGCGTATCAGTACGATTGGGAGACATATTGGAACAAATTGGAGAATGAAATAGACAACCTATACACTTTGGATGACTGTTTGAGTTATAATTGGTGAGTTTAAATATTGAAAATTAATCTCTTATCTGTCCAAGTCAAAGTCAGATCAAAAATCAAATCCTTTATTTAGACACGTAACACCCAGGAGCACCAAAGTTCTCGTTAAAACGGGTACGTATGTGCAAATTAAAAAAAAAAATGTAAAAGTATACTAGTAACCTATACATTACTACTATTAAAATACTGACTACAAATACATCTACAAAATGGCTAAAAGCAGAATCTAAAAGTACAACTGTTTACAGAATTTACAAGCCCTACACTTTAAGCTTTTTAAGCTTTAATAGATCGCTTAAAAGACGCAATGTCTTGTGATTCTCTGACTCCACAAACGTAAGAAAAGTGCGGTGCTATGGAATTAAGCGCGATTCCAAGTATGGCCTTCGAAACTTTAGCTACCAAAATGACTTACATGTAAGCTACCAAACTAATTTCGTTTTGATTAGCTGGTATGTCAGGGGAACATGTAGCTACACCCTGCCATACCCGACCCCATCTCCAAGTTCTTCATTGATACGCTTATATTGGGTGCACATTTGAGCGATTCTAAAGCAACTTTATACCTCAGTCGGAGAGTGTGGATGGATTGTTTTGGAAATAAATACACAAACATACTATCGAACAAATAAAAAAACAGAAAACGATTGTCAAGCAAGTATTGACTGATGGGCTCTCAGTAAGAGATAATGAAGTGGTTTCATTTGAACTGTCACGCCGTAGTATTTCATCCACCAATCTTAAAGTCGTTACTACTCCTTTACTGACAGTCGTAATATGCCATAAACATTTCATAAATTCTTCACTGTGCATCATCTGGACCGAAGTGTTAGAGATCACAGTAGTTGTCGTGTTACTGATAATTGTTGTTCTATAATGAGGTCAGCCAGATTAGGTTGATCCATCTGTTATGCTTGTTTGTCAAAAGGTTAGCACTTTAGATCGTTTGTTAGATTACAGGCAACCCAAGGTTGAGATATGAACACCGGCACTATTGCATAACGTTTGCATATCTCACGTAAGGCAGCAGTTGTAAGCGTAAGCAAATGCTCAAGAGTCTTAACTTGTTTTTAAACGGGTTTTACTTGTGCAAAGTTTATTTATTCTTCCAAGGCGCTCGACGGCGGCTCGATCAAAGAAGCAAACGGCTGGTCGCAGTGGTTTTTCTCCTTTCTTAGCGTAGTCTCCAGCCTGGGGGAAACCCGGCCACTGCTCGCAGGATACGTAAATCACGAAGCTTTAGAGCTTGGGTGGCCTGTGGTTAGAGTGAATGGATGGCTGGGGTTTATCAATTACTAACCAACAAAGAAAATATTTTTGTATTTTCCCTCGGAATCTGCTGCAGTCATTACCTCAAGCAACTAGATTCACGATGTTCATTTCCCACGAGTGCAGCACGTGTTCAATGTTGTGAAAGCTGCCATTATTGCGATCAATGTACACTTATTAATCCTCTTTGTTGTCAGTCACGTTTTAAGGAGGTTAAAACCCCGGGGGGGGTACTTTAGAAATTTCTGGGTGGGGATGTGCCGCTGGTACCCTGGAACCCTTAACCTATACCAGAGCTAGTTCAGCTGAATTTTGCCACCCTATACTAGAGTAAACTCCCCAAATCCCCCCTATCCTAGAGTAGCTGTTTTCCATAAACTACTGAGGTCACTAGCATAGTCTAGCCAAAACAAGCTGAGTTGTGTAAATTTCAAATTTCAAATTTGATTTTTTTATATGTTTGAGTGGCAATTCCCCGTTTCCCTACTCCAGATAAAATCTTCAACCAACTGATCAGTTTCCTGAAAAATGATACCCTATTCTAGACCCAAACACTCTGATTTATATACCCTATCCCAGAGTAAACTGCTTGAAAACCATACCCTTCACAGCGGCACATACCTATATAGCCCATATATGGCAGTGCCCCCCCCGGGGTTAAAACTGGGTTTCGCGACCCGGAAGAATTGTCCCATTCCCCCGAACAGAGCTTTCCTTTCAGATACAAATATTGTGTGAACATCTTTCCCGGACCAAATTTTGTGTCCCCGGAATGGAGGTGTCCCTTAAATAGATGTGTCCCAAAGAAGAGGTTCCACTGTGGTACGCGTACGATTGCCAAGACTGTTAGTCTCCTTCGCAGCCGTTATTAGGGTCGTCACTCGTCACGCAACGCTCCTCCCCACTAACTCCCCACTTAGTGGAGAGGAGCGTTGCGTGACGAGACCCTAATAACGGCTGCGAAGGAGACTACAAGACTGTAGGATTCTGAAAACACCTTTCCTTGCTTAACGTCAGGTTAACGGTTAAGTTTAAATACAGTCGAACCTCCACCAAAGACCACCTCTCTACAATGGCCACTTTCTTCTCAGGGGCACCCAACGAGAACATGGCTCAAAACTATTTAAAAATAGCATTGTTAAACGTATTTTATAGTATTTAAATGGTAGATATAGGCATCTTTTTACCCCCTAAAATCTGTTCGGATTTCCTAGCTGAAAATCTAGTTATCCGAAAATTATAGGGATCAAAACTTACCTTTTCGAAAATTTCAGCCAGTAAAAAGGCTCCGAAAATTCTAGGTGACCATTTTAGGGTAAAAATCCGTTAAAAATGGGCAATTATACCATTTTTTAGATGTTCGAAAATCCTAGGAGAGGCAGGCAAGCAAGAAATTTGACAACAAATGTTCCGGAAATTCTAGATCTCAAATCGTCTTCCGAACAGATATTTTCCGAAAATTGACGTTGGGTGCCCCTGTTTCTTCTGTCCTCAAGGTGGTCTCTGGGGAGAGGTTAAACTGTTTAATTTTCCTTCGTTAGGACGCAGCAGGGCTTTGAAAGATACAGGTGTCGTTTTCCTCCTAACGAGAGCTCTTTGAAGCTGATCGGCGATGCTTGCAGCGCAACTGTAGTGTTGGACCTTGTTTACAAAAACGAAACAAAAAACGCCAGGTATTTAGGAAAGAAAATTGTGCGAAACATCCCCGTCAAAGGATGGAGAATATGTAAGAAGGAAACTGCTATGGATTACTGGTAAGTTCTCCACTATTTCTTTCTACTTTGTTACAACATGCAACACTAGCCTAAGCAAAAAACATTATGACTGCGAGTAAAACTCTTCATCCCTTAGACAAGTAGATGCGTGAATCTGAAATACAACTTTCTGGGATGGGTCACGTGTCAGGAGATTTCGAATTCGCGGACTCATTGGTAGTCTTTACACTAGAGCCTAAATAAGCTAAGAAATATTTCAAGACCAGTAAATTTTGATCACTTCAAGTAAAATAAAGCTTCACACACAACCGATTCTTGTTTACTTCAGGTTAACCTACGGCCATTTTCCCATGCAACATAATTAAGATTGATTGACATGTTTTGCCTTTCTCAAAGTTCAAGAAACCGGAAGTAACCGCAAGTCAGCTAAGTCGGTCATAAGGATGGTTTTCAAGTCGCTTGGAACTTTCTTGAATCGTTTCCGACTTTCCGACTTTAATGAGATGCAAAGTAAAGTTACTTGAGATTTTACTTAGGCCTTCACACACTAATTTTTGGCTAAGTATACGTAAAACTTAGCAGCTCTTAAGTCTTACTTAACAGCCTAGTGTAAAGACAACCGTTATTTTTTCAATCAATAAACAAATTAAAAAGATCAAATCCAATGAAATTCAAAAATCTAGATTTCGGAATCCGTGACATTTTTGCTTGTGGAATCCGGATTCTTGGGCTTTGGAATCCAGAATACAACGCGAGGAATCCGGAATCCAAGTCTCACCGACAAAGGTTAAAATTCCACGGCTTGGAATCCAGAATTCAACACTCTTTTTGGATTCTCTTAAATCGGGTAGTTTTTTTATATAATTCAATTTCTGTTTTCCCTTTGTTACCTTTGTTACCTTTATTTCTGTTTTACCATACACATAAACAAATTAAAAATAAAAATTAACTGAAATAAAAAATTAACTACAACATACTCACTCTCTGGACACGCGACCAAACCGGGATTTTTTCTTTTTTTCTTGTCTTTACTTGTTCATTCGCATAGTTATTTAATTTTTTTTCCACTGTGGATACTAGCCATTAAGTGCATATTGTTCTCATGCATTCTTCAGGTTCTCTGTTCGAGGGTGGGTGCACACATGTGGAGACACCCCGGTCCCGATCGTAATCGAAGCGCGGCCACAAGACGCAGCAGGACTGACCGGGGGGATCATTCATTCTTATACGTTCCTCGACTTTTACTACGATGAACCTGAATTTAAAGTTCCTAGGGAAATCTTTTGTTTGGGAGCAGCTCACCCCCCTCCTTTACCAAAGCTCCCAAGGAGATTTGACATCAACCTGGAATATATTGATTCTGAAGCTGATCGTATTTGGGCGGTGCGGGTAAGTCTTTGGGGTGAAGCCAGGTAATTGAACCAGGACTGTCTGAGGACTATCAAAACTTAAAACAAAACTGAATGCAATGCTGGCAATACGGCAAAGGGCTGATTTGTTTGAGGCCAATATTTAAGGTAACATTATTTCGGCTATTTCGTATTGGCAGCCTTACAGTCAGTTTTGTTTTGATTCCCACTTCAAATGACGTCTTGCTACAGCATCTCTACATTAGAGATCCGGCAAGAAAGAACCAGTCGGTTTTATTTACGCGCAGAGTGGACCTCTGCATTCATGGGTTGTTATTAAAACTTAGTTGCATATAGCAGCAGTGATACCCATCAAAATAGCAGATATTCCAGAAAAAATCGCCCGTCATCGTGTGAGAGATTTCTCCGACAATTGTATATTATTTGGACTCCATAAATGTGCAGAGAAACATCAAGTCATGTTTCAGTTTAGTGTCCGTATCGCGTTGAGGCTTTAAGCTAACCTGTTCAAGAGTTACAGCCAGTGACGATCGCCGCTTTAAATCCAAACAGTCACTAGTTACGTCGTTGCTTTCACCACAGGTCACCCAGGTTCTGTGGGAGTTCGTGAGACTTTGAATTTATAAGAGAATGTATGAAAATAAACAAAATGCGTCGTAAATTCCATTTTTGTTAAAAATAGGAATAAAAATGACTCACCTTTTGGTTTGGTTTTGTTATTTACTGTGTCTTTGCTTCTAGAGCCGTTTGAAAGCCGTTTTATCGACTTTTAAGATTTTGAGTTGTAATGTCAGTCACGTCGATAAAACGGTTTCCAAATGGCTCTAGAAGCAAAGACACGGTAATACGTAAATACGGACGTATTTTGTTTATTTTCATACATTCTCTTATAAATTCAAAGTCTAACGAACTCCCACAGGGTCTGGGCCGCCTGTGCTTTAACCAAGGGTTGTTATGAGATGTCGCTTGTCCATGACATGTTAAGTAAGAAACGAACGTGGATTCAGCGAACATGAACCTTATTTATCCTTACAGGAATACTATGATCTTGACAAGCAGCTGTATAGAAAGGACTCGGAGTATCATCCCAAAGGATCTAGCTTGACTGGCATGGGATCGTACATAAGAAACAAAAATACAAAGGAAAGCATTTACTACAACAGAAAAACAGGTAAGAGAGAAATAGTTATAGCAAGTCGTTAACGCTAGCTTGACTGGCACCATCATCATCATCACCTGTGAACTGGACACTTATATTACTAGTTTATTACAGGTGGAAAAATAACCGAATGAGTTGCTAGCTCAATATTTTTCATCATCATCATCACTGTCATCATCATCATCATCATCATCATCATCATCACTTCTCGAACGTTCTGTTAATACAGTTTTCTTTCCATGAGGTTTTCATGGTATTATTTCGATTGCTATTTCACCGTGATCACCACCAACATCATCTCAACATTAGCACCACCACTTTTATGGGTGTTGCAGTAGTGTACTGTCGACATATCAAGCATAATCAGATTGAAAGTAGTCCCTCCAGGGAGTCTGAGTCAAGATAGGTCGATTTATGATGATACATAGTTTAATTTTGCTTACTGAATTGATGAATTTAGTTTTTGCTGTTTGTTGATTTGTTGATGTCTGACCTGACGAAGAAATTTCTTTCAATTTCAGGCCGTTGTCAAAAGCAGAAATTACAAAACCCATATCCTGTACTGAAAGGAAGTCACCGCTACATGGTCTACGCACCCTTCGGTAAATTAGCGCTGTTCGAAGATCCTGACGCAAAGCCTTTATATCAGGGCAGGGCTGCCACTAGAGGAATCAATTGCGATGTCTGGGTACAGAGACGAATGAACTGGCCTTCTGACAATGTGACAGAAATGATATGGAGGTGGTATTTCACCCAAGCGGATTGGCGAGCAAATTACGAAACACAGCCGGTAAGCTAATTGTGACTCAGGTACTTTCACCCTGTCGCCCAGGGCTCCAGTATCCGGGAAATTTTTTGCTGGTGGAATCTGGAAGCCTGGGCTTTGGAATCCGGAATCCCTGGATATTCTTGAACTCTCGCTCACAGAGGAGAATGTATAAATTAGAGGCAGCTCTTTGAGGGAGATCTGTGATGGGTTGAAGACCTTATGCGTATGTCGAGGCTTTTCGCCTTTGGTAAGAGGACCAAGGAATGCTTTATCAGTAACATACTCGTTTCTAAGATGGGGTAACAAGATCCATAAGGATGGGTCATTTTTCGATCCTTGCTTCTCAAACTCATAATTCACGAAGAAAATACAAACGAAATTAATGTTTAATGAGTGTTTGGAAATCAGATGAAAAACTGCTCATTTTTGCATCCTTAATTTCTCCTTCCAAAATCATTTTGTTTGAGAAGTAATATTAAGCATCCGACACCGTGTTTCATAACCAGATGGAACACGTCGAAGTTCGTCAAAAATACTCCGCTGCGCGTCGTATTTTCAACTCTCTTCTCGGTGTTTCATCTGGTGATGAAACACTCATGCTTAATAAATTACTTGAGCATCTTTCCGAAAAGCAAGCTGAGTACCTTTCAGTTCTCATTTTAGTGCTCGCGATCAAGAGAGGCTAATGGAACCATTATTCTCTCATGTAGGACTATATTCAAAGCTTCCTGACTTTAATTCGATTTCAGGTGCCAGTAAAACTAGAGATTCGAGGCAATATCACCATAAACGCCACTGCGCATGTTGAAATGGAAACGGACATAAACCTCTACTCCTTCGAAAGTCGTTACCCAGTCGTAAGAGCTTTTGACGTCTCATCCCTTTGCTCCCAGGAGCCTTCGGCAGCACCGAAAAAGAGCGGGTTATCTTCGGGCGCCGTCGCTGGAGTATCGATTGCATGTGTTTTGTTGGGTTTGTTGTCGGGAGCTGTGATTGTTTACTTTGTATTCAAGAAAGTGGTGTTAGCGAGAATGGGACCTATACCCAAGCAATTTAAGTAGAAATGAAAGTGATCAAGATAAATTTGGGAGCAAAACGTTTGTCTTCGTTTAGTGCATTCATATAATCTACTTACAGGTCATGAATAGCTAAACCTTTCTTTCTGATAATACATGTTGAATCTAACTGCGTCAAATATTTTTTAATGAAATGAATAATTTTGTTTTTCCCACTCTTTACACGCTATTATTTTTTTAGAACCTTTATTTGTATAAGAACGTTGAGGCTGAGAATAAACTTATACTAGACTACGAGTAGTCCCTATTTTTCGTTAGGGATAGTTAAGCGAGCGAAACGCGAGCGCGTGTGAAAATCACTCCACACGAGAAAGCCGAGACGCATTTCTCGCGTGGGGTGATTTTCATTCGCGCTCGCGTCTCGCTTACTCTACTATCCCTAAGGAAAAATGGGGACTAGTTGAAGTCTAAACTTACACTCAAGACCATCTTAGAACATGTGTGAGTTTCAGCAGTCACCAACATTCATATATTGGCGGTGCGTCCGTGGAGTCGTCGTGAAACGCAAGAATTTGCTTTTTATCAACCGAGTTGATACAGTCTATTCACCACTTAGTAGCTTCGTTGTAACAAGCGACTAGCGTTCAAAACATCAGCGTAGCAATCTGAGTGATTAAAGCGATGCGATCAAAACTTCCAGCATTACAGACTGGTCTTACAAAAGCAATCTTTTCTCGAAGGAGCATATGGCAGGTTGTTACGTTAGCACAAGCGACTCGTTTCAAAAGCAGTAACCAAAAGCTAAGTATAATCAAAACCAACAGTTCCAGTTCTTCTAATGTTATATAGGTTGAAAAGGTAGAAATGTGTTTGTCAGCATCATCATTTTTGTGTCTATCAAACCTTACCAAGGTTTTTTACTTCGCTGCCCCGTGCAGTTGCACTATCACGGAAAAGCACATAGTCTTTAGTGCGGGTACGGTAATAAACTTTCGTAAGATGATGCAACTATTAATTTTCTTATCTTAAGGTAGTAATCTTCAGTGCGAGGAGTATCATGGCCGTTCTTGCAACTAACTTATCTAATTTATGTATTCTTGCAAAAATTCATTCTTACCTCCAAAGTTTAATAACAATTTCTCTCAAAGCAATCAATTCCACTCTTACAATACAAGAAATTCCCAGGCCTATCGTCTACCGTATTGTCGTACAAACACGAAGAAGTTCTCGCCCTTTTTTCAAGGGCCTAAGTTTTTTAATTCACTTGACAACAAGATCATCAACTCTCAATCCCTCTCCTCTTTTAAGAAAAAACTGAAGATTAAATTATTGAGTAAGTATGAAAACAGTTTATAAATCTTTCCATCTTCGACTTTTCGCCTTCTTCTCTTCAATTGATGTGAAACAGCTCTAGCTCATAGTTCGAGGAGGCCTAACCTCTCATAAGCTCCTATAGTTTCTGTTAGGTCTCCTCGCCACTTCTTTTTTTTTTTTCTTCTTCTTCTTTTCCTATATTTTTTGTAATTAGTGTGGCAAATAAAATAAATAAAATAAATAAATAATAAAATAACTTGGTCTTGTCATTTTCTTTTTTTTCGTCTTCTTACTTACTGTAAGTGACATACTGGTGTTCGTGAAAAGTTCATGAATTTCTTGACCTCGTTTGTTGCTTTTCCAAGACCTCTGGCCATCAATCTTCTTTTTCTGTATTCGCCCGTAGATCTCTTCCTTGTGCTCTTCCCGGACGCCAATAAACCCAGTATACTCCGTTTTCCTCCGGTAAACCCACTGAACGGGCGCGCCTTCTTTGAACGGGATTAAGGATTCTAATTTTTGCCAACATGTCCCTCGCCTCGTTCGTGTTATTTACTGTGGATAACAAACTTTCCTGACTTTCTACTGTAACTCCTTTGTTAAGACGAGAATTGCTCGCACCGCAACCCATGACAAAAGTTAAAAAACCAGGATGTCTTCTATCTGTTTGTTCTGTTTTTTTGGGCGTTTTAATGAAGCCTAACGGATTTTTGTTGTCCCCTCCTAGCAACTGAGAAAATATTTGTGTTCGTTGCCTCAACAAACCACTTTTTCATGATCTGTTTAAAAGGTCTTACTCGAAATTAGGTTGTATTAGTAAACCACTCCATAAAAAGATCTTTTAACCATCCTCAAAACCAATCGGCAAACTTTTAGTTCCAGATAAATTAAAGTTGCATTGCCAAGACCTCTCCTTCTCTGCTTTTCTTTCATAAAATACTCTTTCGATTCTAAAATTCACATAACAATCATGATCTGCGCAAGCGCATCCGGTTACCTTGACAACCTCTAATAACCCAAGTGCGGGCATACATGTTAATAGCAACAAAGGGTTTGTTTTTGATTTGGTTGCTACAACAAAACCACACCTTTATCACCTCAAGTTAAAAGGATTATGTAACCTTATTCTTACTTATTTTCAAGAAATAAATTTCGATCAAAATTCACGAAAGCTAATTTTTGCCATTCCAGAAAAAGAGTGAAAAAGTACTTTTTTGGCGAATTTGCGAGTGTGTTAATCTGGAAGATCTTAATAGGGACTATTTTGCAAGAAGGGAATGCCTAAAAATTAATTAAACAAAAATAAAGAGCTCCAGTTCTGAAGGATACGAAAGCTCTAAGAAATTGCAAAGAAGGGAGGCTGAAACGCTAAGAAACTCACCATCACCGCGTACAAAAACGGAAACTTAAACTGCAATACAGGACATCGACTGCACAGGGAAACCAACCTTAGGCAAATTGGAAAAACACTTTTTGGGGTAGAAAGAGAGTGCAGCAGGTATGAAATATGAGGAAGTGAGGAAAAGACTAACCATGGCAAGTTTTAGTGTTTTTCTTTCAAACTAAATGTTGACCGATATTGAACCTTGATGTTAATATCTTGGAAAATAGAAAAAAAAGGCCGGAGAGAAAACTGAGGGTCTATGTCAACAAATGACACCATGTTCTGCTGTGAATTGTAATACCTGTCGTAAATTATAATAGCAATCGTCGTAAATTGTAATAACAGTTGTCGAGAATTATAATAACCAAGCTAGCCAAGACTTAGCCTCCCACGCAGGCGTTTCTAGGGGAGCTCCTAATACGAGCTCCCCTAAAAACGCCTGCGTGGGAGGCTAGCCAAGACTTTGGTTGGAATTAATTCGATGGACTGAACTATTAGAGCTATTAAGTGCAAAGACGTGTAAGAGTTTTTGTGTAAAACAAAGCGTTCGTTCGTCTTGTGTATCATTTGGGTATTTCGCGCGACGCAATAATCAGCTGTAGTGAGTTTAATTCGGATTGTTCGAGAAGGTAAAAACGACGCTGATTTATTCATCGGAAAAAGATGCATCTAGTTAGTGAAATTTATTACTTAACTCGCAACCTCGTCCCCAGGTTCTTCTCGCTTTCCAATATGGCGCCATATTGGAAAGCGGGAAGACCCTGGGGACGAGGTTGCTGAACTCGTACCTCAAAAGGTCAACAAAAAGAAGTAAACGGCTAGCATAGAGTTGAAATCGTATGGGAGGAAGAAACTCTTGCCACCCTGTCACGGTTGTGTGGCTGGGCCATTTCCGTGTTTCCCCGAGCCTCTGTTTCCAAGCAAGGCTAAGTGCAAAGCAAATGATATGAAAATGTTTTTTTAGTCTGACGAAGATGAAACTCATTATCACAAAAAGGTTTTGTTCTTAGCCTCGTTTTGAAAGTTACGGTTTTTGGAATTTGCGCTAAGTGGCCTATTCAGAAGCAATCAGGGGGGGGGGAAGCCATATATGGGCTATATAGGTATGTGCCGCTGTGAAGGATATGGTTTTCAAGCAGTTTACTCTGGGATAGGGTATATAAATCATATAAATCAGGGTATCATTTTCCATTTAAACTGATCAACTGGCTGAAGATTCTAGTCTAGACTAGGGAAACCGGGAATTGCCACTCAAGAATATGAAAAAATCAAATAGGTTGTGTTTTGGCTGGACTGTGCTAGTGACCTCAGTTGTTTCTGGAAAACAGCTACTATAGGATATAGGGGGGGGGGGGATTTGGGGAGTTTAGTCTAGTATAGGGTAGCAAAATTCAGTTGAACTAGCTCTGCTATAGGCTAAGCCGTTCCAGAGTCCCAGCGGCACATCCCCACCCAAAAAGTCCTAAAGACCCCCCCCCGGAAGCAATGAGCTCGTCATGAGCTGTACTGTGGGATTTCTGTCCAGCCTCATTTCGTTATGTATGAGAGAAAACGTAACTATCTTAAGTATCTTAGTATTTTTGGTGAATAATTGTTCATTTTCCAGACTTATTACAAAATACGACAATAGAGCCATTTATACGAGGAAAGATAAGACGCGTCTTAAATAAGACGCGAACTGTGCCATTTATACGAGCATGTCTTATCTAAGACGAGAACAGCTCGTATAAATGGTTCGCGTCTTATTTCTGTTCTTGACTCGTTTTCATGTGAATGTTGCCCGTAACAACGGCAATCCAACGTGGCGCGCCAAAAATCAACGCATGCGTACTATGCGTTCGCGTCTTATGTAAGACGCGAAGGTTCAGTTTATACGAAGTTGTTCTCGTCTTAGCTAAGACGCGTCTTATCTAAGAACAGGTGTTAAGGGCTGTTCTAAAATAAGACGCGTCTTAGCTAAGCCGCGTCTTATCTTCGACGAAATGTGCCGTTTATACGGTAAGTTCGAGTCTTATTTAAGACGCGTCCTATGTAAGACGCATCTTATTTTTCCTCGTATAAATGGCCCTAATGTGTTATTACAATTCACGACAGCTCGGCTTATTACAATTTACGACAATGTGTCATTGTAATTTACGATAGCTTGGTTATTACAATTCTCGACAACTGTTATTACAATTTACAACAGATACAGTATTACAATTTACGACTACTGTTATTACAATTTAGGACAGGTTTTACAATTCACGACAGAACACGGTGTCACTTCTTGACATACATCCTCAGTGTTGACATACACAGCAGTGTATTTGAATTATAGGGAAACTCATAGTATTGCGGTACGGTGGGATATGTAGATATCTCCCCAAGAGGGCCAATCGCCAAAAACCTAAACTGTATAGTTAGAACAAACAGCTTTCCTTAAATGAAAGTTACAAACAATAACAATAACAATAATTTCTTTAACCAGGTTATCGTACGCTCGCTCAAAACACGAACGTGCAAATGAACAGCTGCATGCCTAATAGTTTCGTTTGCGTTTTTCACTTTGTTCTATTTTATTTTATATTTATGCTATTCTATTTTTATTGATTACTTTTTTAAGAGAAACTCGATTTTTGATTTCAAAAATTTTTTAGCAAATAAGTCATCACCGAGATCTTCATACCAGGAAAAGATGACACGATACAGCATACGATGTCACCATCTATAGCACAAGTAAGAAACCACGCCCCGATGGTGACCTTTTGCGCTTTAGCATACAGGTCACTTTCATATGGGTTATTCCCCCCGGGTTTGACCTACAAACGGCAGCAAAGCTTCATTAATGTATTCTTTACAGCAAATCTCACTTCTCTAATCTTCCAGACATAAAGCAGAGGGTTAAGAGACGAATTTAAGTACACAAGTGTTACCGTAGATCTGGCAAGGATCTTTGTTTGTTTCCATACACTGGTCTGCACCATAATAACGGAAAATATGTATGGAAAATAACATGAAATTATTACCAGTTGAATCCAACCTATGCAAGAAACTGTCTTCTTGTACCCTATGATGTTCAGACGCGTTTCTCCTCCTTTCTGTTGCTCCTGGCGATTTCGACCTTCTACTTGAGCTTGATGCCTTCGTAATTTTAAGAAAATCTTGGTATAGCAAAAGACAGAAACAACTGTGGACAGTATCACGAAGGCTATTCCAACTGTTTCTGCGATACTGTACCTAACAAAAACGTGCAGAAATAAACTGAAGATTGAAGTCACCCAAAACGATGCTATTACCGCTCGAACTCGCCTCAAAGAGACAACGACTCTGTGTCTGATTCCCAGCGACAAAGCTAACAGTCTGTCCACGCTTATGGCGGTAGATGTAAACATGGATACCCCACACAAAACGAAACTCGAAATATTATTCACAGTGATGGCTATGTCTCGAATGCTGCATGTTGTCTTGGTCATCTTTGTCACATCGTCCAGCATAATATAGACGGCGTAAAGTGGCTGCGCAAAGAGACCAACACAAAGATCTGTAAAGGCCAAGCATTTAAATAACGCTTTTGATGGTGGGTAAATAGAAGATACTTTACGAAGAGATACGAGGATCAAAGTATTTCCCAGAGTTGCGGTGAGAGACAGAATTATGTTGAGGGTTGACAAAACAGCGTACGCAACCACTTCTGAAGATGGCTTCTCCGTTTCTGGCTCCTCAGAACAGTTGCTCATTTTTTTCTCGTTTTTCCACCGCCTTCACTGAGAGACTTCACTAACGTAAGCGGAACTTGTAAACTGATTAACAAGGCTGGCAAGTTAGATTTAGGACTCGATCATATCACCTGTCGTTAGCCACGGGTGATTGTGCTTTAGTTATTGAACTAATTAGTGCTTTTCTGTAAATTCAAAAAAGGAAAATGAATAAAGAACTGACATTTTACAAAAATTCACAAGCTGTGTTAAATTTTTTTAGGAGGCTTAATGCCTCTTTTATCTTGACAGAAAAACTATTCTTTTTCTCAAAACATTTACCCTTTCCTGTGGCCACGGGTGAATTTACGTTTGGCGTAAAGTGTGAAGGGCCTTTGTCAAACATCGTGCCACTTGCGTGCCGAGCAGAATTCATACATTTGCATACCTTGTTAGAATATACTTTGACGACAGCTGCTATATTCGACTGATTTAAAGAATAAACTTTTTCAATCAGGTAGAGCTATATACAGTTGTGATAGAATCGCGCTCAGTAGACGAGTGCGATATGAGATAGAAGATAGCCAACGAGGCACGTAGCGCCGAGTTAGCTATAATCATCTCATATCCAACAAGCACGAGTGGAATAATTGTTTTATTAAAAACGGCCACAAAATGTCGAGAATTCTTCCCAACTTTATTTGGAAAAACAACCGATTTTCAGCTTGTTTTCAATTTTGAGCAGACGCGTATAGTTACCATATTTGGAGAGCATGGTATAATGGCTCATATACCATGATGGCTAAGCAAATCAGAGCTCTAGAATTGCATTATCCAATGATTCAGTTTTTAACAACACTCACTAGGCACTAACATTATGTTCGCCACCTGCTTAAAAAAAGAAAAACATATCTTTTCACACAAAAACTCTCCCAGTTATTCTTCTAATAACAATAAAATTAACACTTGGGCTGAGATGACAAGCCAATAAAATATGTAAATATGTATTCTATAAAACATTTTTTTCATACATGGCAAATTAGGGTATGAAACAAATTTTATTCGATTCAGTTAACGTCATTCATTTTTATATCAGTCTCTTTGAAAGTCACATTTTCTTTGACAATTAGTCTTTGATTTTTACTATATTCTTGGTCAATAGTCAAAGAGTTGCGGAGGAGTGCGAGTAGCCTAACTGTTTTAGCAGAAACGAACTACTATATATACTCCACTACGATTCTAGAAAAAAGGTTTGATGATAATATATATATGTAAAAGGTTTGTTTACAGTCTAACCTCTCCTTACGGACGCCTCTCTATTACAGACAGTTGGTATAGTCCCAGAAATGCCAAAAATCATACATTCCCTACCTTTATAATACAGACACCAATGTAAAGCGGACACTTGGTTCTGTCCCTTTGGTGTCTGTAGGGGCCGTGTCAAGGCAGTCCACTTCATTTTGTTTAGTTTTGCCAATTACTGGCCCTCAATCGCTATGGAACTTAAAGTAAGCAAAGAAATTACAGGTAAATGACAAAATCAGAGATCCGAGACAAACAAATATGTCTCCTGAGCATTATTTTTGAAGTTGCAAGCAGCAGGGATCAACTTTGAAAAACTTTTGGGCTGAACAGTTTTCAAAAACCCTAATTTCAATCCGTCTCAGTCTTCTTCAGTTTTGCCCATCTGTAGCATCTGTTGTTTCTGTTATGTTATTTTAACCTTCCTTAAAAGTTTTAAGCGGTTATTTTTATGTTTCTCTAAATGTAACGGGCATTTTGTAATTTCCTAATTTGACTGAATTTCGTGACACAGCTCCTTTAAAGAGGTTTGACTGTACACAACTAGAATATCACGAACACGTCTCGAAACTTCGTTTGTTTGTCACAAAGAAACAATGACATTTGTCCTTAGTAAACCCTGGATAAAAAAAATGCTCATTCCCCATCAACATGTAGCCGCTTAAGTACGTTTACTTTATCTATTTCTTCCTCAGAAGCATCGCACATATAACGATTTCTCGAAGAAATTGATTGTCGTTACTCTGTTTTTGTTCAAAACGCTGGTTTCCTACTCACTGTCTCTCACGCAGTAGATACTGTTAGCCAATAAGAGCGTAGAATTCGTTATTGCATTCCATTTGAATAAATGAATGAATAATGGTTTTCAGTCAGAAGTGTTAATTCGAATTAATTTGTTCTACAAAGGAAGAATATTTAAAAGCATAAGGACCGTGGCGGCGAAAGCAGCAAAAATGCCATTTATAAAGAAACATTTTTTTTTCGGGATCTTTCAAACTTAATCTCTATAATTTATTCCAAGTTGCTCTTAAATTTGTCTAAGGTGGGCAATTTTCTCGGAGTTAAATTCTTCTTTTCCCAAATTTCTCTATAAAACGTCACATCCGAGGAAGTTCCCCGCCCGAGTCGCGCGGTAGCTAACGTCGCCCAGAGTCCGCGTTACCCTTGTCCAGCGAAACGTTCTGCAGACTCTGGGAACGAGATTGCGCAGTAGCGGTAAAGATATGCATCGAAAATTGGGGCGTGCGTACATGGAGAGTTGTTCGAACCTGGTAGGAAATTTTAAGATCACCTGAACTAGAATACAAAAAAATGAAAGAAATAAATTTTAAACATTAAAAGCTGATCCAAAATAAGAATGAGAAAAGTTCTAAAGCAAAGATGGGAATGATTTATCTTACAACTTTTGCAAGGGAAAATTTCCCAAGTCTGCTGTTTTATGTCAAAATCTAAATTGAAAAGACAGCATCAAAGTCCGTATTCTGGTTATAATGAAAGCCCATAAGCCGGCAAGGCCGGAAAAAACCCTCGCTCACTAGACATAGTTCTATTAATCGAGGTGCTGAGTACTCTGAGTGCATGGGGAGCTGTGAGATGTAAATGTACTGTGGAAGTACGCTGTCATGCTGCTAGTACCAGATTGCAGGCTCATATGCCGGTAGTCGGCAAATAAGCTCTTGTCTCTTAACACAATAAAAACCCGTGAGTTAGTACCTACATTTTCCCAAGGCCGGTTGCCTAAATAAGTTCTTACATAAATGATAATTCAAATAAATTTAAGCTATTGCGGTTTTTAAATAGCTTCAAAGTTTCTGAAGGAAATACAAGATATTGTAGCCAAGAGTATTTGGTCGTATTTAGCTTATTCCTTATATAAAATTTGCATACCATTACATAATTTGCAGTTGGTATGTCACCAAAGAGGATCCTGGATGTAGATTTATTTTATTTGCCCAAGAGCATAGGATTTATTTAATTATATATTTTACAAAATACGAACCTCAGCGTTTCCAATTCAGTTTAGGCTAAACACTTTTGAAGAGAAGAATAAAACCGGCGACTAAGAAACTGCATTTTCCTGTGTTAGCCTAAATAGGTTCTTACATAAATGGTAATTAACACAAATTTGGATATTTACGTTCTAAAATAGTTTCTTATTTTCTGAAGAAAAAATGCATTGTAGCTAAGAGTATTTGGTGGTATATTCAGCTTATTCCTCAAACAAAAATCTTAATACCTATTACATTGCAGTTGGAGTGAGACACAAATGCCTCCAAAGAGGATCCTGAATATTGGCTTATCTTATAATTGCCCCAGGGTACTGAATTTTTTTTTGCATATTTTAGAAAATGAGAACGTGTTTCAAATTCTAGGCTCAACAGGTTCTTGTATAGAGGGGGCCTAATTGGCAAATTTTAGCCTAACGGGTTCTTAAAAACCAGGTTCTTAATCGCGGGGTTTACTGTACGTTTGGTTTTTAAAACAATTCATGAATATAGCTGTCGTATCAGTATTTAACCCTTGTGGATAGTTAATTCCATCCAAAAAGAAAATGGGGGACTCAGTCCTGAGCTCCTACAACGGCTTAATAAAGATGTCTGATTTGACCGTGAATTCTTGATCATGAGAGAGTAGCGACCTTGAGCAACGAAGGAGAATCTTCCGTGGCGAGGAATTAGAGTCGAAGCAGTAAGCCAAGACGGAAGACACTTAAAAACTTCCTGTTTCTGCTGTGTTTACGTCAGGACAATTATGTTCTCTTTATTAGGGTGTTTAGTTTGAGCGGCTTAAGGTCTCACAAAAGATTTTCCATCCAGAATTTGCAAAAATGAACATAGGTTTACTGTGGAAATATTGCAGGGCCTAGCTGATGACATGAAGAGAACATACTTTAGTCGTTTTGTTTCCTAGCTTAAGATGTGTTTTCAAGAAACGCAATATAGAGGTATGAAATTATTTTATTTAATAATTAAATAAGCTAATAATATTGGCGCAAGAATTACACGAGTTGTGTTTTATGTATATATACTTCAGAAGAGGAAAAGTACAAGTAATACGTATTACGTCCTTACGTATTTATTTACCTGACAAGCCACGAAATAATAATAGCAATTATTATATTTATTTTAGGAAAGGTCTTCCGTGACCACTCTGAGATCGAGGCCAAGAATTACATTGATCTTGCTACTATAAAGCCTTTCAAGTCTGCCAAAAATTATTTATACACGCGTAATATGCCAACACATTTTACAGAATGCAATTTTTGGATGAGGTATTTGTGATATTGGGAATAATTAAGGTCGAGATATGTTTTATTAGCCAAGACCGTGGGCTGAGGCTGATAACATTTACCGCGACCTTGATTATTTCTGATATCACAGATAGCGAATGTAGTAATTGTTTTATTATACATTGTTATGAGGAAATGTATCGACCAACACACCGTCGAGATCGCATGGAGCACTATTTGACATTGCTCTTGGAGGTCATGCATTTCGCACACAACCTGCAGATTGGAGACAACTAGCCAATCAGTAAGTTGCGCTGATTCCCAAAATTAACTATAGGCTCTTAGCCAATGAGAAGACAGATAGTTTTGATAGTGGATACAATGTATAGTATTACGTTTTGTCTTCCTCTAGTCGGTTACATGACGTCATTTCCTCTAGACCTGGCCCCAGCGCTTC